GAAGCCATCAATGCAAACACTGTCCAGTTTGTGTAGCGTTGTACGATCGACAGGCAGGCCATAAGTTATTTATACAATTCTATAATATCCTACAGTCCATTACAGGAAAAGTTAGTATTCTCCACGGTGTAACAAAAAAAAAAAAGCCTTTATAAAAAAGAACTACAACTGCTTTTCTTCAACTTAAATCAGTTTTTATTTTTTAAAGATGGCGGATCCTATTCCAGCCGCACTGGTCCTGGCTATTATTCAGGCTGTTTTTCTGGCAAGTAGCTCTATAGCACTATCTGTTCAAAGAGTTTACCACATCCGTCATCATGGAGAATCAGTATCAAAGAGTCATTTCAAAGAAGACACTGCGCGTGATATTGCCAACACTCCATTTTCAAACGGCAATAGAATGTCTCGCATTATCTTCGAAACTTTTGTCCTAACTTTACTATCTGGTTATGTTTTATTCGATCAAGTAACAAAAATGACCGATGTGTTATATCCGGTTATTGTCTCTATTATCACATTCATTGCCTGTATCCATTGCCTTGTTTTGGCTATCACTGCTGCAAGATTTCCTTTACCAAGCAAAACTGGATGGTCGTTAAATTTACATATCTGTGTCCATTATGCTTTCATATTTACATCTTCTATTGTAAATGTTATTACCATTTTATGGAACGATGTTTATATCTCTTTTACATATGCGCTGCCCTTTTTTTTACTCGCTCTTTTCGGATTCGATTTGCTTTATACAACAGTAACCGTAAAAAATGGATCCCCATTTTTGGATGAAAACGGGAAGAAGGTCAATGGCTATAATGTCGAATCAATTATTGGTAGACTTTATTTTAACTGGATTACACCTATAGTTGACATGGTCAATGAAAAATCTGGCACATTAACGGATGAAGACTTACCAAATCTGCCCCCCACCCATCGTGCTCACAACATGTATTACATTTTTGGAGAGAGTCGTGGAAAAAAGTTACTTAAACGTATATACCTTGGAAACAGTTTCTCAATTAATATGCAAGCTACACTAGGTGCTATTTTGCCTATGATTTATTTTTCTACGCCCTTTTTTCTAAACCGCTTCTTAACTGTAATTCAAGAGATTACATCTGGGGAGGGCGATTCAAATTCGTACTTGCAAGGTTTTGGGTATATTTTTGGAATGGCAATTTTCATCACAATCAGTAATCTATTATTAGAACAGCTATGGTTTTTTGGTAAATATACTTTTACAAGGTCAAATTACTGCGTCGTTTGGTCGCAAAAAATAAATGAAGAAAAAAAAAAATACTGCGGCTTCTGTCCCATGAAGCATTTTTTATTGACCCGATTTATTTATGTAGCACAAGCTAGTTCGCAAACACGGATTAAGTCCATGCTAAATATGGAGATCTATAGAAAAACACTGCGGCGCATGGATGTCAATGTGATGGCCGGAGAGAAGATCAATAAAAAAGAGCATGTCAATAAGGAGAATGATGAAATTGAGGGGAACGAAGCGAGTTCAATGACTGGTATGATTGTTAACCTGATGAGTACCGATTCCTCAAGAATTTCGGATTTTTTAACTTGGTGGTTTGTTATTATTGAGGTACCCCTAGAGCTTTTTATTGGTATCTATTTCTTGTACAGCTTGTTGGGTTGGTCATCAATCTTGGGGCTGGCTGTAATGGTGATTGCACTTCCTATCAATCACTTGAATTCAAAGATATCTATCCGCACGCAAGCTAAGTTGATGAAAAGACGTGACATGCGAGTATCTTTAATGAATGAGGTGTTACAAGGAATTCGTCAAATCAAATTTTTTGCGTGGGAATCTAACTGGACTGAACGTATTCTGGAGACAAGAAACATCGAACTTGGTCACCTTCGAACTGTTTACATTACCGAAGTAATTCTTAATCTTCTGTGGCAAGGGTAAAAATAGTGATGTCTTAAAGAATATCATGAATAGAATGGTTAACATGTGTTATGTAGTGTCCCTCTAATAGTCAACACAGTTGCATTTTGGTCATTCACCAAACTAGAAGGCAAAGAACTCACAGCACCAATTGCCTTTTCTTCCATATTAATCTTCAACGAAATTAAGGAAACTTTTACGGTTATTCCCGAAACAGTTATCCATTTGTTGGAAACTTTAATTAGCATAGACCGCATTGAAAAATACCTGGAAGAAGATGAAGTTTCCAGTTCCGATCAAAATACCTACACATTTTCGGCTGAGCCATCCTCATTTGTACCTATCACTCAAATAGGGTTCAAAAATGCAACTATTGGTTGGCCCAAAACCCATAGAAACGCTGAATCAGAAACAGCCACGTTAAACGAAGAACAAAACTCATTTATTTTAAAGGATCTTGATGTTGTATTCCCTAACAATGAGCTATCTTTAATTTGTGGTTCCACAGGATCCGGCAAGACGTTACTCATGTTGAGTTTGCTGGGTGAAACCGAAATCAAGAAAGGTACCGTATCTTGTCCTAGATCTGCCTCTTCATCAAGTTTAGATGACACCACTGCAATTAATTCAATCAAACCACCTGAAGATGCACCTATTGTCCCCGAAGATTGGATTCTTCCATATGCAGTTGCTTATGTATCTCAAACCGCCTGGCTACAAAATGCTTCCATCAAGGACAATATTTTATTTGGTCTACCGTATGTTTCAAACCGTTACAAGGCTACTTTGACCGCCTGTGCTTTAGACAAGGACTTGTCATACTTGGAAGATGGCGATACTACAGAAATTGGTGAAAAGGGAATTACTTTATCTGGTGGACAGAAGGCGCGTGTTGCTTTAGCAAGAGCTGTTTACTCTCGTGCGCAAAATGTCATGATGGATGATGTATTAAGTGCAGTAGATGCACATACCGCGAAACATTTATTCAAAAAGTGCTTGCAAAGTCCATTGATGAGCGGTCGAACTCAGATTCTGATCACGCATCATGTCAATTTATGTATCCAAGGGGCAGCACATGTGGTCTTCGTCAAAGATGGTCGTATAAAATTATCAGGATCACCTGCTGGATTGAAAAAGAATAATCAACTATCCATGATATTTGAAGAAAACGTACAAGAAGGTGAATACGAAGAACAAGAAGACGGGTCACCAGTTATTGCAGAGACAAAAAAAACCAATGACAAACCAAAGATATTGGTTCAAGATGAAGATCGTGCTAGCGGTACTGTCAAGATGAGACTTTATAAACTTTACTTTGGACTAGTAGGCAGTTGGTTTTTTTGGACAGTAGTTTTCACAGCAATTATTGGTGTCAAAGGATTGGACATCCTATCTAATTGGTGGTTGAAGAGATGGACTCAATCTTACGAAGTAGTTGGCGATAATCTCAGCTCAGACAATCTTTTAAATGTTCACAATGTCATAAATTCTGTTGGAAGGTGGCCTATCTCAACTTATGGTCAAAAAAATTTAGTCCTAGCTCCTTCCATTTACACCCAAGAAGATGCTTCAAACAGTTTGAACAAATATTTAGGATTTTACGCATTGATCAATCTCGTCAGTATTATTTTGAGTGTATTCCGATATGCTTACATGTATTGGGGTGGGATTCGTGCCAGCAAAAGACTCTATGAAAAACTATTAGATCGTGTTTTCCACGCACCCCTTCGTTTCTTTGATACCACACCTGTGGGCCGTATTGTTAATCGATTTTCTAATGATTTTCTAACGGTTGATGCTAACATACCAATGGATATTATGCAATTCTTGGTGCAGGTAGTAATTATCGCCGCAATTGTGGCTGTAGCTGCATCTGTATTACCTGCTCTAATTGCGATAATGATTTTTACTGCCGCTATCAATGTTTATTACGGACTTAGATTTGTGTCTAGCTCAAGAGATCTTAAAAGATTGGATTCAGTCAGCCGATCGCCTCTATTCACTCTTTTTAGTGAAACCATTGTAGGTGTCACCACCATTCGAGCCTTTGGTATGTCACAAAACTTTATGCTGGAAATGATTCGTCGGATTGACGATAATACAAGACCTATGTTTTATGCCTGGTTGGTCAATCGCTGGATCAGTACACGTATTGCAATTACCGGAGTTATTATATGTGTTGTAACGGGTGTAACCATCTTGTTTAATCTGGATCATGTGGATGCTGCTACTGCCGGTTTTTGCTTAAGTTATGTTCTTATGTTCACAAACATGGTAAGTCTTATTTTTCTACCAGACTGAGGGAAATAAACACTAATGTGAATTTATAATCTCAGACGTATTGGGGAGTAAGAAGATACAGTATGCTTGAAATGAGTTTCAATGCAGTTGAACGAATTGCCGAATTTTTAGAAATAGAACAAGAAGCACCTTCGATCACCGACGTCCGACCTCCTCCTAACGTAAGACAGAAAAAAAAGCACCTATTTTAAAAGTGTACATTCCATATTAAAAAAATAGATTCCTCTTATAATGTAGTGGCCTAGTGAAGGATCCATCCAAGTAAATAATTTACATGTAAAATACGCGGCTGATCTTGAAACAATCTTGAAAGGTGTTGCATTTTCTGTCAAACCCAGGGAAAAGATTGGTATTGTAGGAAGAACAGGAAGTGGTAAATCCACTTTAGCACTTGCCTTTTTCCGATTCATCGAATTATACAAAGGGTCTATTGTCATTGACGGTGTTGATATTTCGGATATTGGTACTGAAGACTTGCGCAGTAATTTGACTATTATTCCTCAAGGTAATATCCTTAGTTTGAAGTCATTATTAGCAAGTCAATTTTTAACTAATGCCCCTTTTTATAGATCCTGTCTTGTTTTCAGGCACACTTGAATCTAACATGAACCCTTTCAACGAATTTAGTAAGGATGACATCTTTACAGCCTTACGCCGTGTTCATCTCTTGGACGATGCTTCCGAACAAGTTAATGAGAATGTATTTAAAGATCTCAGTACACCTGTAAGTGAAGGAGGTCAAAACTTCTCACAAGGTCAAAGACAGCTTCTATGTCTTGCACGCGCTTTATTAAAAAACCAAAAAGTTGTGCTGATGGATGAGGCGACTGCGAGTGTTGATTTTGAAACGGATAAAGCAATCCAAAAAACTATAGCACAAGAGTTTGCAGAAAGTACAATTCTTTGTATTGCGCATCGTCTGAATACGGTTATTGAGTATGATCGAATTTTGGTACTGAATCACGGTGAGATTGTCGAATTCCAAAGGTAAGACATAAAGCACTAAAAGTGGATGTAATAAGAGGATAATAGCTAAAAAAAGATACACTATATTTGAATTAGTCCCTTGACTCTGTTACGTGATGCAAATTCCGCATTTTACAAAATGTGTCGAAATTCAGGTGAATTCGAAAATCTTCTAGCACTTGCTAAAGCAAAACACGAATTAGTTGACACTACATAAAATCCTGTATTAGTTATTATCGTACACATTTTAAATAGATGACACTAATTGATAATAATAAAAAACCACTGGATAAAATAGGTTTTAAAAGCCTTATAATATACAAAATTAATAACTACGCGAATGCGAACAAAGTATAAATGAGGTACTATACTAATTTCTTGTTTAGTAATTTAACCTAAAAACTCCTGCCAATGCTATATTTTAGTTTTAGTTCTTTTGTCTGTTCAGCAAGAGTAATTGAAATTGTGTAATCCAGCAGTAAATTGAGACATACTAACTGATGTGCTTATGATTAGGAATACAAGCCTAATGAGGCAATCGGCAGCTGAAAGAAAAAAAAAAAAAACGAGAGCACACGGAGCTTATAACTATCCTCACCACCTATCTTTACAGACAGCACAAGTTTGACAGCTGCCTATTAAAATAAATTAGTGCTTTGTTAAACATAAAAACCAATCATTGATGTTTAATCCATAAACGTATAGGTGCAAAAAGACAATCAAAAGCTTACAAACAGTTTCATTTTTAACCATTGACATCCAAATAGCCACCTCAAGTTATGCTGATGGTCTTGGTTACTCCACATATATTGGTCACATGGATGATGAGCGTATTGTTTTTGAAGCTTCTTTGGGCGCAGCAAACGAAGATCAAGGTCACATTCAAGATGCCACTTTAAAATTGCTTAGGATCTTAACCTTTATCCTCGTATTAAAGGCGTATGATTTGAAAAATATGTGGTATTTGACAAAAATAATACACTTGAGAAATCATGAGATAAAAGTATATCTTTATTAGAGGTAAAAATAGACTGAAAGAACTCTGCTGCTATGAAATAATTGATCTTTTTTATATTGCTTTATTAAGAACCTTTTATAGAAAAAGGTTCAAAAAGCAGCCAAGAAAAATATAAAAAGTTGAGTTTAAAACGATAAAAGTGCCGTGTAACATATCCTCCTGGGGGAGAATAAGGTAATCCTTACCGTTTTTCAAAGGAAGGAAGGCAAAGTGGAGAAAAGTGAGAAGAGGGAAAATGAATAAAAAGTCTAAATGTTTTTTTAATTCCGACCAATCATCCATGACATTGAGAAGGTTGTGGAATTGGCGATTCTTGTAAAGTTTGGCTCCTCGTTCAGATTTCAAGAAAGCATTGCGTTTACTAAGATGGGCACGACCTGACTGGCGATAATTCTTGAATTGGGCATGGATAATTGCGAGTAAGGAATAAATTAGTTTCTTGAAATCATTGGTGAATGAGCGTTCGATTTGATTTAGGACGTTATATTTGTTGATGATCTCGAAAAGTAGGTGGTTCTTGTTTTCTTCGTATTCCTTTTTTATCAAGCTCTCCGCATTTCACCTTATACTGAAGGCTTTTAAAATTTATGATGAGCAAAAAAACTTTTTATTATTATAGATGATAATATATAAACTATACTAATAAGTGCTTCTCCTAGTTCCCAGCATAAAATATCTGGTTAACAGGCCAGACCACGAGAAGAGGGAAGCACATCCTGGCCCAAAAAGTAAATCCCGATAAACCATCTTCAATACATAACCTGATAATCTTACATGCTACCTACCCACAATGCGCAACATAAGAATCACCAGGACCAAATACCCCCTACACCATGTTGGGGTGGTGCTTTTTACCCTGGCAGCAGAATCATAGCAACTGCACCTGGACGAGTATTAGCTTTAAGTTTAACATTCCGTGTAGATGAGGTAACTGTCCAACAGGATGCCAATCTATGGCTGCCTATAGAATGCAATATCTCTAGCGTAGACGTAAACAAGGCAAAGCACTTACAAGATGCATTCGGGCACTAAACTTCCTACTGTCATCAGATCCGGACCAAAAATAACAACCCACACCAACTCCAATGACCAAGAACGTATCGACTGGCTTCAAACGGCTACGACCATCCACCGTCTAGTAACACGCTCTATATTCACCATCCACCAAGCAAACGGGTGTGGCACTAGTTTTAGTAAGAAGTTCTTGGAACAAAGGGCGACTAACCCCAGTCAGATTGTTGTACTGAAATCCGAATGAAGCGATACAGACAACAACCAAGGCCACTGCCTAGCGACTTTGACAACCAGCAGACTCCTTAATGTAATCTTTTTAGGGATTACTACGGCCTTTGGAACACTGCCCGATCTGTAATGAAGTGGATAGATTTAACGGAAACGAACAGAGTCGAGAGTGTCATTCTTGTGCTGAGCCATGCTAACTTCTCTGTTCTAATGTTTAAAAAAGAATAAAAAGATAAAGAGCGCTTTTTTCGCACCCGTCTCCCTTTTACACCAAAATTTTTTTTTTGTTTTTTTTGTTGATTTTGTCTAGGCTAACTCTTGTCAAGTCTCTCTAAATGTTATCCAAAGCCTCTGAAACTCTAAAACCCTCGTCAAATATTCTCATCTTGTGTCAAGCCTCTTCAAAACTCCCCTCCAAGACTCTGCAAATCTCTAAAACTGGCGTCAAGGCTATGCTATCTTAACTTCATCTAAAGTTCCAAGGATTTAAGGCAGCTGTTCTACTTCTGGTCTTCTTTTATTCACGGTACAGTATAAGCTAGTGGCCTAGCGTGGCTAAATCCGGTGAGAGCTTGTAGCTGTAGTCACGATTTAGATATGTGTTCCAGGGCTTAGGAGGCTAACAATCCGTTAGTGTAGGCAAAGATCCCCTGGTGGTAGTCTCCACATAGTTACGATTATAATATTCCCCGCGAATGGGGAATAACCCGCGAACTGGGGTTAAGTTTAATGAGTAATTTTTTTTAGAACAGCTTGTCTTTTTCTCCTCTGGTTCTTGGTGACCCTCGGATGGTCTCTTTATTTCGCCTTATTCCATACAAAACTTTTCCCATCTTTTATTTTTTACACATTAATCTCAATAAATATTATTTAATTATTTTACTTTATTATTTATTATGCTGTTAATGACATTTTTTGAGCAAAGCAAAGGACCCTAAAAAAAAAAGGTATATTGAAACTCCGAGCAAGCAACAAAAGTGACAGACGTCTGGAACTTTGATATTGGAATACCCACATACTTTAAAAGTGCATTAAGGTATAAAGAAGCACCTCAGCTATACTATCAGTTATGTTGTTTACCGATTCATTACTGCCGATGAAAAAAGTTGCTTTACTTGAAACTCTTCCTCTTCAACTGAAGCTCACCTTGGACCAACTTTATGCAACAGTAAGCCTTTCATTGCGGACCCACACAAGGAGCTGAAGCCTCAACGAGCTGTTTTTTTTACTTATTTTATTATCATTTTTTTTCTAATGTACTTTAATTAAGATGATGGTCAGCTAAAACATAAACCACTTTATAGTGAGAATGGCCGACTTCTTTTTTTAAATGGTAAAATTTAACATGACAACTGAAATAGAATCATCATCTAATGTGTGTGACAATGAAATGTGCTTCGATACAGCTTTCTACAACTTCCTACAACTGGTTAAAGATTCATGAAGTACTTTTAGTAACCCAATTTTGAAAGGAAGTCGGCGCTTTGGTTGATACAACCAGGACGATACTTGACGGTAAACTAGTATTCTCCAAGAAAATTAACCCAGCGAGCTAGAATTTTAGTGGGGTTCTTCGTATTGAGTAATCTTTTGATAGCACTGTGGTCCGTGATTATGGTAAAATGGCAGCACTATAAGTACGGACGACAAATCTTTATTCCCCAGATGCAGGCAAGACATTCCAATTTGGAAAATCCGTAATTATTTTCTTGATCTTCAACCATATTATATAGGACTTGGTTATTAATAAATTTGTTATTGGGAGGGTGTTTCAATTGACCATTAGTATCAGCAATCGACCCAATTAGTTTTTTGACCATTGCAATAATAGTCAGAACCTGTGGTCTATCAGATCTAGTGTTATCTTGATGGTTGCTGCGATAGTTATCAGGACGATGGGATTGTTCATTCTGATTGCGTGAGTCTTGATCATTATGATTACGTTGATAATATTTCCCATAATTGTTGTGATAATTTTCTTAATTGTGATATCCATCACTATTCCGGTATTGATCATTATTACGATAGTTATCATGATTGCGGTAATTATCGTTGTAATTGTTACGATAATTATTGCGAGTATTACCACGTCGCTCACCCATTATTATTATTATAGAATTTAGAAAAATGAACCTTTATGCTTTCATCGACCATGATACGAAGTTTTTATTTAAACTTTATGTCATCAATCTTAGAAATATTGGGCACAGAGGGATTGTTTACATCATTACTTTCCATGTGATTCAATTGTAAGGCATCCATACTATTAGTTAACTTAGTAATAGTAGTGGATTAAAAATTAAGTGAATTAGGATTAATGGAGGAAAAATTAGCAGGGGCATGAACAATGTTGGAAGAATTTGGTCCCGTACGATTGACGTTAGGGATTGAAATCGAAGGGCTGATTATAGGCCGGACTTTAAAGGGACTGTCAACAATAGTTAAAGACTTTTGACAAAAGGCACTTAGTAACCATCAGAGTATTTTAAGTATTCATGAAAAGTGCAAGCACCCATAAGTTTACGTTGAATGATGATGTTTGGCAACAATCCAGTTTGAAAACGAATTCCTACTTGAATTGGGTCCAAAAACTCAGCAAGAATCGCAACTTCTTTCAATCGAGCTAAGTAAACACGTGGATATTCTTCAGAATTTTGACTCATGCTGTTAAATGCTGTCAAAATTGATCAATCCAACTGAATTTGTGAAGAATGACTGTGGTGACACACAGTACACAATTAGTATGGTGTAACATAAAATTACACATTTAAAGATAAAGTTGAATCATTTCTTCTCTTTATCTTCGTTCAGTTCTTTTTTTTTTTTTTTTTTTTTTTTTTTTTTTTAAAAAAAAAAAGAAAAAATGGCAGAATATATTCCGGTCGCATTTAGCCTGGCTATTTCTCAAGTCGTTTTTCTGGCAGGTAGCTCTATAGCTCTATCTATTCAAAGAGCATACCACATTTGTCACCACGGCGAATCCGTATCAAAGAGTCATTTCAAAGAAGACACCGTGCGTGATGTTGCCAATACCCCTTTTTCGAACGGAAACCGGATGTCTCGTATTATTTTTGAAACTATCGTTTTGAATTTACTATCTGGTTATGTTATAATCGATTGCGTAACTAAAAACGCTGGTGTTTATGCTGTTATCGGCTCTGCAATTACATTTATTACTTGGATGTATTGCTTTGTTCTGGCTGTTACAGCTTCTCGATTTCCTTTACCAAGTGAGTTTGGTTGGTCATTGAACGTGCATCTCTGTGTTCTTTATACCGTCTTATTGATATCTTCTACTATTAATTTCATTACCGCTTTATTGGACGATGTATACATCTCTTTGGCACACGCCCTACCTTTTTTTTTACCTGTTATTTTTGGGGTTGATTTATTTTATACAACAGTAACTGTGAAAAATGGATCGCCATTTATGGATGAAAACGGGAAAATTGTTAATGGTTATAACGTCGAATCAATTATTGGCACATTATATTTTAACTGGATCACACCCATTATAACCATGGTCAATAAAAAATCTAGCAAGCTAACTGATGAAGACCTACCCACATTGCCTCCCACCCACCGTTCTCACAATATGTATTACATTTTTGGGGAAAGTCGCGGGAAAAATTTGCTCAAACGTATATACCTTGGTAATAGTTTCTCAATTAATATGCAGGGTCTGTTAGGAGCGGTGTCACCTATTCTATTTTTCTCTACGCCCTTCTTTTTAAAGCGCTTATTGATTGTGATTCAAGAGATTACATCCGGAGAAGGGGATACAAGCTCGTACTTGAGAGGGTTGGTCTATATTCTTGGAATGTCAATTTTTATCGTAATCAGCAATCTATTAGTTGGACAATTGTGGTTTTTTGGTAAATATTTCTTTATAAGGACAACATATTACTGCGGCGTACGGCAAAAAAAAAAAAAACAAAAAACTGCGGCCTCAGTCTTATGAGTGGCTTTCATTAACTAACCTTTTTTTTTGTTTATGTAGCACAATCCGATTCGCAAACACGTATCAAATCTATGTTAAATATGGAGATCTATCGCAAAACATTGCGTCGCATGGATACCACTGTGATGGCCGGGGCTAAAATAAATATAAAAGATCAGATCAAAAAGGATAATGGTGAAATCGAGGAGAACGAAGTCAGTTCAATGACCGGCATGATTGTTAACTTAATGAGCACGGATTCCTCTAGAATTTCAGATTTTGCATCGTTTTGGTCCATTCTTATTGAAGCTCCCATGCAACTTTGTATCGGTACCTATTTTTTATTTACTTTATTGGGTTGGTCCTCCATTTTGGGTTTGGCTGTTATGATCGTTGCGGTACCTATCAACCACCTCAACTCAAAATTACAAATTGGTACACAAACCAAACTCATGAAAACACGCGATAAAAGAGTCTCTTTGATGAACGAAGTTTTACAAGGCATTCGTCAAATCAAGTTTTTCGCTTGGGAATCCAATTGGACTAAACGTATTCTGGAAATAAGAAATATTGAACTCGGTCACCTTCGCACCGTCTATTTTAGTGAAGTGATTTTCGGGCTATTGTGGCAAGGGTAAATGTTTTGGATTGGTTTTTTCACGAACTCGAGATTAACTGACATGGTGTAACACAATAGTACCCCTCTTTTAGTTACCACTGTTGCTTTTTGGTCATTCACAAAATTAGAAGGGAAAGAGTTAACAGCACCCATCGCCTTCACTTCCATGACTATTTTTCATGAGCTCAGAAGCTCACTTACCATCATTCCCGAAACAATTATTCATTTGTTCGAGACACTCATCAGTATAAACCGAATTGAAAGTTATTTATCAGAAGACGAAATCTCGGACGATCACCCTATATCATCTGAATTTTGTATAGGATTTAAAAATGCAACAATTACCTGGCCAAAATCAATTTCCTCAGATTATGCATTTGTATTGAAAGACCTCAATGTTATTTTCCCAAAAAATCAACTTTCGCTCATCTGCGGACCCACAGGCTCGGGCAAGACCTTACTCATGCTGAGTCTACTGGGTGAAACAGAAGTTAGCAAAGGGTTGGTATTGTGTCCTAGCCACATTTCTTTGTCATCTAGTCTGGATAGTTCCATCTTTATAACATCAATCAAGCCTCTCAAAGACGCACCGATTGTCCCAGAAGATTGGATTCTTCCATATGCAGTTGCTTATGTGTCTCAAACCGCCTGGCTACAAAATGCTTCCATCAAGGACAATATCTTATTTGGTTTACCGTATGTTCAAAACCGCTACAAGGCTACTTTGACCGCCTGTGCTTTAGACAAGGACTTGTCATATTTGGAAGATGGCGATACTACAGAAATTGGTGAAAAGGGAATTACTTTGTCTGGTGGACAGAAGGCGCGTGTTGCTTTAGCAAGAGCTGTTTACTCTCGTGCGCAAAATGTCATGATGGATGATGTATTAAGTGCAGTAGATGCACATACCGCGAAACATTTATACAAAAACTGTCTTCTGGGCCCACTAATGAGCGGTCGAACTCAGATTCTGATCACGCATCATGTCAATTTATGTATCCAAGGGGCAGCACATGTGGTTTTTGTCAAAGATGGTCGTATGGAATTATCAGGATCTCCTGCTGAATTAAAAAAGAACGATCAATTGTCTATGATTTTTGAAGAAAACGTTCAAGAAGGTGAATACGAAGAACAAGAAGACGAGTCGCCAGTTATTGCAGAGATACAAAGAACCGATGACAAACCAAAGACACTAGTTCAAGACGAAGGTCGTGCAAGTGGCACAGTCAAGATGAGACTTTACCAATTGTACATAAGATTAGTGGGTAACTGGTTCTTTTGGACATGTATTATTTTGGCAAGTGTCGGTGTCAAAAGTTTAGACATTCTTTCCAACTGGTGGTTAAAAAAATGGGCCCAATCCTACGAAACATCAACTGATAATTTCATTCCTACCCACATTTACTCTGGTCTCAATCAATTGGCAGCTACACCAGTTATTATTTCTAAAGAAGATGCTTCCAAAAGTTTAAATAGATATTTAGGCATCTACATCATGATGAATCTAGCCAATATCGTATTGAGCGTTTTACGGTACGCCTACATGTTTTATGGTGGTCTCCGTGCCAGCAAAAAACTCTATGAACAACTCTTGGACCGTGTTTTTCACGCACCCCTTCGTTTTTTTGATACAACACCCGTTGGCAGAATTATTAATCGATTTTCCAAAGATATTGAAACCATTGATTCTAGTGTCTCCATAGATATCATGCAGTTCTCTGTTAAGACCATCATTGTTCTATCCATTGTGGTAGTAGCCATTACAGTCCTACCCGCTTTAGTCTCACTCATGGCCATAACCGCTATTTTTAACATTTACTACGGATTGAAATTTGTTGCTGCTTCACGAGAGCTTAAAAGAATGGATTCCGTCAGTCGATCTCCCTTATTCACCCTCTTTAGCGAAACCATCGTCGGTGTCACCACCATTCGTGCCTTTGGTATGTCACAACACTTTATGCTGGATATGCTTCATCGGATCGACGTCAATGCAAGGCCCATGTTTTATGCGTGGACAATTGGTCGTTGGGTCAGTGTTCGCATATCCATGATGGGTGCTGTTGTGTGTCTTGTAACAGGTGTAACCATCTTGTTTAATCTAGACCGTGTAGACGCGGCAACTGCTGGTTTCTGTTTGAGCTATGTTCTCGTGTTTACAAACATGGTAAATTTTACAAAAAAAAAAAAAAGTAGGAGATGGATGAAATAATGTATTGTATCCCTTGTGTTTAGATGTATTGGACAGTTAGAAGGTATACTCAGGTTGAAATGAGTTTTAACGCGGTTGAACGTATTGTTGAATTCTTGGAGATGGATCAAGAAGCACCTTCAATCACCGATGTCAGACCCCCGTCTGAGGTAAACTACAATTGATATTTACGCGCTGACTAAAAGTACTGAATGATTGTATATCCTTGATAAAATATAGTGGCCTAGTAAGGGGTCCATCCAAGTAAATAATCTGCATGTAAAATACGCAGATGATCTCGAAACTGTCTTGAAAGGACTTACATTTACTGTCAGGCCCAAGGAGAAGATTGGTATTGTTGGAAGAACAGGAAGTGGTAAATCCACTTTAGCACTTGCCTTTTTTAGATTTATTGAAGCATCTGAAGGCTCCATCATTATTGACAATGTAAATATTGCGGATATTGGAACCCAAGACTTGCGTAGTAATTTGACTATTATTCCTCAAGGTTACATTTATTTGAAGACTGATATTTAGATAATGCTATGTCTAATATTCTATTCTGTTTTTTTTTTCTCATTCATATCTGTAGATCCCGTGCTATTCTCAGGCACACTTGGATCCAACATGGACACATTCAACGAATTCTCCGAAGACGAGATTTTTACAGCGCTACGTCGTGTACATCTATTGGATGAGGAAACTTCTGATCAGGATAGTGTATTTCAAAACCTCAACACACCTGTCAGTGAGGGCGGTCAAAACTTCTCACAGGGTCAAAGACAACTTTTATGTCTTGCACGTGCTCTATTAAAAAACCAAAAGATTGTACTGATGGATGAAGCAACTGCAAGTGTGGATTTCAAAACAGATAAAGCGATCCAAAAAACAATAGCACACGAGTTTGCAGAAAGTACAATTCTGTGTATCGCGCATCGTCTGAATACAGTCATTGAGTATGATCGTATCTTGGTATTAGATCACGGTAAGGTTGTTGAATTTGAAAGGTAAAATAATAAAACTATGAAGGTGTGATAAAAAAGGTACTAAAGATATACATTTCTACAAAATTAGTCCGTTAACTTTGTTACGGGATACAGATTCTGCATTTCATAAGATGTGTCGTCACTCGGGTGAATTTGAATATCTTTTGGAACTTGCTAGAGCAAAGCATGAATTAGTAGATATAAGTCTTGCACAATGATTTGTACATTGTGTTCAGCATTGTTGACTTTAAACAATAAAGATTTATCCACTTTCATAAAAAAAAACAATGATTTGTACACTAGTTTATGGATCTTTTGTTTTGTTTGTTTAATACTCATAATAATAATATTAAAAAAGAGCAAAGGGTGGCCAGGAATAAATGGGTATGTAAAAGTAAAATAGAGAGAGAGAGCTAGAGAGGAATTTATAGTTCTTCCAAGATGGAGGAAAGACCAACCAAGAAAATGCCCAAGAAAAAGAAGACGAGCACGTATTGCTGATGATCATCTGCTCGAATAGCTTGTGGTAACATACTCTGCATAAACATGTTAATATATATCCATTTGACTTTTTTATATGTATATTACCTGGATGGTGATGAGAGACATCATACCGGATACACTGCCAAAGACAATACCAAACATCATGTCTTCTTTTGCCTTTGAAATATTCTCGACCAAGAACAAACCAACCAAGGCTCCTATAGGTTGCGATAATCCACCCATTAATGCGGCGTAGCTAAATGCGGATGATCTTGATCGTGTAGCGTAGTACAACGGTAAAGCGATCATAAACCCTTCCGTCAAATTATGAATGGACATGGCAATACACACACTTAACCCCAGAGCTGAGGAAGCTTGACTTGATACAAACATGATCAATCCCTCTAGTTTTTTATCAGTAATTTGTGAGGGTCACATATGAAATAAAAGTTATACACTTACCAGGGAACTTGTGAACGCAAATGGCAACAGCTGTTTGAAGTCCAATGCTGTAAAAGTGATTGGGATCATTGTTGACGGTTTCTTCTACAGATTCATGGTGGTAATGGTGTTCGGCACTGGGACATTCACTATCAATATCAGCCTCCATGTTAACCGCTGTGGTGGATGAGCCATGCATTTGGTCATCGTGATGAAAGCGGAAATGAGATTCGCTGGAACGAATGGTACCGTATTCAACATCACAGGCGCGATCGTTTAGTTTTCGTTGCTCTTGTGCTCGTTCTTCTTCTTCATGGCGATGGTGATGATGGCCTTCTTCGGCATGATGACATTCCTCGGAGGCATCGCCACATGCATGGATAGCATCGGGCATCAGGTAATGAATAACTTTGGTAAGTACAAGTGTAAAGGTGGCACCACCAAAATAACAGGTATATAATAATGCATCGTTATTTAATCGTTTTTGTGCTTGTGGCAACAGGATAGAGAGTGAAGAGAAGAGTAATACTCCCGACGCCAGTGACAGGGAGGCTGCCATAAACGGCCTGCTGTCAAGGAATGATTTCTTGAAGAACTTGTCCAAGAAAACAATCGAAGCTAATAATAGTTAAAAACGTCATTTCTTTCTTTTTTTTTTTTTAGTTGTAATATTTTACCACCCATGACACATGCAGTAGAAGACAAGAGTACACCTAACCAGCCTTCCAACATGTCAATGTCTTTTGTGTCTTGTAAGGATTCCATTAAATTTAAAAAAGTTGTTCAATAAAGAAGAAGTAAAAAAAAAAAAAATCGTGTTTGGTCCAGTTATAGAGGTGTCAAGTGAGAGTTCCATAAATTTTTGTGACGGCGCTCTAATCAATAAATTTCCATCCCTTAAAAAAGAGTTTACCCTATTTTTACATCTCTTTGCAAATCAACTGACAATAATGGTAACATTTAACCGCAATTTTCTCCTTTATATTTCTAGTACAAAATGTGTCATCAACGTTGTTATGTAAAAATAAACATGTGCGTGAGTGAATTTTTATTACTAGGATCTATACAAAAAAAGCGCACATCCTTTTTGATCTGCTGCAAAGAAATAAAACGTGTATTTAATTCCACCCTTTATTCAGGTGGTACCATTCATGGCAAACTTTACCCCTTCTTTATGGTTTCCCTGTTTTAAATAGTACATGGTTCCGGCTTTTTAAGCAAAATACCTTTTTTTTTGCTATTATCATGCCTTATTAAACATCTGAATCATGTTTCTCCGTCTACTGGGGTATTCTATTAGCGGTGGAAGATCCCCAAGCGGAGAGGGGGGTTATAGTTTATTTGAAAGAAGGGGTGGGGGTGGGGGGACATATATTAATAGATGAAAAGGTCATCATGAGTGGAATCCATATTAAAGTAGCTGCATCAAGATGCATAATCTCTGATGTTGCAAGTCATCGTCTGACATATTAAATAGCAGCAGTTGCCACTGTTAAGAATATACAGAAAGAATGACCCCACCATGAATTATCACCTGAGCCCATACATTTGAGCATATGTCTTGATTGGCAGGGTCCTACTAAGATCATCTGATAATAATATTTGCAATTCTTGTCTCGGGATAATAAACCTATCTACACCACCGTATATATACATGTGTGGGTGTGTGGGTGTGTGCACAGACACACTTGGTATTTCCCTTGTTCATAAACATTGAACAGACTCGTCGGAGTCTTATTATTATTTTTATGAGACCCAACTTTTTTTAATTTTGGGCCACACCCAAGAAAATGTTTGCCAAAGCTTTCTTCAGACCCATAACACGAATTAGTCTACGTACAATGTCAACAGAACGCGAACAACAAGTCATTTCAAACTTGAACAAAGTCAGAAAAGAAGTTGCTGAACTTAGCAACACTGTAAGTCTACGCAACCATTACTCATTTCCAGTTTACTCATTTTAGCGGTTTCTAGGCTCGTTTGGTTGCTGTCAGTAAATACATGCCAGCTGAAGATATCGAATATGCCGCCAAAACTGGTCAGACTCATTTTGGTGAAAACTATGCAAGTATTTTATTCTCTTTTTTTTTTCACGTGAAATAATAGCTCATAACATCTTATTTGTAGGTTCAAGAGTTGGTTGAAAAGAGTCAAAAGGTAAGGTAAAAACACACATAGCAACTCATGTCCCTTCTCTTTATTAACAGCATGAACAGCTTCCAGCTACCATTGACTGGCACTTTATTGGACACCTTCAAAGCAACAAGTGCAAGACAGTAGCAGGTAATAATTTGAAAGTCACAATAAAACACGAGAAATATATTAAAAAAACGAGGTGTTTGCCAGCTATTCCCAATCTGTTTTTGGTAGAGACGATTGATGGTATTAAAAAGGCCGATGCTTTAAATAAAGCATGTGGTACTGTTGGACGTCAAAACAAGCTCAAAGTGTATGTGCAAGTAAATACTAGCGGCGAAGAAGGTAACACACAAAAGAAAGAAAAAGAGAGAGAAAACTTATGAAATTGCCTGATTTAGCAAAGAGCGGTGTTCCTGCCTCGGAAGCGTTGGATGTTTGTAAGCATATTAAGGAAAATTGCCCCGCTTTAGAATTGTATGGATTGATGACTATTGGTATGAAGGATCGTGATGCAGCTAATAATCCTGATTTTGAGGTAATTCTATATATATTAAAACCTGATTAAACATGTGTGTATTGATTTGTGATCATTTAGAAAATTGTTCAATTGCGAACAGATATCCAAGCAGAGTTACAGCTTGATCGTTTTGAAGCAAGTTTCGGTATGTCTTCTGACTTTAAGGAAGCCTTATCTGAAGGATCAAATAACGTACGTGTTGGCACTGCCATTTTTGGAGGAAGACCTCCCAAAGCATAAAAAATATAATAAAAACCACGTCATCAAACGAGTAATTTAAAAAAACTTTTTTATTTTCCCCTCCCACTTTTTTATATTTTATTTTTACTCTCCCTTTTCTTTATATTTATCAGTCGATAATAGTCATCTGTATTTTAAATGGAGTCAGATTACAACCAAGATTTACCTCATGAACTGCTGGAGAAACTTCGTAATCTCGAGTTAGAATTAGAGGATGGCGACATTACTTTAAAGGGGTTTGAAAAAAAGAAGGCCAGCTTATTAGCAGCTTCTAACCCAACCACACCCACTTCTCCACATCAAAAGACAGACGCTGAAATACTGGAAGAGTTAGGCCCTGAACCCAGTGCTGCCGATGTAGTGGATTTTTTGGATTTCCTACCTTCACCCACCCATTCACCTGTTTTACGTAGTGCAACCTTGGATATTGGTAACACTTTTATGGAAACAAGTCATCATCCAGTGCAACCATCATCACTACCACCACCACCCGTACCATTACAGCAACAACAACAGCAACAACAACAGCAGATGTATGCTCACCAGCAACAGTCATACCCAAGGCCAGTACAACCACAATACAGGCCTTATAACACAGGTCGTCCCATGATGAATAACGGTTACTATCCTGTAGTAGGAGGATCACCTCTTCCTAACAATAGACCACCTTATCCAATGCGTCCCATACAACAACAGCAACAACAACAGCAGCGTCCTCCTCCTGGTTCTAATCCATACTATTCAAATGGACGTCCTCCTCCCTCTTCACAAAACTATCGACCTATCAATACTAATTATCAACAACGACCCATCATTTATAACGCCAATCCCAACATTCCTCCACAGCAACAACAGCAGACATCCCCTAGACCAATGTATAGACCTCAACCACGACCCAATAATGCCAATTACCAAAATTACCGACCACAACCACAACAACAGCATCAACAACAACAGCAATACGCTCAACCTCAATATATTCCATCCTCTACAGCGAATTCAGTTCGAAACTCGGAATTACAATATGGTAATTATGCTTATAATAATACCGTCAATAGATCTCCTTCTGGAAACACAGGCTCACACCCTACAGAAAGACAATATCAAACAATGTCCATGTATTCTGCAAGAAGTGATTCAACAGAATAGTTGTTAAAAAAAAAAAAATTAAAAGCAGCCCCTCTTTTCTTTTTTTTTTTTTTTTTCTTGATTTTTACGTGTGAAAAAAAAAAAAAATAGCTCACCTTTTCCTATCTTCCCTTCTACCCACCCCTTTCTCCAAATAAAGGCTTAAACTTTTCTAATTTTATCTGCTGCTTTTTTTTTTTTTTTTTTTTTTTTGTAAATGTTTGTGTGTGTGTCTGTGTTTTAAAAGGAAGAATTACATGCAACTAAATTAACCTTCATTTCTATTTTAGTTGCACCACCTTCCACCATCCGAAAATCACCTTCCATTGCTTCTATCAATACAGGCAGTAATGTCAATAATCTCCAGTTACCCGTGATCTCCGCTAATGATTACATGGTGCAAAAGAAAAGCAATCGTAGTAAATACGGCAACACATCCATTGTCAAATCCTTTCAAAACGTCGAACCTATCCCCACCCCTCATTTCCAAATCGAGGATACGCACAACATGGAAGAATTAGCAGGTCGCCAAATGTTACCTTCCATCGCGCGTGATATCCCCTTTAAAATCGTCGACATTCAAGACAAACAAGACCCAAGTTTATTTCATTCAATTTCAGAACTATCAAGATACCGCTCCAATAATAGCGCTGGGAGAATTACTCCCGCTTTCACTCAGGTCGATGACAAAGGCAAAGAAATCATCACCTTGACTTGGGAGAAATTAACTGCCCGGGCTGAAAAAGTCGCCTCCGTTATTCGTGATAAATCAGGTCTCCAAGTAGGTGATGCTATTGCTCTCCTCTACAGAAAAGTTGAAACAATTGATTTCATTGTAGCCTTACTCGGTTGCTTTTTAGCAGGTATGGTAGCTGTTCCCATCAATGCCGCTGAAGAACTCTCTGAACTTTGGTTTATTTTACGTGTATCCAAGGTTCACTTGATCTTGACCACAGATACTAACCTTAAAACACTCACCAAAAACATGAAACTACGCAACCTGGATTTCCCCAAAGATTTGGATTGGTGGCCCACAAACGATTTCGGCTCCTTGTACACACATCAACTCAAATCAGGTAAATATAGTCCCATGCGCTCAACACCACTGGCCTATATCGAATATACCAAATCCATGAATGGTGAACTCAAGGGTATCGCTGTCTCTCATCAAACCATCATGAGTCAATGTCACTCATTTACAGCAGCTACCACAGACACCGTCGTTTTTTCTTCACCTGCAGAAGATGGATCTACTACTACATCTGTACTACCAAACTGGGATACACAAGGTGCTGACACCCTCTTGACTTACATTGAACCACGTCAGCAAATTGGTCTTAACATCTCCATCCTATGTTCCATTTACAGCGGAAGTCATACTATCTTTGCAAGCTCTAATGTCATGGAGACACCAGCCATCTGGGTTTACGTCATTTCCAAGTACAAAGGTATCACACACAAGAGTGTATCACACATTAAAATAGTTTTGTACTAACTCTTGGAAACAGTGACAATAGCATTAGCAGGATATCCAGGCCTTTATTATGCTGCGAAATCATACCATAAGAACCCCAGAGATTTCATCTATAGTAAAAAGACTTTACCAGATCTTTCAACACTTCGTTTACTCTTGGTCGATACTGTCATTGTCAAACCAGATATAAATGCCTATATTGCCAACAAACTGCTAAAACCTTTAGGGAAAACCATGTTACAATCTCCCTTGGAAGTTGTGACACCCATTCTTTCTTTACCAGAACATGCAGGTGCCATTCTTTCCTTTCGTGATTTCCTTGGTCCTGGTAAGATGGAAGAATTCGAACAATCCTATAATCAACAGGATAATACCACCACCACACGTAAAAAGACCACCTTTGCTGTAGGCAGATCCAGAGATGTATGGGAATGCACTCTAGACGCAGACGCTTTACGTCGAAAAAAAGTTGTGGTCTTATCCACATCTACTACATCCAACGACATTCATCTTGAAGAACCGGGCTCGCTAAGAGTTGGATCTCATGGCTTTCCGTTCCCTAAAACTACCGTGGCTATTGTCGATCCTGAAACCACTTTGCTTTGTCCTCCAGATATCATAGGTGAAGTGTGGATTGACGGTCCTTCGCTACCAGATGGATTTTGGGGAATACCTGCATTGACAGATGCAGTCTATCATGCTTCTCCCGTGGTGGTCCCCTCGGAAACACTCTACCCTGAACCTTTTGCTCAGACTCAATTCTTACGTACTGGATTGTTAGGTACAATGATTGGTGGAAGGCTCGTTGTCTTGGGTCCATATGAAGACTGTATCCGACAACAACGTTTAGGAACAGAGTTAGGGATCGAAGAAACCCACATGAGTTCAGATATCTTGAACACCTTGACAAAAAAATGCCGTATTGATTCATGGTAACTATTGACGATAAAATTTCTCATAATTTTATATGTGTGTTGAATGAATGTCTCCCCTCTTTTTTCTTCGTAGCACATTATTCGAGATTTTAATCAATGGACAATATCTACCTATTCTAGCCATTGAATCACAACAAACATCGACAGCAGACATGTCGAAAATGGCAGAGAACGCCGGTGATGTAGTCATGGCATACCATGGTCTTCGACTATTTTCAATTCTGATTGTCAGTAAGAGCACATTACCTCGTTACATAAAAGACGGTAATCAATATATTCATCATTTGGTCACCAAACGTCGATTTCTGGCAGGCCAATTGCCCGTGCGTTATCTCAAGATGGACATAGACCGTACAGTCTTTACCGCAGCTACTTCTCTAGTAGAAAACAGTGAATCTATTTGGACCTCCAACTTGGTCTCTCATGAACGTGCACTTGCTTTACAATTAATTTCACCGCGTACACGTCTCCAACTTTCCGGTATTGAAGTCAGCAAAATCGTCATTGATGAACGGTCCGGTTACGACCTATCAAAGTTTACAAACGTAGTAGATATTATGCTGTGGCGCACCTCATTATACCCAGAAGAAAACGCCTTTGTTCTCGTCAATCAACACAGTGCTAAACCTTTTAGCTGGCGTAAAATCAATAATCAAATCGCTACCATTGCCAACTATTTCTATACCAATACCAACAATAGAAAGTTTTCACTGAAACCAGGAACCAAAGTCATGCTGTTGATGAATTTTGGTGTGGATTTCGTACGTACCTTGTATGCTTGCTTCGTCTTGGGTTTGGTACCTGTGATTTGTGTACCTCCAGATCCTATCCAGCCTTTACATATACGTATTCAAGAAGATGTAAATATCATGATGCGAACACTTCAGCAGTTAGATATCGCTTATATCCTCGTCAACACACAATCCGATGAACTTTTGAAATCCAAAAGTATTCAAGCAGCCATTAAACTTTCCACATCCTTTGATGGCACCAGTATCAACAGTAAAAAACTACCCGAATGTATCAATATTGATAAGGCACCTCGGTTCAATAAATTGTTGGGCCCCGAAAGTGGGTTCTCGGTAAGATCGGAATGGACTTCAGATAAAAAGCGAACGGCGTTTGTCTCTATTCATCAATCCACAGATGATTATGCCCATGAGTATATCTCGTATAGTCATGACACCATTGTTTCTCAATGTCGGTCTCAAAAACTCACCTGTCAAATCAATTTTAAGAAACCCTTGATTATCACGGGTCTCTCTGCTTTTGAAGGCTTGGGTTTATTACATGCTGCCTTTTGTGGTGTTTATGTCGGTAAGATATCAAGAAATCTGATAGGGGTGTATAAACGTCTAACATTTTTTTTTGTATAGGATGTGCTACAATCTTGATACCAACAGCAGAGTACAGAAACAATACAGCTAGTTATTTCGAATTACTCGCACGAAACAAATCTCCCAGTATTTGCTCAAATTATCCCTTATTCGACCATGCCATGACAAAGATCAGTCCTGCAGAACAAAGACTCATACCGCTTCAAAATACCACCAATTTTATGATTTCCGTCGCCAGTCGGACAAAGCCAAGATTTTGTAATCATTTATCCCTTCCCCCCCTTTTTTTTTACGGATCAAATACACTAACCCCCTTTTGCTGTTCATTTCGTAGATGAAAAAATTGCCAGATTTCTATCTTTAAGTAGAGTAGAAAGAGAGGCCATCAATACTATTTACAGCCACGCTTTAAATCCAATGATCACCACACGTTCTTACATGCTGGTTGAACCTATTGCTTTGATTGCTGATCTCGAATGGTTAAGACAGGGTATCATTCGACCTTTATCACAAGGAGATGAAGCCTCTTACGGTGTCGTCTTGCATGATTCCGGTATCGTGCCCACAAATACCATGATCGCAATTGTCAACCCCGAAACGCTCACTTTATGTCCAAGTCATGTCATGGGTGAAATTTGGGTTTCTTCAGATAGTAATGTTCGATCGGATCTGCTTGGAAAACTTACACCGGAAAGAACAGATGCGACTATCGCTGGATCCGATAGAAGTGTCACTTATATGCGTACAGGCGATATCGGATTCTTATGGAACGTACAAAGAGGAGGGATACAAGCCCATGTGGAAGAAGGTCAATGTCTCTACGTCTTGGGACATTTAAGTGAGGTGGTCACGTCTAATGGATTAATGCATTTTGCACTTGATATTGAAGAAAGCGTGGAAAATTGTCATCAAGATATATTATTTGAAGGATGGTAGGAGCTTTTTATAGTATCACATAAAAGGAAGGAATAGCCAGACTGATAGAAATTACTCTTTTATTTATATGTATAGTTATGTCATTCAAATTGATAATGAAATTGTAGTAATTGTGGCGGTAAAACCTTCCATTGCACCTCCATTATCGGCAGTGCCTTTAATCGTCAGTTCAATCTTGGAACGTCATTCTTTATTAATTGATACGGTTGTTATGGTCAATAAAGACCAACTACCCAAAAAATTCAATAGCGAGAAACGACGACGAAAAGTACTTGCCATGTATCTAAAGAAAGAAATGTAAGTGTTTTCTCTTCATTTTATCTAATAACAAATGATTTAATCCAACTTTTGCCTTAGTTCGGCTATTCATGTAAGCCGTATAAAAAATCAACATCAACCCATCACCCTACCTCAATGGAATTCCATGCCTACCCTCGACAATAGCGATAACATGTCCATGATATCTTTCAGTCAAAGATCAGCTCATAATCTCATGTTTGATGCCGAGTTTAATTCAAGTACCAATCGACTCTCCGTGCCTGCCTCTACTCGCTCTCGTAAATCAAACAGTGGCGATTCAACCCTTGGAAATTAAGATATATTTTCCTTCTTTCTTTTTGTGTCTAATTTTTTTTTTTATATTATACTTATTATCTTATCTAACCACCATCTACTGATACATAACTTGATAGAAAAATTAAATAAATATACGCATAAAAAACCGATAAGCAGCTGATAGTAGATTTATGTGAAGGGACATATACGACGACCTTAAATTAATCACGGCGACACGTGCTCGATTTAAATATATTTTCCTTAGGATTATTCTTAGAATTACAGAAATGCAGTGCTCCTTGAAAAAGACAGGAACTACCAGAAAAAAGAAAACAGCAGCGTAGCTACTTGGTTCAATATTTTATCTTGTATTATGGTATTAGCTATAAAATACATTGAGCATCACACGTATAGTGTGATGCTATTAAGAATTTTTAGTTTTTTAAGAACGCACACAAGCCGGTTTTATTTCACTCAAAGAATGACGCTGGTATATATTTTACAAGCATTAGTTCAAAAAGAATGCATGCAGCTCCAAATAAGCTAAAAATCATGCATATAAAACAAAATTACAATCCAATGATAAAATAAACTGCTCACGTGGCATCTTTTATTGCAGTAACTGTCAAAATATCTATCGTAATCTGATGTCATTTATTGCATTCCTTCCAAGTAAACATCTTTGTAAAATAAAAAATGAATATAAATTATTTAAATTATATACAAATAATTTGTGACAACTTAATGTTTACGGGCTTAGTATGATGTTTTCAAAACAATGGAATATCAGCTTTAAAGATCGCAACACTCTGTAAATACAAACAGTCGAATTTAACTTTCTGCAGATCCTTTCGATCCAAAGTAAAGTTTATTTGTAAATAAAGTTATCTATAATTTTATTTATACCTTGACGTCTTCTTGGAACGGATTTGCATTTATTTGTGTCCCGTATTTCTGTTTGAGAAATTTTAGCCTGAATCCGTACTCAGGGCGTAAATAACGGCTATTACGACGAATTATAAAAAGACTCAATTTTTTGACCTATCCCATATTTTTTATTATTTCTCATCGAATATATTTTTTAAAGTCAAAATGCATTTTTGTGGTACCTCTATCTGTTTGGTTGCTATCGTCCTAATGGTGACATCTGTAACTGCTTCAATTAGCAGGGATGGTGATAATGGTGGTATTCGTGCTGGAGTTACTCTTGAAAAAAAGTGTAGCATCTAATGGTAATGCCATGCGCCGCAGAAGAATGGGGGTATCTGCAAGAAAGAGATATGTAAAAAATGCTTTAGCCGCAGAAGCAGAGATACCGGAAGTTATGTTTGGTCCTGTTAAAAGAAAATTCTTAGGAGATAAATCCGATGGAGATGAAGAAGAATGGGATGAACAATAATACAGTGAAGGCCTTTAAGATTTATTATAAGGGACCATATATGGCTGATAATATGTAATCAGAGTAGTTGTTATACACTATTTTCCTAAATTATTCGCTTAATAAAATAAATTTTCAATCAGTTACAGAATAAATAATCAATTAATTTTCCATGCATAGCCTACAAGCGAAATGAACTAAAGAGACATATATCTGTTATCATTAAATGGGTATACTGCTAAAGTAGAAGGAAAATGTTTCATCATATTGAAGGACCCGGATAAGTGCCCTATTGTATGCGTATAATATAACTTTCATTTAAAGTCACTTCATCCAAAAGACTAACCTGCTTAAGCTTGCTCTTAAAAATTGAATGATTGGGTTTAAGCCAGATAACTATTGTCTTCTTTTAAAGCCTATTTTGATACGAACAAACAAGAAAAACTTGGCATTGTTGTTATTCACCCATAAGGGAATCGAAGGAGTAGCAAGCCCCCACCCCCTCTTATTTTTCTCTTGCCAGTACTCTAGATGTGTTGCTTTACCAAGAGTAAATTAGATACCAGTACCTCGTCATAAACAACACGCTTATTGGCAACAAATGTATAAGTGTATAAGTATATCGAAAAGAATGGATATGGATGCACCAGATTTCCTTCCTTACCTGACACCCTGAAAAGGTAATCTGTCTTTTTGTCAAACCCCAAAACTAAACAAAAAAAAACCTAAAAACACTCGGACAAGTACAGTTCTACTTGAAATAAAGTTTTACTTCATTGTACGTATAAGGGATATCTGGAATTAGCTATCTATTTATTCTAAGCAATTTTTATTTTACTTTGAATGACATAATTATTTCCCGTTTGCTTTCGTATATTTTTTAGGCAATCCGAATTTTTCTAAAATGAGTATGAGATAGTGTCTTTTTTCAAAAGAGAATAAGATATAAAATAAGAGCTAAAAAAAGTGCATTTATTATTGCTTCATGCGAATTTCATTGTTCTTTGATTTTCTCCCTTTTTTTATATAACAACAACAATGAAAACTTATAAATAGTCGATAAAAAAGTTTACCTTAACCCTTACTCAATTTTTATTCTTCTCTTTCATTGTTATTTTACGTATAATCATTTTTATTCTCAAACTTATTAAACTTTATACGTAAAAAGTAAATATTGTAACAACCAATCCAAAATTGAGTGTCATTTATCTAACATGTTATTATACATAGCAAACTTCTTACCTCAAATAACTGCCCTTTTTTGCCTGACAAGGGTTCTGATATATCCTTGTCAGGTAAGCCAGGTACACCTGGAAGTAATATGAGCACATCTAGATGAACAGTTTGGTGTTTAAGCTGTTTATGTCATGGGTAACTGGTCTGCTCCTAATAAAAGATTTCATGAGCCCATCCGGAGCCTTGGTTTCCGTCGGTTGCCTCAAAAAGCTGGTAAAAGGGTGTACTTGATTGATGAATTTAGAACAAGTCAGTGCTGCCCAGCCTGTGAACGTAGAAGTCTTGAAACGTTTCGAATTGTCGATAATCCACGCTCTCATAAACGAAGGGCAAATCCTCGTGTAATCAGACATGGTCTCTTAAGGTATGTTGATTTCACTTGTTGATAATGTTTTTATTCAAATAATCTTTTTTTGTTCCTGTGACAGATATACAAATCAAAATCGTAGAGCCATGACGAATAACACAAATAGAATTATTCCTCGTCTATGGAATTGTGATATAGCTGCTTGCTTGAACATAGTTAATATTGTTCGTTTACTTCCTGCTGGGAACGACATTAACCTAATATTTTGACGTCGAGAGGCTATCCCGGACCAACGGAGCAGAGCAAAGACCCAAAATAGCCAAGCAAACATTAGAAATGTTTGTCAACATTACAACTAGAATTTTCCAGGCCTGTCATCGCAGATCAACTATATACACACTTAAGTGGTAAACGCAATTTTATTTATGGTCTTTGAACCAATCTTTTTTCGGAAGATGAACGTATTTTTTTTACGTTGTGAACGAATTTTTTTTATTTATGAACGAATTTTTCTATTAAATTTTTATCTAATATTTTCTAAAAATAGTGTTAGTTATGTTCTATTAATTTAATTAAATACAGTCAGATAGAGCCCTGTCTCTAATAGAAGTAATGGTTCAGTATTCTGATAAAAACAATACGGAACAATACATATAATCGCCTTAAATTTATGAACTGTGAAATAAAATAGCTACCAGAAAATGGCTATTGCTTGTTTATATATACAAAATGTCTTGATATTAAAATTCAGAGCATTGATTTAGTATATAAAACGGTTTATTTGTTAAAATCCCTAGTTGGCCTGTGGTTGTATTTAGTTCAGCGCATACCTAGATGTATATGATTTTATAATACAGTTCTTCGTTTCTAACAGTTTGCCGACAGCGATTTTATTTTTCCTATTTAATTGATGGAAAAACCTGCAAAATTTTTATTACCCATAAAAAGTATAGGATTCTTAGAAGGTATATTTCCAGCCAATCTATGTGTGGCGCAACGTCTCAACCTTCTACACAAATAAACAAGTTTCCATACATTCAGAAAATTATTTTACTGGAGGACCTACGTATTGCATAGATACGGCCGGGTGGAAAGGGCGGATCAAAACCACATGAGATGTTTTTATGTGATCATATCTACACATAAACGGCTCCTAAATGTTTTCCAAGAAAGGTGTGAGGTGGGAGAATGTTGATTTTGAGTACCTGAGTACCTGAGTATCTAAGTGCAGCAATTGTTCTTTTGTTGAGTTCTCGATACTTTGTAGCACTGGTATTCTATTTTGCAACTGCTAAATAATTAGACAATTTCCAATATGATACCAGTCTAAACTTGAAAAAAAATGACCAGAGATAGTACAAAACATCTGTCAGTATACAAGCCGTGTTATAATTATCAAATTTTTCTTCAAATTAAAAGATTGTAGCCACCTAGACAAATAAACAAATGCTCTCTGGTCATTACTACATCACTTTGTCGTATTTTGTGTACTTTAATTTGTAATTGTCACTACAATATCTTTAAATATATATTTTAGTCATCATATTCTTGCTTTTTCCACTATTTATAATGGCAACTTAAACCACTGCTCAAGTCTCCCGCTCATCACCCTATTATACACAAGAATTGTTGGAGAAAGACCAAGTTGATTCAAAAACATTTTTAAATAGTGGACGATGCGGATCCTTCTAAGGTCGCAGAAGGTTATTGGCAGTCGCCGTATTGATGAAGAAGAAGCTAAAGCAAATAGCGCAACTACACCAAACTAAGATGTCCCCCTTCAAATAAAATGGGAGACTCTGGTTTTTAAGTAATATGTTCCTGATAATAATGCTACTGATGCCGATGACGATATCATCTACAATAATTGCATAAATTGCTTGTTCTCGTAAAAAGCATCTAACTTTTTTATTTTTATTTTTCAAAATGTTACTCATTCTAGTCACCAAATCACAACCAAATATCGACATCAGACAACATGGAGGAATTAGCAGGTCGCCAAATGTTACCTTCCATCGCGCGTGATATCCCCTTAAAAATCGTCGACATTCAAGATAAACAAGACCCAAGTTTATTTCATTCAATTTCACAACTATCAAGATACCGCTCCAATAATAGCGCTGGGAGAATCACACCCGCTTTCACTCAGGTCGATGACAAAGGCAAAGAAATCATCACCTTGACTTGGGAGAAATTAACTGCCCGGGCTGAAAAAGTCGCCTCCGTTATTCGTGATAAATCAGGTCTCCAAGTAGGTGATGCTATTGCTCTCCTCTACAGAAAAGTTGAAACAATTGATTTCATTGTAGCCTTACTCGGTTGCTTTTTAGCAGGTATGGTAGCTGTTCCCATCAATGCCGCTGAAGAACTCTCTGAACTTTGGTTTATTTTACGTGTATCCAAGGTTCACTTGATCTTGACCACAGATAATAACCTTAAAACACTCACCAAAAACATGAAACTACGTAACCTGGATTTCCCCAAAGATTTGGATTGGTGGCCTACAAACGATTTCGGCTCCTTGTACACACATCAACTCAAATCAGGTAAATATAGTCCCATGCGCTCAACACCACTGGCTTATATCGAATATACCAAATCCATGAATGGTGAACTCAAGGGTATCGCTGTCTCTCATCAAACCATCATGAGTCAATGTCACTCATTTACAGCAGCTACCACAGACACCGTCGTTTTTTCTTCACCTGCAGAAGATGGATCCACTACTACATCTGTACTACCAAACTGGGATACACAAGGTGCTGACACCCTCTTGACTTATATTGAACCACGTCAGCAAGTCGGTCTTAACATCTCCATCCTATGTTCCATTTACAGCGGAAGTCATACTACAGTGTGTCCACTCTCAAATCGAACACTTTTTGAACTTGGTGGTACATTTTTTGAAAATAAAATGGAGCATTCAACCAATTAAATTCGAACAAAGTTTGAACTTAATTTGGAACACCTTTCAAACTTCAATTGGAACACATTGTGAATTCAGTTCAAACACTTTTTGAAATTAATATAGAACATTTTATTTAAATAGGGATTTTTTTTTAAGCAGCATTCGAAATGATTTTTAGAGTATTGGGTAATGTTGACGAGGCGGGATAAAGAGACATCATTACAATCTTCAGTTATTCTTTGTGCAAGCGTTCCAGACTCCATAAGTTGGTTACCCTTCACTTTATACTTAACTATAGCACAGAATTGTTCAATTGGATTTAATTCTGGAAGATATAAATTTGTATCAAAACAACTGGGTTGATACACAAAATTAGAAAAAAAGCGAAAAATGTGTATCAAACCAACAAGGTTGTTACAAAAAGACGGAGTTATAAAATTTGTATCAAATCAACTGGGTTGATACACAAAATTAGAAAAAAAGCGAAAAACGTGTATCAACTCTACTTTTTCTCCGTTGTTTTTTATACTTTGTATCAACGTCACAAAAAATGAATCAGCAAGCTTTAAAAGAACTTCTTTCTTTTGAATTACCTTCTCATAGACTCCCTGGCAGTGATGTTATTTCAAAGTATATATTACAACACAAAGACGTAGTGAACATTATGGTAGAAAGTTTGGTTGGTAAGTAATTAGACATGAAGGGGGAAATCAGCTTGTTTAATTGTCTTATTTATAGGATTAGAAGGAAGAGATTATTATAACCCATGGCCACCACAATGGCCCAACGGAAAAATTTCAGATATTGTTTATAAATGGTTATATCACTGAAAAAGTTCAGTGTGTGTTTGACGAAGTCTAAGCAGCGTAAGAAACTACTCCATTCTATGCCAAAGAAGAAGGTGATAGTCTGTCTGTTGTGGGTTGGCGCCTTGTGCGAGAAACAGCCCGTGCAGAAGCTCTAATCACTTGGTTCAACAACAATACTACTTTTGATACCACGTCTCCCTCTCCCAGTATCCATCCTCGTCGATCCACGCCCCTGCCAGATAAGAATAGCCTCTCCAAGGAGGATACAAAAAACACTCAGTAATTAAATGATTATGTCGAACTATATCCTATGCCTATATGCTTCGTTAAATGCCAATAGCCTGGTTAAATCCAGATCAACTGAAACACCTTCGTTTTCAAAAAATGTGCAAAAAATATGACATCCTATGTTTCCAAAAAACCCAAGCTCGATCACCTGAAATTATCAATTCCTTAAACATTTATTTTCAACCGCACTATTCACACTGGACTAAGCATGTCGGTATTGTTTCCTTATCATCAAATTTTAAAATTACCCTCCTTAATACCGAACCTGTTTATGCTGACGATTTTTTTCAATCATGTCGCATTGATCATCCCCAACAATTTTATGAAACCTTTTATGTACTCAATATTTATGCCTTAGCTTGTACTCCACAAAGTAGAAGGGAATTTTTCGATAAACTGACTACTATGCTATATCAGAAACAGGACACCATTAATTTTAGTCGTTTGATTATATCTGGTGATTTTAACTATTCATTGCTACGATCTCAGACTTTGTCTAACACGACATCGTTAAAGTGGCTTAACTTGTTAAAGATTTACTTCTATGTACCAAAGTTGATGCTGCGTTTGGTCTTCTTTCCATGGTTTAGCTATACGACGGTATTCGGTTTATTTGCCAGCATTACGGAAAGCTCTTTCCAAAGTACTCTACACATCTTTATTTCTTTTCAATTATGAGAAATGGTATTCTTATTATATTTGGTATGTACTCTGTTGAAAACCGATAAATTTAATGAGTGAAAACTACGTTTTTTTATTGTTTTTAAAATAATTCTAAAGAAAAAATCTTTTTTTGATTACGATCCAACCTTCTATAACCTTCTTCTTATTGTTCTATACTAGTCTGCTATATTGTAAGCTGATTTGTAAGTACTTGGTTCAATGACATGATTGAACAACCTTATCGTCTTCCATTGATATTTTTTTTTCTCACATGTGTCTCCTTTTTATCCTTTTGCCCTTAGTCCTATTAAATATATTTATTGTCTTTGGAAGACGATTTAAAGTTAAAGAAGTGTTATCGATTGTGTTACAACTATTGAGTTTTTGACTTGAGATCAGTATTTTGGTGATACGTGTCACTTAACGTATGTGTCTAAGTTCAACTGTATCATCAAACATTAAAGTTTCTATAAAAGGTCTACTTTTAATGTTTGATTTGTAGATTATTACATCCTGCATTCACTAATGCTTCATGTTTTTCATCTTATTACATAATCCTCTTATGTAACATCTATGCTTATAAATATAAATGTATCTTCCATAATAAGCTGTCTCTTATCCTTCATGAGGTAGCTAATCTCATGTAGGACTTATTATGTTCAATATCTATTTTATCTATAGCACTTCATGTAATTACCATATCATATAGTTTTCTATTACCTTATATGATATTGGAATTGTTTCTCAATTTGTGCAACACGATTGATAAGATCGTTAATCATGCCTAAATAACTTTATTGTTTCTTCATGGCTTTTCCGTTTTTATTTATTCGTTTACATGCTTTCTTATCGTGCATTATATAGTCATTTTCTCTAGAGATACACCTCAGATACAACATACTCTAATCTCTTGATCAACATTGGCAAATACACTTCTCCTATCAGTATTATCAAGACTGTCCCTTGAGGTTTTTTATATCTTGGAGTTCCAGTCATTAAAACAAAAGTCATATTTGGTATTGCTAGTCCTTTACCTTCAGGTGTTATCATTTTATTTCTTGAGCACGTTGCTATTGTCAAATCTTTTGGAAGAATCAACGACTATACCATTAACCCTGATCAAGAAATTATTGCTATTGACTTGACCAATATTTGGGTATCTTTCTTTGGGTAAGCGAAATACCTTTCAGGAAAAAAAAAGATGTTAATTTTATTTTCGGAAATAAAGCATATCCTTCAACTGGTTCTTTTTCTCGTACTGCAATTAAGTGTTAAAACTCCCTTCGCTGGCGTCTTCTCTGCACTTGTTGTAGTGCTTGCTCTATATACCCTTACCCCCGCTTTCTATTACATTCCTGACGCCGTCTTAGCTGCTATTGCCATTCATGCCGTTGCCGATTTGGTGTCCGGCCCTAGCTATATCAAATGTCTCGCATTTGTCAGTGTTTGGGAACTAACTGTTTTTGCTATCACTGTAATCATTAAATTCATTACTACTGTTGAATATGGTACTTATGCTAAATTGTTATTTTTATTTAATAAAAAATGTAGACAATAGCTACATATTTTTCTGTCGATAAAAACTAGTTCTCATAGAGCTGGCACTGGTAAACGTACTAAAATATCCTCTAGCTCGTCCATCACGATAAATTACCTCCCATGGAACTGGTACTCTTTTGTTATTGGTACGGGTATTGGATTTATGACTAGCGATATAGTTTTTGACAAAAGTCCATTGGTTGTCTTCGGCTGAACTTTGTACCTGTGGTTCCTGATGATCTACATTATTTGATTGTGGGGGAAGGGAAGATACTAAATGTGATGGTGATGGTGATGGTGATGGTGATGGCGATGCTTCTGAGGACGTTGGTGCATGCTTTTGTTGAAACTTTGATAGAATTGAAGATGCTCCCATAAGTGAAAGTTCTATATGAGCTTCGGTATTGCTATCAAGTGTGTTTGCACGCAAATATGACAATCCTTGTTCAATTTGGTCATTTGCACGCATACTCAAAAAAAGAAAATCTCGACTTTCTATTTAACAGATCTATCAAGTATATATTGTTGTTGTTATTGATAGTGTCTTTGGTACTTCTTCTACTTCTATTTCCAATAATATTGCCGGGTCTGCATTTACTGGTACTGGTGCTCGTACTTTTGCTGGTATTGTCAATATTGATGCTGGAGAAATTCATCAAGGTTATCATATTCGGTGATATTACTTTCGAAAATTTCTTTCGCGATACTGTACAATTTTTGAATTGTTGAATCAGCTTGAAATGGATTAATAGCCAACGATTGATATCTTCCAGTGAGGAAAAAGGACAATCCAACCAGCGGGTGCAATGGAATATTCTGTAAGCTTGATTCAATTGAAGTACGATCAGCAAAGTAACATGATTCAGCCCATGTTTCCTTGCGGTATTTCAATAAAAATGTATGCACCATTGGATACTGTGGAAAAAGCAAGACCAAGGAACCTATGGAAGCCAAGGTGAAGTCTATCGATCTCCAAACCACGAAGCTACGCGCCAAGTTTCTGTGCGAAGAAGTCTTTGTTTCCGTTAATACTTCTGCCAGCGACCCTATACTATCACGCAAGCATCTAAAGTGAAAGAAAAAATAACATGGGTTTTTTAGTATCTTTTTTCGTATATCTTTTTGAGATTATTTGACTTACAGTAATCGCCCATCGTATAGACACGATTAACTAGCCGCAGCTGTGATATCACCACGTAAAAAAAGCTGGATTACATCTCTTGTTTTGTTTGATAAAGATAAGGAAAGAAAAAAGGGAGGTGAAAAAAAAAACGAGTTTTAATGATAAACAAGAAAGCAAGTTTATGTCAGGATGATATAATGGATGACTTCCAAAATGCAAAATAGAATTAAATAGAATAGAATTAACTCCGGGAATTTGATTTTCCGAGTTAATTTTTTTTTGTTCCAAAACCATAAAATAGAATTAACTTTCAATAAATTTTATTAATTTTCATAATTCAAAATTTCTTGCTCTCTCGCCTTCCAATTAGCATAGTAAACAGTATTAATTTGGTTGACGCCAACCGTTCTTACACTGAAGTTGTGTAGTCTCCATACAAGGGTCAAGATTTCATAACGCTTAATTTTATCCGAAGGAAGCTTGGTATGAAGTCTTCCAAAAGACCCTTGTATGGCTCTCATACCCCATTCCACTGCCTGTCTATGCTTGGTAATGATAGCATGTTTCTTTTGTGTCTGCACGTTGGCTCTTTCAATGCCAATTGCGTTTTCTCTTGGTACACTTAGCACTTTGTTTTCAAACTCTCGCTTACAAGGGAAAGCAGAATCCGCAAGAAGCTTGAAAGGGCTTGGACATTTGTAAGCAAGAAACCTTTCGTAAAGTGGAATTGCTATTTCGGCATCATGCCAAGAACCAGGACAGTTATATCTATAAGAAAAAGAGTCAATTTAGTTTTGTTTGTTTAGAGAATCAAACAAGTATGTCAATCCTACCTCACATAGGCGATACAGCCATCCGGGGTATATACTAAAACTTGTGAGGCATAGCAATCACCTTTCCATCCGTTATAGTACGCATTTTGCTCGAATGGGTCTTCAGGATGTTGTATTCTAAGGTTAAGACCGTCAACAAAGCCAAACACTCCTTCTAACACCTGTTTCTCAAAGTCATTTGTGGTGTTCGTAAGCACCATATCGTTAAACGTTGTCATTTCATCTGTAGTGGGCCAACCAATTTTCCAACGAGGGTCTTTTTTGTTTTTTTCAAAAACGTTTAAGAGGGTTTGAATACCCATAGTTTTAAATCTACTGAGTGTTGCAGCAGGGACACCAAATATTATACAGAGTGTCTCCTGCTTCATGGTGTTATGCAACCACATCAGAACCAAAGCAAGTGTCATCACCGTGTCAAGTACTCTTTTACGTCCAGCCGTGCATTCGGTTGGATATTCTTTTTGGAATTCTTCGTGTAATTGATCGAATGCTCCAGTCGTCAAACCAAAATGACACATAAAGGCATCATCCTGACGACCATCAAGCAACCTTTTAGCAGCCGATTTAGTAGGTGAATGCAGACTTTTTGACGTTGTGTAGAATCGTTTAGAAATACGGCGTTGAGATTCAAGATAATTCATGTACTGATAGGCAGCAGCAGAAAGCAAAGTAATATGCGATAATAATGCTAATTTACGCTTTGTTATAGGGGGCATTTTGTATCAAAAATATAAAGGGGATAAAGAAAAAGGAAATGGATGATAAAAGAGAGATTAACTTGTATTTCGTTACCAATACAAAAGTGACAACAATTGGGTTCCACAACATCGAATCTCATAAGTCACGCCATATTATCCCAACAAGATGATTGATTCAAACAAGTCTGACATAATAGCGTGCTTTATTAAACAACGTGTTATAAAAACCATAATTTTCGCTTTTTAAAAAAGCCTTTTTTCTTTCTTTTCATATAACTTAATAAAAATAACAATGGGCAACGTAACAGGATCTGTCAGAATGACTAAAGATGAAAAAACCTATTTACTGAAAATAGTAAAGAAGGTTTTGCCAAGTGGAGCGGACGAATGGTCCCGTGTAAGCCAAATATATATGGCTGGACAAAAAAAAATTGTCGAACAAGAAAACGAGGCCATCAGGTTGGAAACAGGAACCAAGGGAACGAAGGTTGCCTATGAGCGTAGCGGCAACTCTTTGAAGGCGGCTTATCGTACATTGAGAACGGCAAAAGCACCAACAGGTAAATTATCATATAATTCGAGGTGTAATGAAAGAAATCTTGCTAACAATGATACAAACAAAAAAAATCTATTAGGCAACTCAACCCCAACTACTTTGATTACTGATGCAAAAACAATTGAGGACCAAATTGCAATCAAAGGCTGCTTATCACAGCTTCATGGTCACACGGATTCCGAGGATGAAGAGAAAGCAAGCCGCATGCATCATGGAGGTAGCGGCTTTCGCTCAATTGATGATCTGGTAGAGCAGAGTTTAACAGACAGTGACAAGAGTGAGGCATCTCCTCGTGCAGTTGGTAGAACGGTGCCAATGCCAAAGAAGTCCAAAAATACCCACCAGCATATGGAGGACTTCAACAACCATTTTGGTGTCCTGGCTGAGGCAATTGCGTTGTCTCTTCGGGGAGAAAATGAACCAAAACCATCGGTCCCAACCACACGTTCCGAAATGACCAACGTGACCGATGTCAATTTGGAAATGATTGAAAATCGTCTTGGAGCTGTTGACAATCAATTTGAGGAGGTCAACATTCGCCTGGATGGTGTGAAAAATGGCCTCAAAAGTGAACTCAATGATGTCAAAAAGGAGTTCAACGAGTTGAAGGAGACGGTAAATTTAATCAATATGTTGATTCGTATCATATATATAAACTCTATCTAACCGACTACATTATCAGATGTCAGCGATGTTTGAATATATCAAGACATCGGTAGCTAAGGTAGTTTAACTATTATAAATCATGTTTTTTTTATTCGTACTAAAAACCATAATCTTTATATGCACATTAGCAACCTATTCCTACTTCTGAAAAGGGCAAAGGCACCCGTTCCCAGAAGCGTAAAAGAGCCGAATAAATAAACGTTTTTGACAAATATTATCCATACATCTCATATCTATTATCTGCATATTATTAGCGTTTATCAGAAACAAAGTATTTAATAGAAATGTTTTTTTTTTTTTTTTTGGAGTTAATTCTATTTTAATTCGGGGGGGTAGGGGGGTCGAATTAACTTCAAAAATTTAAGCAGTGAAATTTAAGGTTAATTCCACGTTACACAACCCAAAAAATTAAGTCTATTCTATTTAATTCTATTTTGCATTTTGGAAGTCATCCAATCAATTGATTATTTAATCATTCATTCATCCAATCAAATCTCAATTTCCTTTATACCTACATACGTGTGATGTTTTATCAGTGTTTTTTCAAGCATATTTTATGAAGAGAATATCCAGTTACTTCAAAAGTAAGAAGTGTATACATCACAAAAGAAGTTACAATAACATGTCCAATATGCAGGCATAAACTTTTTTTTAGGCGAACTGTGCAGACTTTAACACGTTTTATGAGGAGGGGGGGGTTTATTGATAGTTTTCAGATTATGTGACTACGAGAAGTTTTGCAATTCACCGTTACTTCGTGCTTGATTTGAGAAATAACGAAAACGAAAACCACTGGTACAACCTTGTGTTGAAGGAATAATTGTTGACAGTAAGACATCAGTCGAAACATAAAATGTAAGTCAACAGTATGTTGAACTTCAACAATAATAGGAGGGTACTTTTTTGGAGCATCGTTTACGGGCAAATAAACAATATCGGAAACTTTTCCGTTGGGCCATTGTGGTGAAATTGGAGATGTGCTGAGCATTTCCTGATCGAGATTCCCAAGCCGACATGTCTGAGAACGACATGTTCGGCGTCTCGTTCAACTTCTTTGAAGGAGGACCACTGAACTTCTTGTATCTCTGTATCAGTGATACTTGCCCTTGTTTCGTCTATTAAAAAGCAACTGTTAAATAATTTTCAATGTACCAACAATGTTTAACGGAAGTGTCTAGACCTCCGTATTTTTTTCAAACGTATTTTAGTTATACTACTTACAGAAATTCTGGCCAGAAGACCAGCAGGCCAGTATGATGAAACCTATTTACAGTCCAATCCAAGCCATTCACGGTCTATGAGTTCAAAAACTCAAAAACTCTGCCTGAGAGGTCGCCCTCCTATAGCAAAGACTAGCCGCAGCCGCAATATCACAATATATATCTTTTTCAATTTAGATTCTTTTCAAAGAAACAAGAGTCGCTACTAAACAAACCTTTTTACGTGATCGGTTACTTTCATACGATAAAAGAAGTATGTTAAGGGGAAAGAAAGGGAGAAGAATAAAGTGTGTGAACCAGCTTTATTTATAGATAAACAAGCTTATGTCAGGATGATTTCATTTGTCTATTTTATCATCCATAATGTTTGAACCTTTACTTAAAATAGAAACATTGGCAAAAAACCCCCAAACAAATCGGAATTTGGTAGTTGTATATCTGCGTTCCAGTAGTAGCTTGTAATGACAGTGAAGCAGATTTTATGGAAAACAGAAATCGATTATCCCATGAAGTTTAGATGATATGGCATGTCAATCGACGTGTAGACCATCGCGTGATTATAAAAAATACGTTTGAAAAAAATACGGAGGTTTAGACATTTCCCCAAAATCATACCAATAAAAATTGACAATTATCATTTAAAAAAGTGTTTTGTTAACATATGGTGTTGGTATATTTACTTTTTAAGAGTATCGAAGTTAAAGCATAAGAGAGAAATATAATTTCCAGCAACTTAAGTTACGGTATTGTATTTTAGACCATTTGGTTTTTTACCTAAGCCAGCGATATATTCAATGCGGGGAAAGGGTAAAGACCCCAAGCGGAAGTAAAGGATCCCCTCAAAAGCCGCTGGGAGCTTCAGCCGTTCAGGCGGAGAGTTACCAGCGGACAAGGGCCGGTGGAACCCTGAACGAAAATTTCCTAGTAAAAAAAAGTTTTTTTTAAGGGAATTAATATTTAATCTCCGGAATAAAGATAGATCAGGGCGAAAATACAAGCAGGCGGCATTTTTAGCCATAATGTAAGAGCACATCTAGATGGACAGTTTGGTGCCGAAGCTGTTTATGTTACGGGTAACCGATCTGCTCCTAATACAAGATTTCATGAGTTCATACGGGGTCTTGGTTTCGGTCGGTTGCTTCAAAAAGCTGGTAAAAGGGTGTACTTGATTGATGAATTTAGAGCAAGTCAGTGCTACACAGCCTGTGAAAGTAGAAGTCTCGAAACGTTTTGGATGGTCGATAACCCGCGCCCTCATAGACGAAGAGCAAAATCTCGTGTAATTAAACATTAATAATTTTTTTATCTAATAATTTTTTTTTGTTAAACCAGACTGCTCAGGTCTCCCGCTCATCACCATATTATACATAAGAATTGGTGGAGAAAGACCGAGTTGATTCAAAAACTTTTTAAATAGTGGACGATGTGGATCCTGCTGAGGTCGCAAAAGTTTATTGGCAATAGCCGAACTGATGAAGAAGAAGCTAAAGCTAATAACGCAACTACACCAAATCAAGATGCCCCCCCTTCAAATAAAATGGGAGATTCTAGTTTTTAAATAACAAGTCCCTGGTAATAATGATGCTGATGCCGATGACTGTATCCTTTACAATAATTGCATGAATTACTTGTTCTCGTAAAAAACATCTAGCTTTTTTATTTTTGTTTTTCAAAATGTTACTCATTCTAGTCATCAAATCACAACCAAATATCGACATCAGACATGTCAAAAATGGCAGAGAACGCCGGTGATATAGTCATGGAGTACCACGGTCTTTGGTTTTTTTTCAATTATCATTATCAGTAAGAGCACATCACTTCGTTATATAAAAGACGGTAATCAATATAATCATCATTTGGGTAGTAAATATTTTACAAGCATTAATTAGTACGGCTCAAAAAAAGATGCATGCAGCTCAAAATAAGCTAAAAATCACGCAGATAAAACAAAATGCAATCCAATGGTAAAGTAAACTGCCCACGTGGCATATTGTATTGCAGAAACTGTCAAAATATCTATCGTGATTTGATGTCATTTATTTCATTCCTTCCAACATATAAACATCTTTGTAAAATTAAAAATGACTATTAATTATATAAATCATGTACAAATAAGCTGCGAGAAATTAAGGTTTATTGGCTTAGTATTTAATGTTTTCAAAACAATGGAATATTAGCTTTAAGAACCGCAACAATCTGTAAATAAAAACAGTGGAATTTAGCTTTCTGCAGATCCTTTCGATCCAAAGTAAAGTTTATTTGTAAATAAAGTTTTCTATAATTTTATTTATACCTTGACGTCTTCTTAGAACAGATTTGCATTTATTTGTGTCCCGTATTTCTGTTTGAGAAAGCTTAGCCTGATTCCGTACTCAGGGCGTAAATAACGGCTATTACGACGAATTATAAAAAGACTCAATTTTATGACCTATCCCATATTTTTTATTATTTCTCACCGAATATATTTTTTAAAGTCAAAATGCATTTTTGTGGTACCTTTATCTGTTTGGTTGCTATCGTCCTAATGGTGACATCTGTATCTGCTTCAATTAACGGGGATGATGATAATGGTGGTGGTCATGTTAGATTAATCTTTAAAAGAAGTGATGTATCGAATGGTAATGCCATGCGCCGCAGAAGAATGGGGGTATCTGCAAGAAAGAGATATGTAAAAAATGCTTTAGCGGCGGAAGCAGATATACCTACAGTTTTTTCTGGTCCTGTTAAAAGACAAGAAAGCATGGACGGAGATGTGGACGGAGACATAGATGCAGACATAGACGCAAACATAGACACAGACATAGACGGAGTCATGGACGAAAACAACGACGAAAGCAACGACGAAAGCAACGACGAAGAGGAATCAGACGAAAATGAAAGTTAATAAAACTTGATGATAATGAGATAATGAAGATTCACCGTGGTCCGATAATACGTAATCGAATTACTTTTTATAAATGCATAACTGACATAGTGTAATTAAAGCCAATAATCACTCAAAATAAAATTGATTTCAATAAAAAAAAATTATCCGGTATAACGTGGTTTGTTGTTACCATGCAGCTTTGACGCAGACCATTCTTTCGTTAATGACCACATAAGTATTGATCATCTGAATGTGACTACGATGGTTTGTGTTTTATTAGTTTGATTAAAGACGGTTATAGAGACCTACCCATTATAAATGTAATGGTTCATCATTTTGATAAGAACAATACGGAAAAATACATATGATCGCCTGAGATTTATGAACGGTGGAGTAAAATAGCCACCAAAAAATGACTATTGTGTATTCAGATACATGCAAAATACATTTGTAAATTGGAATTCAAAGCTGTAGTTCACTAGTTAAAATGGGTTTCCTTAGATGCTTTAGTTTTTCCGTGATTTTATTCAATTCAGTACATTTATCTGTGACCATATATTACAGTAAAATTTCACCGAGAGCGATTTTTATCCTATTTCCATTTAAATAATGGAACAACCCGAATATGTTATTAATTTATATAAACTACAAATGATTGAAAAATAGATTCTTAAGAGGTGTATTTTCAGCCGACCAATGTGTGGCACAGCTTCCGAGCCTTTAAACAAATAAATTCGCATAAGCACAGCAAATTATTTCATTGGAAAACTTACATATTGTATGGATACAGTCGGCTTGAAGGGACAGAGTGAAACCATATAGGATGTTTTAGATGTATGTATCTACGCATAAACGGCTCCTACATGTTTTGATTATAAAGGAAAAAGGGGAAGAGATGTATATGCCGAGTGTCTATCTAAAACGAATGTTCTTTTCACCAAGTCTTTCATAGTTTATAGTACAATTATTTTCTTTATCAACTGTTTATTCAAGCTGTATTATTGTTGACTAGTTTTTTTTTTTTTTTTTTTTTTTTTTTTTTTTTTTTTTTTTTTTCAAATCAATAAAGCTGTTATGGCTTAGACACGTATTCAAATACTCCTTGAACATTGCTATATAAGTTTGTCACATTTTATGTCTCTTGATGTTTTTAATTTGTATTTTCCACTACAACAATATCTTTCTACATGCATTTTAGTGATTATATTCTAGCTTTTTTTGCAATAATAATGCCGGTACCTTACACTGCTGCTCATGGCTCCCGCCCATCACCCTATCTTATAAAAGAGTTGGTAGAGCAAGACCAAGTTAATCCAAAAGCGTCTTCAAATACTGGAAGACGTGGATCGCTCTTAGATCGCAGAAGAAGAGGTATTGTCAGTCGCCACACTGATGATGAACAAAATGTAGCAAGCGATGGAACTCCATTAAACCATGATGGTCTCCCTTCAAATGAAATCAAAGGTCCTGGTTTTTAAGAAAAGACTTCCAGATGCTAATGCTATTGATGCCGATAGCAGTATCCTCTACCACAACCACATAAATGTTTTCTTCCCCGAAAAAGTATTTAGCTTTAGCTTTATTTTTAAAGGTGTCAGAATAAAATGTATGGCATTTCAATCAATTTCACAATAGTCACATAGGCTGGCTTGATAAATCTCTATTTTATCGTTAACATTTGGCATGAATCTATTTGACTAACTTGCCCAATATAAAAAAAATTATAATGCTGGTAAATATTTAAGCTGATGAAAACAGTACCTCAAAGACATCTGGTAATTATACGTTTGAATAAAGCAAACATAATTCTTGCAATTAGATAAATATGATAATTAAAAAATGGCTATCGTTTTTAAATATAAGTCATGACAGCCAATTTGATGTAAAAATCATACCATGTTTCATGTGAAACTCTTAGAACTGCATTCATATTAAACAGATAAAAATCGTTAAGAAAATGACTGGCAGACTAGTAAGTCCTGTATCGAAGTAAATGAAAAAGTTTCCCATTGGTAGAGATGTTTCTATGTCACAACATACACTTAGCGCAATAGGGATGTTTGGCTGTTTATCTACAGTACATATTAACGGCCTACATTTATATATATCATTAATAATGCCGGTAGTTGTACATCTGAGAAAGGATCATCACGAATTTTGATGCTGAAAAATACGTCCAAAACAAAGAAAGATATGCACAGAACCTATAGTCAGCTGAAACACATACAATAATGCGGGTGAGAACAAGTGACGAGGCATTAGTGTAAAATGATTACTATGGTATAGGCGAGATATGTCAAAATGCATCGTGTTCTGATATTACATATCTGGATAATAGTACCCTTATAATAGGAAGCTACTAAATTACCAGAAAACTACTAATTGTTAATTCCAACGGCACCTGACTAAAGTTGGGCTTAGTAAAGTACTTTTAGAACGATTTAAAAGATTGCTTCCCTAAATAGCAACGCTTTGTAAATAAAAATTCATGTACAATTAAATATTGCGCTGCAGATCGTTTTTTTTTTTTTTTTTTTTTTTTTTTTCTAAATCAAGGATTTATAAGCGAGATGAAAAAGAATGTTAAAAGCTTTTATATATCTATTATCACCACCAGATTAAGTATTTTTATTAGCCGATTCAATGGTCCAGAAATTTAACACTTGTAGATAATAAAATAGACATAAGTTTTTTGATGGAACAGAAATGCGTCTATTAGCGTCACGTTTTGTTTGGAACAGTTTTGTTTGCATGTAAACAAACCCAGCTTCTGCACTTGGCGTATAACGGTAGTCCAGAGGTAGTATAAAAAGTCGAAAGTTTTTGATCCGTACGTTTCAGCTATAATTTTTAATTCATTTACTTCAAAATGCATTTTTCTAACTCCTTTGTCTACTTGATAGCTATTGTTCTAATAATGGCTTCTCTGACTGTTTCAGCTTATGAAAATGAAGAAGAAAAACATCTTGTCTCTGAATCAAACGCATTACCAATCGGTAGTGCCATGCGTCGCAGGAGAATAGACAAGGCCGCAAGAAAACGAGATGTCAAAAACACTTTATCTAATAAGGAAGGGACAAACACTAATAATCTCTGCGGACACTGTGCTGTCGCTGACAATAGCTAAAGTCAAAGAGAAAATAGTGCTCATAATCAACGATCGAAATGAATTAAATAAATTAGGTCTTCTTTCTCTGTTACAATGACTCCATATGACATACCCAATTTATCATAGCATTTAAGCATACTTAACAGATCGGGGTGCTACTACATTTGGCATGGTAGTGGTAAGAGTGATATAATTACCTAAAGCGAACACGCATGGCAACACCAATGCCATGGCTTTATTGTATTCCTTTTTGGTTTTGATGGGCGCGGATATGTCTCCGCAACAAGTGTTCTTTTTTATACTTGCTACACAGCATTGTGAACAATCGCAATCAGGTGTGATCCGTTTATTGTTCTCAGAAATTAAAAAAAAAAAAAAGTCCAAACCCAATAGGTCAGAAAAATCTTAATTTTTTTTTGTTACGCAGAATTGTACAATAAGGCATGAAAGTTATCTTTTCAATTGATCATTAAAAAAGAAAAAAGAAAGTTTTGTATGTGTATCAATGTAAGCTTTATTATTATAAGAATGGGGGGTTTAGATAGTAGTTATTTGTTCACCGTGGATGAAGATCCTGCCTTCATTTGATTGTCATAGATAGGAGGTTTATTCATATCTGATACTAAGACGGCTTCCTCTTGTCTGCTTACGATAGTTTCATCTACAGCAGTGGTTGGTAAACTTTGAGGCACCTGGAGACTTTGATCTCTCCATTGTTGTGGCACAGATCTGAATCCCTGCATAGTATGCTCAAACCAGGTACGTATACCAAGACGTTGCATGGACAATAAAGCAGCCGAAACAAGGCCTGATATGAACCCAATACCATCATTCGAGTATGCTACCAAACTACCTGTTGTTAATAGCATGATGGTAAAATTCTCTCTTTTTCGCACTTCGTCCTGTTCAAAATCATTTACAGATCTTGCAGCACTTCCTAATTCAACACCTGATATAAATAACATGACTGCCAAGAGCGAGGTAGGGAAGGCTTGTAGTAACCCGACCAGCGAGCTACCAAATAGTATTCCCAAAAGTAACTTGCATGCACCCAAAAAGATAACGGAGACTTCTGTTCGAGCACCAAAACGATATTGACCGGCTAACCCACCAGATCCATGACAGAGTGGCATAGCACCAAACCAACATCCGATCAGGTTCATTATTCCCACGCTCATGGCTACACGAGATGTAGTAGCGTGCTTTTTAGGAAACAAGTCATCGATCAATGCACACAATGCAATGACTGAGTTTAATGAAGTCAATGGAAGTTGTCCCAAACCCGCATTTAAGAAGCCAGTACGGAATTCAGACGCGCTAGGTACAATCACGGTATCAGGATAATGACCTCCAATCACGCTGGGTCGTGGTAAATCAGCTCCGGCAGTGGTAGCAAACATCAAGACTAGTGCAAAGATGAGACCAATACAAAAAATGATTAAAGCAGACGGGATACGTGTACGATAACAAGCTACGACAAAAATAAATGCTAATAACACCCATGTATTGTTGTTGGCCCAGTTGCTTTTATCAATCGTCCATTTAAGACCGGGGATCAGATTATGCGCTTTGATAATGAGTTGAATCGCTGTACCAAGCTGTAAACCTAAAATCTGCATGAGATTTTTTCAAAGGTGTGACAACATGGTGTCATATGGCATACCTTTAATAACAGGAGTAGGGGTAAAAGCTCCAATGAGATGGATTGTTCGAGTTATACCAAGGACAAATATAATAGCACCCACCGCTATATCATAAAGTAAGTCTTGAGTATATATATATATATATATATATAAAAGTAAAGACTTAAAAAAAAACTTACATAACCCGGCTGCCATATTCTCATTGATTGACATGTGTTTGGTCAAGACAACAGCAGCGATGGCTATATGTGCCAAATTTAGAAAAAATAAATTTAATCAGGGTATCTTTACAAATAAAAGCCATTGGCTACCTTTCATTGGTTGGACACAAACAGGCACCTGGAACATCAATCCTGATAGAATATTCCATATACCTGTGAACCACAAGGTGCTTGTAAGGTTGATCTGGCCTGAAACTGCCAAAGACATCATAATGGGTAAAAGGGTTCCAAGATCACCCAAGCTGCCAGATATCTGATTTTTTTGTAAGTTTTAATTTTTTTTTCTCGCGCAATGAACGAACCTCCTGCAAGGTAAAATTTTCTCTGTAACGTCGTAAATAATTCATGATGAAAGAAGGGAAGAAGAGGAAAAAAAAAAAAAAGATTCTGCAAAGCAGCATTGTACAAATAAATAAAAAAAAATGCGTAGTTTAAAAAAAGTCCGTGTAACAGATAGGCAACTATCTGTGTGTATGTGTGTGTGTGTGTGTGTGTGTGTGTTTATTTACATAGGGGGAGGCATATTACTATCCATTTCTGTTGGCTTTCTCTTCCAGACAATATCCAAAGTTCTTTCAGCTAACAAACGATCCATTGTCACTTGCCATTGTTCGAGCTCTTTATCTTCGACATTACCACCCATCTCTAACAAAGCCAAATGAGGTACACCGTTCTTTAACAAGACCTCCACCATAGCCTCCAAATCCTGATGCATAATATGATTACAACCAATGTCCAAACGTTTGATATCACTGCCGCTTAATTCGGGCAGTAAACTTGGGTCAGCACCAAATCCACCAATCAAATTACTGAACAGTCCAAGGTAGTGTAACTGTGTATCCAACAGTGCACCGAAACCCTTTGCTCCAATGCCGTTCTCACCCAATTCCAAGTGGCGTAATGTATTGATCTTGGATAACAAGACAGCACCATCATCATCAATACGGTTTTGACGCAATTTTAATTCGACGATAGATGTGGCAGCCAAATGTTGTGTGAATCCTGTCAAGGCACTTGATTCGATACCGTTATTATCCAACCAAACGTGAGTGAGAGCTGTGTTGGATTGGAAGGCTTTACCCAAAGCTTGAGCTAAAGCATTACCATGTAAAGTACGTGTCTCATCCGTCTTTTTCGCCTCATTCTCTTCCTCCAACTTATTATCGCCTTGTTCTAACGCAGGTGGTGGTAAAAGTGATAATTCGGTTTCGGCAGAGACAACATCGACCATCTTTAAAATACGTAAATGTTTGTTGTTTTCCAACGCGGCTGCAATAAGACTGGCACCGGCCAAAAGTGAATTATCAGATAATTCCAATTCTTGCACTTTACTGTAACGGTTACTGATTAAATGTTCAGCAATGGCCTGAGCACCAACAGGGCCGATTTTGTTCATGGATAAGTTGATCTTTAATAAACCTGACATGGCAGGAGCCAAGATCTCCATGGCCGCATCGTCCAGATCGTTTCTAGCCAAGTTTATTTCTTGCAAAGTTTTGTTCTTGGCAAGACACTGAGCAAGACTATGAAGTACGTGATAATTCTTTTTGGTGAATAAACCCTTGTTTTCCAAATCCAACTTGATAAGGCCTTCATTGGCAGCCAAACCTTCACAGAACAAACCAAAGACATGTTCGTCGTGACCAAAAGAAGCGCTACCCAAGTTTAATGTCTTGAGGGTATCGTTCAATGTCAGTGATTCAGAAAGGTGGTCTACACTGGTTGCGTCCAAGACATGTCCAGAAACGTACAGATCGCGAAGGTGTGTGTTGGTACCGATCGCTTGAAAGATACGACCTAATTCTGCAGTGGTGACACGTCGAATGCTCAAGATATGAAGTGAAACTAATTTGGGATCATCTTCTTCAAGTTGTTTGACCCATCGATCAACAGCGCCGTCATTACCTCCCCAAACCATTTTTATTTTTTTTTATGATAAAAAGTAACGAGTTTTCTTTTCGTCTGTTAAAAATTGTTTAAAAAAACGTAATTCTTACACTGTGACTTTTTTTTTCGTCGTGTGGTGGTAATGTAATGGTGGTGGGGGAATCATATTTTATTGTACAAAATTATTATCAATATAAGGAGTAAGATTTGGGAAGGAAAGGAGTAGTAGGAAGGGAAAAAGATTGTTTTTTTTTAAGAAAGAAGGAGGCAAAAAGTGGTAGAGGATTTCATACAAGGATGAGAAAAGTGGGGGGTAACATACGCATTGAAACGTATAGCATTAAATGGTAGGATTATTGAGATCTTCTTCTGTATTAATATCAGTTGATTTATGAATATCATCTAGACTTCCTCTGCGTGGTTCTTCGACCACCTTGACGGATTTGGGCAAGGGAGAAGATTCAGAAGAAATTACTTTTGGCATGGCAGGTCTACTGCTATTACCCGACGTACGTAGAGTCCAAGGTAAGGCACCCATTCTACTCGTTGCATGTTAGTCTTTTATTAATACAATAAAGTCTTTTTAATATGGAAGACTTACCTTGCATAAAACATTTGCAACCTTAAACGCATCGCCTCATGATAGAGATCAGGGATACTTCTGTTACTATACAAACCTTGTCTGATATTTCTAATCAATACATAAAATTCACAGACAGCAACCAATCTATCACGACAGAATCTATCGATGCAAGCCCAATCATCAAAATACGAAATTCTAAATCGATAAGGTAAAGAGGTGCCATCATTTCTTCCACAGGCTTGACATCCACTAAACACCGTCGATTGATTGTTTGAACTGAATCTTTCCCACATCATTGACTTTGCACCCGAGAATTTTAATGGTGTCTCACCCACCGCTCTTTTTGATTGTTCTTCAGCAAATCCAGGTGGAGCTTCTTCAATGAAACAGGTATTCAATACAATGGCTTCATTGATTTTACGAGCAGATAATCTTGAATTAGGACCAAAGCGCAAACAAGCTTCCACATCCTCTTCTTGACAGTATTTCATAAATGGGATTGTATGAAGTTTTTTCAGAGGGACCGAGGTTCCTGCTTTTACAAATTCTTCAAATTCATCAAGAATTAGAGAATCAATCTGAGCATGCTTTTGTTCATTTGTCAACAGAGTCATGCGTTCTGCTAATAGACTTGTGATATCCTTGATATGATCTGGTGTCTTTGGCATGATACTATCGTCCACCGCCATATCCTCCATCCTCTTTCGAAGTTCCTTTAATTGCATCTGTTCAGCTCCTAATCTCTCTTTTGTCTCTTGCAATTGATTCTCCAAATGCTTTTGAGCAATTTCCAAATTATGTTTAGCTCTCTTCTCTGTTGCAACCATACCATTGGCCTCTTCAAACAATCGACGAGAAAGGTCTTCTAATTCACTTTCGACCATATCTTTTGAATGTTGAATTTCAGCAACTCGTTCAATTTCATCCACATATTTGTCATTGAGTAATTCCATATCACTCTGTAAAGCTTGAAATCGGCTCGTCTTGTCTTCCAACTCACGTTGCACTTGTTCCATACGCAAGTTTAACTCACTGATACACTTTATTTGCTCTTCAATTCGAACCTGTTCCTCCCCGAGTTGTTGTTGGAGCTGTCTTATTTCTTCCTGGTATTGCGCTTTCTCGGCCAGAAGCTCCTCAATGATTGGGATGGGCAAATGGCATAGTGAGCAAGTGGTAATGTCGTCTTCATTTAAAATGTGTTTACAAGGACAATCTTGAGTTAATGGAGATGTTTTCTTGTTTGTTGTTGGCAACATGGGAGAAGAAGAACTGGGTGACATTGGAAGAGAAGGTGGGAGTGGGATAAACTTGGCTTCGGGATTATCGCTTGTTGGTTTATCAATAGCTGCTTGAAGACTCGAATAAAGATGCGCAATATCTTTCTTTTTGGCTTCTAATTCATCCTTATTGCTTTCCATTATAAATAAAATAGATGAAAGAAAAAGTAAAAAAAAAAAAACAAAAAAAAAAAAAAAAACTTAAACTTGTGTGTGTGTAAGTGAAATGGTTCACGTGATCTACAGTGAAGGAGGGGTCAATTGTCCTCTCCATAACTCCTTTATTACTTTTCCATTTATAATATGTCTATCAAATAAGGCTGGTACGTGGCATTGTCTAACATTACCATATATTTGGCCACCTAAACCTCTTTGATGAATAATGACATTACCAGCAAATTTATGACCTATCAATGACGAGATGATTAGTTTAATTCCCCGCGCTACAATAAAACGTTTTTTTTACCTCCAAAATGACTTGTACCCCACACTTTGACTTTGTTTGACAATCCTTTTTCTTCAATCACCTTATTAAATTCATCCACAATCAATGGCCCCAATTTACCACACCGCATGTCTCTTCTTTCATGTGTACACACCAATACAACCGTATCTGCTTCCACATCTTGTAATTTATCCAAGTGGGGTAAAGGTGAAGTAGGGTCCTGCCAAATATGGCTCAAAACGGAGTAGAGTGTGCTATCTGTGTCAATCGATAGTGGGTCTACAGAGGGAATAATTTTAAATTCGGGAAAAAGCATGACATCTGGCTTATTGTCCATGGTAGGTGTTTCCGATACAGTATACATCACCATGGCTTGAGAAGCTGGCCGATGTGTCTTGAGCCAATTGTTCTCTGTAAGCATAATCGTTTGCATAATACCAGGTACAGACTCCACTTTAGCTCGAGTCCATTCTACAGCATCATAACCCACACATGGCATAATATGTCGCACCGCATCAGGGCGGCACATATCAGCCGAAAGTTCAATCTTTTTACCTAGTACGACAGGCATAGGGTGTGCTTGACAGGGGACAAAACCATTTTCCGTACTTTTGGCATTGACATCAGGACAGCATGGCTCGAATCTGGAAAACGGAAACGGTTTCTTGTCAAATGGTATATTAGTCGAGTACAAGCGCAAAGGTGTTTTAGGTAATAGTCTTTTCAACATTAGGTATATAAAGAAAGAAATTGTAAATGAATTAAAAAAAAAAAAAACTTTCCTATTTATACTTACTTATCGGCGCTCATGCGCGCTGTTTCGGGAAGTGTAATACAATTTGTCAACAGCCATTTTAACCGCAGGTTGCAGTTCTTCTTTTACAATAAGATATTCTTCCTGTTGTTGTGGTATCACTCATTTTTTTATATGTTGCATTTTAACATTAGTACAGCTTGTACATATGGAGACAGGCATGGGGAGCGATGTGATTGAGATGGGTCGTCTTGAGCCCATGGAGTACATTGTTTAAAATAAATCTACCGTTTACTCCTACAAAGATCAAGGAACACCCAAGGGTATCTAACTGACTTGGCTCGCAACACAACTATGAGCGTTATCGATTAATTAAGGCTGTCGACTGTGAAAAAAAAGAGTGTCGGTTCAGGAGAAAGAGATGAAATGAAGGTTACACTTACGCAGCAAGCAATACATGCAATATATGGTAAGAGCTACCACAATGGTAAGTAAAATAACAGTACTATAAGATTTGGTGGTGTCTACCTGTATTCATACAAAAAAATAAAGAGCGATATGATGAATTATAAATTTTACTGCCATAGACAAGGCAACTTTATAATAATGAAAGGGAAAAGACGTTTTTATTTATCTATGACACCAGTGTAAAATAGTTCCCGATAAACAGTTGGTTAACGAGCCAGGAACGAGAATGTGGAAGCGTATACTGACCCGAAAATTGAATCTAAACCGTATACAAGTACGAGGTAACTTGATCCCCAGCCTAACTTTTGGCTACCTCACAATACACAACAGAAAAACTCATAATGAACAATGCATTCTGCACCATGTTGGGGGCGTTACTTTTTTACCATAGTAACAGGACGTTATCTGCGCCATTAGACAAATATTGGTTTTAGGGTTAATACTCTGTGCAACTGTCTAAAAGGATGTCACTCTCTGGCTGGCTACGTGGATTGCTGTAAACAGACAACCCAGGCTAAGCTCTTACAAGACTTACTCGAGTATCAAACGTTTTATAGCACCGTCGTTCAAGAATAAAGCTCATAATGAAGTAATTTCTTACTACCTTCGCCAAGAACGATCAAGAGTGGGAACTGACTTTCACGAGGAGTCTTGTAAGTTAAAAGCCAATCTGCTACGTTAACCACTGAAATCAACTGAAGGTGTGGAACCGAAGTAAGAGTTCCTAAAATTAGAAATATGAATCCATAAGTCAGAGTGTACACGAATAAAACATTACACATAAGATGACCTCTCGAGTGAAGCCAAGTGTAAGCTTTGATAACCAGCAAGCTCCTCTCTAGAAACTGATTACATAAGAAAAAAAATTCCTGCCTCAAACTCCCTTATATACAAACTTGATCTGTTTTGTTACTTCCCCATTCATCGCATACTACCCATTAATCAGTCCATTGAACTTTAGGCAGACTCATACGTACAACATGGCGTGCTAAATATGACAATGTAAATTATTATGCATTGAAATATTTGCCTTCAAATGAGGGATGATTTTGTGTGACCAAATAAATGAAGGTCTTCAGCCAACTACAAATTTGCTCTATTAGGATTGATAGATTATAATTGCTGTTTAACATTTTCTCGATTGTATACTGACCAAGAGCATAAGTTTCTGGACAGGACAGCGTGATGTCAGTGTAAAAAAGCTTATATTACATTCCTTTTAGCTGGTAACACAAATGAGCCAACCCTCATTTCAACGATTCATAATTTACATAATAAACCTGAAAATAAAATTCAGATTTATATAGAGCAAGCATGCCGATTTAGCAAGATAGAACAGATAAATAATGCTGATATACCTTGTGGTTTTTTTCTGGAAATATTAGGCTTATTCCCAACAAAATGTCAAAATTTACTTTGGGCGGTCATTTTTTTTTTTTATCTGTTGATCCAGCTTAGTTTCAACTTTTTTTTTTTCTTTGCATGAAGTGCAAATAGAGCTTAAGGTCTAGACTCCAGAATCTAGTAAACAGTTTATCAATTGATGGAAGTGTGTACTTTTTGTATCTTGCTTCATCTAAAAGCTTTGATTGTAACAGCCTAAATAGGAGTTTTATAATACCTTTGACACGAAATAATACTCATGTGTGTGCTGGATCTTTTATAAAAAGATTCAATATATCGTGACTCTTTTAAAACATAAACAAAAAAAGGAGAGAATTAAGTTAATGTAGCGTGGGAGCCAAGCCAATGACATAATCATTATTTTTATTCAATTCATCAGTTTCATCAGTTTCATCAGTTTCATCAGTTTCTTTTTTCTTTTTATCATCATTTTTTTTTTAAAGACTACCTCTTCAAAAGTCAAAGGCTCTTTCTAGCACTGCAAAAGGTACTTTTGATGTGTTATTTATGGCTATTACCTGTGTAAGTTCATGTCTAACAACTTTGATAGCTCTCAATAATAATGTTCTTTGACAGGGTCTTCATTCAGCTCTTTTCGAGCAAGTAAAAGAACCTTGGCTTTGTTCTGCTCCTGGTTGACAGGGCAAAAAAAGAGGTAAGCTCATGTATATCATATTAGATATCAATTAATATTAATACCCTTTGACAGAGCCGTTATTTCGCTCTCTTTAAGCCGGCGGAATAATTTTTTCTGCCTGTGCTTAAGCTCCGTAGGTGTATACTTTATCATCTCGTAAACTATATACTGACACCGATTTTTTTTTTTTTTTTAGTCGTCGGCTACTTCTTATCCTTTGGTGGGGTCTTTCTCTACACCTTTATAAAAGAATTATTTCTGTCCGTCCGCTTCTTACGGTCTCCCTCGCGTCGTAGGGGGACAGGAGCTTGATTTTTCTCAGCTCCTGGTTAAAAGAACAGAAGAAAAAAAAAGAGGTAAGTTCATGTCTATCAATCTGTATAACCCTCGATCGTAATATTCTTTAACAGTACACTCTTTCCTGGCTTTTCGGGTCTGAAAAGGGTTCTTTATTCCTCGCCCTGGATTTATGTATGGGTATATATTATCTTCTTGTTAATGATTCATAATTAACATTAATTTCTATCTCAGTCTTGGAGGAGGTTTTTTCTTATCTTGTTTTCCTCCACTTCTTTGTGGAGGAGCACGAAGCATTTTTCGTCCGTCTTTGTTTTAGCCGGGGAGCTTCGGCTCCCCTTACGCACGTTCCAAGGAGCCAGTCGAATGGCCTTCTTCTGCTGCTGGTTAGCAGGACAAAGGTAAGAAATCACTTGAATTCATATTATTTAATTATGGTTAATAACAATGTCACATTGAACAAGGTTAAAGAGTCTGTAAATTCATACAAACCTCGTTGCATAGAAAAAAAAACCTTTCTATTTCCAGAGCGACAATATAGTCAAGTATTCCAAACAAGACTATATTGTCCAATTATGGGGATACACGCTCAAGACGTTTTTTTTCCTCGGTGGATAAAACCACCCTTCAAATCCGTTGGTAATTATAACTTCCGGAATAAAATATTTGTATGTACTGAATGTAATATATTAGGGGCGAAACCATGTTAAGCAGCCACAAAAGTCAAAATTTGCGTATGAAGTTAGACATGCGACTTATGGTAATGGATAAAAACAGTATGTCATCGACGGCTTAAATGGTGAATACGCTCGTAAACCTGGGAGTGGTAAATTCTAAAAGGATAAGTTGAAGCTAGTGCTGGGCGGAATGCCATATTTGAAAGAAATTCTGGAAACGTCTCCATTTTTAGAAGAAAAGGATGTCGTAAATATTAAGATTCCAATGATTCGAATTATGGGGTTTAAAGCTGTAGAATCCATTGTCCGTATACAAGACAAGGGTCTTATCCTTTGGTGGGGTCTTTCTTCACACCTTTATGAAGACATTTCTCTTGTTCAGCCGCTTCTTACGGTCTCCCTCGTGTCAGGAGCTTGACTTTGATAAGCTCCTGGTTAACAGGACAAAAAAAAAAGAGGTAAATCCATGTCTATCAATCTGTATAACGCTCCATAGTAATATTCTTTAACAGGACACTCCTTCCTGGCTTTTCGGGTCTGAAGAGGGTTCTTTATTCCTCGTCCTAGATTTATGTATGGGTATATTTTATCTTCTTGTTAATTATCCATAATTAACATTGATTTTTTTTCTTAGTCTTGGACGAGGTTTTTTTCTCCTCATATTGCTTTCCTCCGCTGCTTTGTGGAGGATAACATGGAGTTTTTTGTGTCCGACTTTTCCTTAGCTGGGGGGGCTTCGGCTCCCCTCACACACGTCCCAAGGAGCCAGGCGTATAGCCTTGTTCCGCTCCTGGTCAGCAGGGCAAAGGTAAGAAACTGCCTGAATTTATAGTTATGTTTCTAAATAAACTTTTTTTTTTCACATTACATAGTTCTGAAGGCGTTGTCCTTGCTAAGATCCCCTCAGGCTTTGCCCTGACTTTTCTGCCTGGGGCGTCTCTGAATCGGGGTATTTTTGGAGGTTTTTTACCTTTAATTAGTGGGGTCTTTATAGAAGCGGCCTTTAACTGTTCATCCTTCAACAGCGACCATTCAACAAAGACCTGTGATTGAGGTAAAAACAAGGATAACTAGCTCGCGTTTATTTTGTAAAAGCTTTTAATACTTCATGTTTAGCAGGAACGAAGGGAAAAAACTTGTCAAGTCACAAACTGACTCGGTAAGAATCAAGTTTTAATGTACTGAACCTTCTCTTATCTGCTTATAAATGTAGACAAGTTCCCATATTATAACTGTGGATTCTTTCTACGTACCTGGCTTGGATGACACCTTGTGTCACAATTTAAAAAAATGTGCACTATTAATGTCGAAACCTGTCAAAAGAAACGAAAGACAAGGATGTATCAGTAAGTTGATCAAGGATTTTTCGTTGGTCAAGGTAAAATGAATTTTTCTATAAGGCGTTCGTGTATATACAGAAATGACTAAATAAACGTTTGATAGCATTTGCTGAAAGAAACTCGAGAACATAATCGATGAAGGGAAGGTTGATGATGACACTGATGAAAAAACATCATCAACCTTTACCTTGATTTTATGCTTTGGGTGTGTGGTTCATTGTAGCCAACAGCCTACCTCCATTGAATAAACATGAATCTTATTTATTCTCCTCAAAAAAAGTGAATCACATAAAAAGTTAACTCTTTTCTGCTGACCCGGTATTTAGAATGATGTGACATCATGGGGTGAAGGGACGAAAAGGCATAAGTCTTTTTGTCTACAGTAATTAAAAAACGATATAATGGAAATGACATCATTGTACAGTTACGATGATCTGGTGTAGCCATCCCCTCTTTTTTTTTTTTTTTAGCCGAGATTTGCAAAAACTCAGAAAAAAGGGGTGGATGAATTGATGTAAAAAAAAAAAAAAAGGAAAGAGGTTCATAACGTATTTCAGTTTCCTATTGGAAACGCAGGGACGGTTGGGGGGGGGATATAAGCCTATTTTGTTACACTTTTTGTTTTGTACATCAATTTAAAAACATTAAATTGTTAAAGGGGGGATGGGGATATGTCTATAATGTTTCAGTACTCCTAAACCCGTGGGTAACAAGATTAACCGTATAATGAAAAACAAAGGGATTTACACAATCCTTTTTTTTTGTTCGTGTTTTTTTTTGCATTTTACCGTGTTGTTACACTAACAACAAACAAAATAATAAATACAGATTTCCATGGTGAACAAAAATGTTTACCATCATTCCCAATATGTGGGTATCGTTAAAAAAAAAAAACTTTGAAAAGGCTAAAAAATGTCCCTCCCCCCCCCCCCCAAAAATGGTGACACCTGCATTTTTAAGGAGCTCTCTCTCTTTTACGTATGTAGATGACATGGGCGGAGACCAATCACAAAATTATGATACCACTTTTTTTTTAATACGCGATCGTGTGTACGCCCAAACATACACACAAAATACAAAGTTACACATGTACCTCTTGCTTTTACCGATGATCTGTCCGGATACCTAGAAATCCTGATGTCGGGGCAAAGTTAAAAGTGTCGCGTTTTAAGTATCACACACAATTGCGTTACCCGTGCTTTTTGTTTATACCGGCTTTCATTGAAGGTTTTGGGCTTTTTAATCATGTCTTTAGCAGGAATGGTACACAAGATAGAAAATCAAAATGGTCTCCCAACCCGTAAAAAAACAAAAGAAAACAGCAGCCAGTTTACATTTAAACCTTTTCTCTCGCATCGAAATAAATAAAAAACAGACTGTTATAATCATTGTTTTCTCCTCAACCATATTGGAAAAAAAAAAGCGCATCTACTTATGTAAGTTACAATTCTTGGAAATAATAATTTTGTTGTTCATACGACATTGTGACCATATAAACCTATCAATCCTTTGTTCATCATCCCTTTTTTTTTTTTTGGTGATTTTTTTTTCTATCCAATGTCAAATAGTAGACTGTCGATAGTGTAATGGAAGTTGATGTCATTTGAGAGTATGTCACTACGAAATCATATTCAGTAACACCGCAAGCAAAAAAAGAATGAGTGATCGTTAAAGTAGAATAGAAAACAACATGACACATCTCTTGCATAGAAGTGGAGATATAGCTTACTCATGTTTACTTTGGGGGTATCCATAAAACAGCTTTTTTCTTTAGTTTAGCCATTGTTTCAACAATTTCCTCTATAGTATCTCTGGAGTCGATACTATTGCTTTATAGATGAATAGCAAACATTTTTATCCACTCGTGTTTTAAGTCCTCATTAGTCATTTTTTATACTATCAAAATAATAAAGTTGGTGGGGCCACATACACAAAAAAAAAAAAAAAAAAAAAAAAAAAAAAAAAAAAAGAAAGAGAAGAGGGGATTTCTCAAAATGAAAATAACTTTATCATTTTCACTATGGATACGTGACTACTGCAATGAACGTCATCAGTGCAATGATGATTGTACTACTGAGATTTAATCCTGAGTACAAGAGAAGTATTTAAATAAGTAAGAAACCGTTAAAGTTTCCGATTTGCACTAGTACCAACTGAAATAGATATGCATATACACACACTGGGGAGGGGGGTGGGGGAAAAAAACCGAGTATGACCTCTCTCTCTCTCTCTCTTTTTTAGATATATATATATAACTTTATTATGTCACACTACTTGTTGGAGTTGCAATTGAGCTTGTACTTGTCACTGTCACAACTTGTATTGTTGTTGTCTTTGATGATTCATGATTATCCAGGGCCTTACCCAATCCAACCAAGACAAAGGTGATAGCAATCAATGCACCCACCACAATCATCATGACAGCAGCGACCCAACCTCGAGGGGATCGTTTTTTTTTAGCCATACCACCAAAATAACCTCCAATGTGTTGTTCACTATCATCGTCCCCAACCGCTGTAGATCCCGGTGAGAGTCTAGGATCGCTGTAAGAATGTCGAACCACTTTACCCGTATAACTTTTCTTTCGTGAGATCATTCGCTTTAATTTCCCCTTGAGTGAGGCGGGTTCCTCTAATGATTCCATCACCTGTACTGGTTTACAGTCAATACGTAAGCCACTGGCTTTCTTTACAGGTAGAGGTGGCATGATGGTAGCACTAGATGACTTTCGACGTGTCTCTTCCATTTGTTGTTATATAATTGAGAGAGAAAGAGAGAGAGAAAAATAATAAATAATAATAATATATTTTGTTTTTTGCTTTATAAACCACAAAAAAAAAACGTCATTGCCGTGTTATTGAACCGTATTGTAAACTGAACGATGATGATCTTTTTTATATGTGTCTCCTAGCTAGATATTGCAAGATGACTGTGTCTGGTATTCACATCATTTCAAGTGATTCAATGTGTTTTGTGTGTGTAGGGGTGAAATTATAGTCAAGGGAGGCGTAATTTTTATTTTTTATTTTTATTTATTTGTTTTAGACATATAGAATACATAATTGACATAAGATGGCAGCACACATAGATTAATAAAGCATAATTGTAAGGAAAAGTAATGGTGGTTGGGGGCGGAGGTGTGTGTGTGGGTGGGGGTGGGGATACATACTGTTATAAGGAGGAGGAGGAGGGGCCTAAAAAAGAGAGAGAGAGGGGGGTGTTACACTAGATTATCTGGGAGTGAGGGAACGGCGATCCCGTTGTTGTTGTTGTTGTTGTTGTTGTTGCTGTGGTGGTGGGGACGGAACAATAAGCTTTTGATTGATTTCATTGGTCATTTTTTTTAAACGACGTTCCAAATGGCGCACCTGTGACATGAGATCATCATAGGCAATACTTAATTCTCGATCCACCTCATCCAGATGTTCTTCAGATTCATTACGATTGACAGTAAATGCATTACGAATAGAATCCAAAACAACATGAATTGTGTTCCATTCGTAGAACAAGTAATCAATTTCATTTTGGAAATGATCAATGGTTAAAAGTGCTTCTTCATTATTGAGAACGGTCATTAAGGTGAATGCAATGGGATATATTTCCATGGTCTTTATAAAAAAGTAAAAAAAAAAAAAAATAAAGAAAAAGAGAAGGAAAAGAAAAAAAAAGGCAATCTCTTTTTATATAAAAAAAAGAAAGAGTTAAACCTTCTTCTTTACTTGCCACTTCATGAACGTGTGTGTCAGTACTGTATTATCCAAACATGCACACAAGAAAAAAAAAAAAGCTGGGCTTGCATATTCCCAAAAACGCTAAAATGTAAACTGTAGGCCATTTAACTTTTATCCGAGAATTGGCATCTTTTTTTTTTTTTTTTTTCTGTCTGACGCGCCACTACTACCATATCAGTCCATCATCCGATTCTCATACCCCGCTCTTTTGGTCCCCCCCACCCCTTTAAATCTTAATCGCCCATCACTCACAGAAAATACGCGTGCTTCCCACCCCCCGTGCCAAGAAACATTTGATTGGTCAAGAACGCGATTTTATGTGACGTCTATGAGGTAACCTTTTTCGAACGCTTTGATTTTTTTATTTTTTTTATTTTATTTTATTTTTTTGTATTTGCAAACACTAGAATGAGTCAAGATGCTAAAGAGGGAGACGATGGTCTTAATCTAAAATTCCATACCAAATTACTCCCAAAGACAGTAGCAGAAATAGAAGAGGTACATGCTAGAGTACGTAAACTCTTTGTTCGTAAACGTACCAAAGCAGGTCATACAGCTATCCAAAAGCCCAAAGTAAAGACAGCCGCTGAACGTAAAATAGAAGCCACACAACGACAAAAGGACATTAAAGATTATTCAAAATCAATCGGATATTCCAAGTACTATTATGGTATCATGCACAACATCAACCCTTTCTTTTTTAATTTTAATTAACGGGATCATATTTCTACATAGATGAGCAACATGAATACAGGTAAATCATAAAATTAAAAAAAAGATCTAGAATTTTCCCTTAAAAACATTGATAGACATGTTGTATTACCTAAAATATTGGCAAAATGGTTACCGCATGCTGGTCTACTCAAGGAAGAAGAATGGTCTAGTCTTGGCGTTTCGCAATCATCTGGTTGGCAACATTATATGGTCTATGGTAAATCCCCACTCCTACTACTTATATAATTCTATTATTCATATTTATGTGTGTAGCTCCAGAACCTCACATTCTGTTGTTCAGAAGAGAAAAAGATTACCTTGCCAAAGTAAGTTGTTCACTCCCTACATCAACATCTCTCTATCTCTTTCTCTCTCCTTACCCTCCAAAATGCTAAAAATCATCACACACAAAAAAAAAAAGCACGGGGAAGAGGTATTACCTGCTAGACAAGAGGTAAAAGAAAAAGCAGCAACTCCAGAGGCATCCAACGTAGTACCAGAGCCTAAACCCCGTGTCAGATCCACACGATCATCATCCGCTGCTACCAAAGCAGCAAAGGCATTGGAAGCACCTGCCAATTGACAAAGATAGGGGTTATACAAATATGCTTTCTTTTTTTTTTTTGGCCCGGACAAGCGTCCCTTTTTAGTAATCAAGCCACGCACAACAATATTTTAGCCAAGATTTCTTACATCATTTCTTTTTGGGGGGTTAAAATCAAAAACTTGGCAAAATAATAATAATAAAAAAATGATGCACAGCTATGTGTTTTTATTTATTTAAGCGCTAAGAAATGATATACTAATCCTACTAAACTTGATAAGATCAATACCCTAAAAAAGCGCCACAGATATTCTGCAATGATCGGTATACTCATAGTGTCCGACAACGACGACGAGATCACTTTTTCTGATAATTCCTCCTCTTCAAAATCACTGTCAGGTTCCTTGAGTGACTCTGTGCTATCCACACGGTTCAAAGGACTTGTCGACCGTTTACGTAACGTCTCTTCCTGATAATGTTCTGCTGCAATCTTTTCAATCACATCTTGACATCGTAATTGTTCTGATATCACTTCAGCTACTAAAGGTGCTCCCGTTTTCGCAATCAAAGCTTCCATCACTTCATGAATCACGCCTTTACGATCTTCTTCCATGTCCGCTTCCTCTAAAGCAGCTTGAGCTAAATCAATAAACCGATCCTTATGATTGTTCATCTCATCGGAACTCTTTCGATGGTTCACTTTACGTCGGTTATTAGACCAAGACACCATTTTTTCTTTATATGAAGAAAGAAAAAAAAAAAGGTCCGGGTCGGAACTCCCCACGAATTTGTTATTGTTGTTGTAATCACAGCTTTCATTCTTTAATCACACCGTAATTTAGGAATGAAGGTAAATTAAAACAATAAACAAGCTTTTTTTATAGATTAAAACAACAACAACGACGATTTTTTTTTCTTTTTCCCCCCCTTTCTTATTAAAAAAAATAAATGGTAAAGAATAAGAGTGTGTTCGCGTGTATTTTATTAAGCGCGTACGCTGTGCATGGTTTCGAACTGAAAGATCCCTTGGATATTCATTCAGCAGGTGTCTCTTCTGAGAATATCACAGCAGCTCAATTTAAAAAGGCAAATCATTATTGTCTCGTCTTTGAAGATCATTTTGATACCCTGAATTTCAAGAATTGGCAGGTAAACCCCCCCCCCTCCCCTCCCCTTTTTTCTTATATACGCATGACTCACCTACCTCACACATTCATTAGCATGAAATATCTCTCAGTGGCGGTAAGAACAAATAAAAGAAAAAAAAACTCTTTTTAATTTCTCAACACAAAATAAGCATAGGTGGCAATTGGGAATTCCAATATTACACAAATAATCGTACAAACAGCTATGTAGAGGATGGTATTCTCTACTTAAAACCTAGTATGACGGCTGATACTGTAGGTGAAGATGCTTTAAAAAGCGGTGGTAAAATCAACCTGTATTCAGGTGCCCCATCAGAAGACTGTACAGATAACGCCAATTTTGGTTGCGAAAGAATGTCGGGTCCCGTAGCGGGTGGCAATTATCTCAATCCCATTCAGTCAGCACGTATCAGAACCATTGACTCAGTTACCCTTCGCTATGGTAAAGTAGAAGTAAGAGCACGTCTACCCAGAGGTGATTGGATATGGTAAAATTATAGTCTTTTTTTTATTATTATTATTTATCTTCTCATCATTGTTTCTTAAAAAAAAAAGGCCTGCTATTTGGATGTTACCCAAGTACTCTGCCTATGGAAGTTGGCCAGCAAGTGGTAATTGAAGCCTTTATACACATCCACATATCTCTTTATATTTAACATGATTTATTTCTTTTTTTATAAAAGGTGAAATTGATATTGTAAGAAGAGAGATAGCCCTCTTTTTTTTTTTTTTTTTTTTTTTCGTTTCCATGACTGATCACTCTTTAATATATTAGATGGAATCCAAGGGAAACCAAAAGAGCCCTCACGGAAACTCCTCTCAAATTGTCTCTACACTGCATTGGGGACCTCATACGTACCTTAACAAGTACTTTCTCACACAGGGTGAAATCTTTGCCCAAGATGGAGAAGAAGATTTTAGTGAGGATTTCCATACGTTTGGTATGGAATGGAACAGTGAAGGATTACGTACCTATGTGGATGATACCACAGTGCTGACGGTGGATTTTGACCAGACAGCATGGCAAAGGGGTCAATTTACCAAACCCACCTTAAACCCATGGAAAGGTGGTGATATCTCTGCTCCCTTTGATCAGGAGTTTTATCTGGTCATGAATGTTGCAGTGGGTGGCGTGAATGGTTACTGGCCAGAAGAAGACAATAAACCCTGGAAGAACGATGATCCTCATGCCCCTAATGCCTTTTATAACGCCAAAAGACAATGGTTGCCTACATGGGGAAAAGGAAATAAACGCGCATTGGCCATTGATTGGGTCAAGATGTGGTCTACTGAAACAGATACGTGTGTCTCCCCAAAGAAATCCTTACTTTAAAAAATAATAAAAAAGGCTCCGTTTCAATTCTTTTTTTTTTTTTTTTGTTATACATCTTTTTCATTTTTTTTTTGTAATTATTATTTTAAAATGTCGAGACAGTTTGGAAATAGAACTAGTGTAAGGTGCCTACATGACCATGCGTTTTTTTTTGGGAGGGGATGAAAGTGAATAGACACTGACTCATCTTGTGTAGAACTTATCAAAATTTGCATAACCGATCCGCTCTTTTGGGTGATGCACGACCCGATGATGAACGTCCTAATTATTTTGCACAAGACTCACAACAACAACAACAACAACAACAGTCAGTAAAAGTTAACATGAACGATAGAGACTTAGATTACTTGGAAAGTCAAAACGATGATGAGATTTCTGGATTGTCTGCTAAAGTCAAGATATTAAAAAGTGTAGGTTTTGATTTGTAAGAAAAATAGATACATAAAGCAAGTGGTATAACTCCTCTTGTTATAGATTACCGGTAAAATTGGAGAGGAAATTCGTCATGGCAATAGTTTTATTGATACAATGGTAAAAAGAGAGAGAGACAGAGAGATAAAGGGAGAAAGAAGGGAAAGTAGAACTAAAAAAAAGTTTTGGGGGAAAATATAGAATGATCAGTTTTCAAATACGGGGTCAGTTTTGGGTAAAACAATGAACAATTTCAAGATTATGGCTTCCAAGGAGTCAGGTACCATGTGGTGGTGCTTGACTTTGTTTATTGTATTCATCATCTTTTTCTTTTATTATCATTTCAAATAAAATTAATATTAATACAAAAAATCATGGTTTTTTTTTTTTTTTATATCTCTTCCTTTGTATAATCTAACTTCCAAACATCGTATGGAAGTGTATTTAGATATCGTGTGAATTGCGGTTGTAAAAAGGAATTGATTTTATTAGGTTTCAAAGATTTATGATTTCATGTGAATGATGTGGGTGGGTATAGACATACTTGTTCCTTAATCCTCTCTATGTGACTTTGTACTACCATAGCACAGTTTCTAAAAAAAAAAGCCTTTGGGTAAAAAGAATATACAACTATAAGTTGCCTCGTCTTTTTTCATGGCGGTTTCTATAACAACTTTATGAAGAAGTGCTACTTGCTTGGTGACTCCCCAATGTTGCCACAATAAGTGCTTGAAATGAGGAATCGAAACTTTCAAGCGAGCTACGATTGTGTTTCGTTAGATTGCTTTTTTTTTTTCTACAGATCGAACTCGCACGTTAAACAAAAACTTTTTTGTAATTGCAGAAGTGTCCTATTGCTTATTGCTTAACAATAGACTATTGGTTCTTTACACGAAAGAAAACTTTACTTCGCGAGTGCCTGAGACTAAAAAATAATTCATGTAAACTATTGAAACTGCGTCAAGTCATTCTGATCCTCTCTCTCTCTCTCTATTTTTGGGACCTTAGGCTTGCTGGCTTTTTTTAGTTCATTTGTTTTAGATCGTAATGAACAAGTGACTAGACCAGCAAACGGGATCACTTTTCCCTATTTTTTTTTTCTGCAGCCGTTTTGGACTTTTCCATCAGTCCCATCACTAAATGTTAAATTTATATAAATAGCCTTTTAACGGGTTGGGAATGACTAGTGTAATAAATAGATTTTTTAGAAGCGACACTTTCTTTACATATTAGTGTTCAGAATGAAGATCGAAACTTTGCGAGCTTGGATCGTGTTCCAGAGCTCGCTCAAATGGCTTTTTTTTGAAGATCGAACTCGCTCGAATTGTCTTAAGCTCGGCTCAGTTTTACACAAAATGCATGTGAAAGTGGTGTCAATTTTAGAATTTATGATTAATAAATATTGTGTATTAAAATACGATTTAACGTAAAATACGAAATAATAAGAATAAAATCGAGAAGTTTCACAAGGTATGATAAACTACGGCGTACACTGTAACACATAGAGTAAAGTGTAAACGATTAGGATCCTATAACCAAGAAAGCTTATTGATGGTTTCTACTAAGTACAACCAGTACAAATGTTCGGCTTAATCAGGTTTAGCTTAAATTTTTGTATTATTTATATGAGAAGACTGTATGTTTTAGATGAGTTTTTAAACCATTAAAATTAGAAACTAAAAAGCAAAAAGAATAATGAAGTTGAGAGTATTGTTAATAGAAAATGTTATTGTCCGTCTTTTTGCAGCCTTGAATTAGAAGTGACTACTATCAATTTTGTAACCGAGCGGTCTTCAATCGATGCTCGCTCGAAGATCGCTCGAATTCAAAAAAGATGGCGCATGCTCGAGTACAAAAACTTGGTTCGAGATTTGTTCGAACTGGCGCAAGATCGGTGCAAGCTCGAAAAGTTCGAACACTACTGTCATTGCAAGCTACTACTGGAACGTAGATATACAACCAAGTTCCGATTTGCTTGGGAGGTTTTTGCATATGTTTCTATTAAGTAAATGCCCAAACATTATGAATATAAACAATTAGATTATTCTGACATAAGCTCTTGTTTATCAGCCCATAAATAAAGCTGGTTCAGACACTTTATTCCTCCCCTTTTCTTTTCCTTCAACATAGTTTATCCACTTTTTCTATCGAATGAAAGTAACCGATAACGTAAAAATCTTAGTTAATGATGACTCTTGTTTTTTTTTCAAAAGACGTTAAACCGAAAAAAGATATTATTGCGGTATTGCGGCTGCGACTAGTCTTTGCTGTAGGACAGCGGCCTTCTAGGCAGGGTTCTTGAGTTTTTGGAACTCATGGACTGTGAGTAGCTGGGATTGGAATTTAAATAGGTGCAATCATACTGGCTGGCTGGTCTTGGCCAGAATTCCTGTAAGTAGTATAAAATAATACGTTTGAGGTCTATCTAGACATTTTCTTAATGATCAAAAATTTCTCGCTCAATTTTCGAATTACAAGTAGAAGACCAGAGATATAAACGACTGAGAAATTCAGTGAAGAGAGCACAGCCTAAGAGAAAGCCCGAAATGTGCTCTCCTGACAAAACCATTTTCGCTGGATTGAAGGGCACCTTAGGCGGAAGAGCTTTATCGGTTGGAAACAATATGAAATTGAAGAACTGTAAATGTAAACGTATTGAGTATTTATGCCGTAATGTCATCATCAATTTTACCAATAAGAATCAACTAAAATCGATTGGTATCGCACTTGAAAAGTTTAACAGCATATTTTAGTTAGTTATAGAAAGAGCAGAGAGAGAGAGACTTGACACTATTAAATGATGCTGAAAAAAAGGCAAGATAAACAGTATAAGATACCATTTTAAAACCTGTACAGATACTGAACAAACGTTTTAGATTGAAAACCGAGCTACTGCGAAAATATGTTTAAAGAAGAGTGAAGCTTACGACTATGGAGACAGTAATGAAGGAGCAACGAAAATGATATACGTGCACATGTAAGTTATAACACTTTGGTATGTAAACACACGTTACATAGCTTGAGCCAAATTGTAAACAAGCTAATATTATTTCATGACTTCACAAAAACGTTTTTCAGAAATGACATTCCTCTTCAAATTTTGGGGTCCCATCATTAAACTTTTATGCTAATCATTGCTGTGTTCAATGTTAAGTTACAAACGGCATTTTTTACTAAGACTATGTTTAACAATAGAATTTGCTTATATAGGGGAGACATAACACCTCAGTTATCTCTGTCGAGCTTATATTCAAACCTAGACTTTTAAGTTAGATGTTGTCACTGGAGAGCTCGCTTGCCAATCGTCAACGATTCATTCAAAATTGTCCAGGGATTTTTTCAAGTCTGCCCTCACCACTAAAGTACATTTAAACACTGCATTGAAACGGATGTTGTATTACCTACCTGCAGCTAAAATAATAAAGACTGTTGTAGTTCCAATGATTCAAATCATGGGGATGTCTTGTGTGGTTTACGGAATGAATGTTATTGATAAGAAGGTGTACGCATTACAAAAATATCTTCTTTTAATTATCCAAGTACACAGCGTGAAGTAAGATGCAGTGGGATCAAGTCATTGTTGGATGGCTTTGCTTTGGTGGAGATAAATGAAACTATATATAGTTAGCATTGCTTTTGTTGTTTTATAGGAGCTTTGTTTAACGTTTGCTTCTCTTTCTCTTTCTCTTTCTCTTTCTACCATTTCCCATTTAATTTTGTTAGTACATGATAGAGAACATTAAAAAAAATTGATCGTTGAGTATAGTAAGTCCCCTAATAATGGTATGCAAAATATCAAAAATGGATGGAAGAGAAAAGCACATATCAGAAAATTGACATTGATCAGTATATTTCACCTGTAATCAAATACACCACTTCCGGAAATGTGGAAAATGGAGTTCTTGAACTAGAAGTGGAAGAACTAGATACGCGATGAAGAACTAGGAGATGAAGAATTAGGAGACGAAGAATAATTATATAAATATTATACTGTGTGATGGCGATTGTGCGTTAAAGCTAGCTATATGAATATGATCAGTTACTCTTATATCAGCATACTCTATATATCAACATACTCTATATAATATCATCATCCATATTTTAAATGAACATTCCCATATTGAATAATTTTACTATATGTAGCTATAACTTTAAATACTAATGTTGAAACTCAATATTTTGTCTTTAATATTCTTTTGGCTCCAAACTTTTTATCCGACTGGAAGCACGGAGTTGCTGAAGGTTTATAAACTAAATGCGTGGAGCTGAGATATTGGATGACTTCCAAAACACAAAATAGAATTAAATAGAATAGAATTAACTTCGGAAATTTGATTTTCCGAGTTAATTTTACTTTTGTTCCAAAACACTGAAAATAGAATTAACTTTTTTGACCCGTACCATATATGCAAAACTTTACCTAAACAGCTACATTTTCAGATGACAATGATGTCTGAATACATCCAGACACCGGTAACCAAGGTAGTTTAACTATTATCAATGATGCTCCTTCCATTCGCACTAAAACCCATCATTTTTATATGCACAGTAGCAACTTACTGTTACTTCTCCTGAAAGGGCAAAAAAGACGGTTCTCAGAAGCGTAAAAGAGCCAAATAAATAAACTGTTTTGATAGATATTATCCATATATCTCATATTTATTATCTGAATGTTATTAGCGTTTATCAGAAATGAATTATTTAATAGAAAGATGATTTTTTGTTAATTTTTTTTAATTCGGGGGGGGGGTAGGGGGGTCGAATTAACTTCAAAATTTTAAGCTGTAAAATTTAAGGTTAATTACGCGTTACACAACCCAAAAAATCAAGTCTATTCTATTCAATTCTATTCCGCGTTTTGGAAGTCATCCATTGAAATATAGTTTTCATATGATACTCATTAAGACTCTATATTTGCTAACGCTCCTTTCGTTTAACAACTTATTTTCCTTTCTTTATTAATACTATTATTTCTAATAATGACTATCACTTTGGTTGCAAATGAAACTATTAATAATACCTCTGTTAATACTCACCTTCTGAATGTAGAATCAGAAATCCTCTGTCCCGGGATATTAAAATTCACACAACTTCCCAATATGTAGTGTTGCTAAAGGAAATGACATTGCTACCAAGACCGAGGACACAATGCAATTAAATTAGAATTTTTCAAACTCTGTAGAAAGCGCCTATGATACTCATGTCCAGGATAGTTTAGCTCGTACATAGAATGGTGAGGTTATAGAGCGTGAGAACGTGACCCCATTAATGTCTACTGTGAAAATCTCAGCAAACTTATAGAACTTATTATGAACTTTGATGTCCAGTTTCGATAAGGAGGAGGGGGCTATATACTTGTTCTTTCTCAAGGAGCTCTAAATTGAGCGTTGTGTAAGTTACTTCAAAGGTCATTAAAAGAAATAACTAAAAATGTTTCTATTGAAAATTTACAAATTCTGTTCAGTATTCTATACATATCTTTCCTAGATACTTAAAAAATAATTATGACTGATTTGACTAAAATTGGGTCAAATTATTTGTAAATAATAGGCAACTTATTTTCGAAAGACTGGGCAAATTAGCTTCAAACATTTGACCAAACTACTCCCTTTTTCTGGGCAACTTAATCTAGCACAAACGTGCGAAATTATTCAAAAAGTGGTTGTTGTTTCCAAGCATTTGGTAAATTGAGACTGGAAGCACAGTATTTCGAACACATTGAGTAAAAAAAAAAAAAAAAAAAAAAAAATTCCTGGAAGTGAGCAAAATAAAAGTAAGCAATTTTTCTAAGAGTGTGTAAATAATTTATAAAAAAATTTCAAATGCTTTTTTACTAAGTAATGAAGTAATTTTACTGGGAAGAGATGTTTTTGGACATCGGGTGTCTTAGGGACAGTCAGGGCGCGCGTAGGTGTAATGTTAGGATTATGGTATTTTAATAGATACCAAGAGGTCAATATAGCTTAATAACTTGAACTAGATACAAACTTAGCACAACCAATATAGTTTAAACTAGTATATGTGTGTTATAACTTACTTTCAGCTTCTCATTTGGCCTTTACCTTAATATTTCTGCGTAAGATTAATATCAAACGAGCTAAAAGGCGAAAGAGTGATGCTGGAATTGACAAAACAAGTATAAAACATTTAATATACATTTATTCGTAACTATCATATAGTTTTTGACGCTATATTTTTGTTTCCAAGTCTAAAGGATAGCCAAATCGCAGATCTTACGTTGCGACTACGTGCACTTCGGCTGTACCTAAGGAAAAATTGGCTGTCCGTAAAAAAGCGTTTTTCAGATTCTGCGTTAAAGCTCCATCGATATAAATAAAAGCATTATATTTGATCCGGAAAAAAAAATTTACTAAGTGCTGTATTGTACGAGAAGCACATACAGCTCTTACAGGTCAATTTTCGTCATAGATATTTCGTCACGAACAAGCATGGCTCAATTTCGCCCACAGTCAGTGGTGGATTTCGTTACAGGCAACTTTGAAATGCCAAAAATAAAGTATAATTATATACCTATGTGGAAAAAAAACATAATGTTCAGACTGTCAATGATGGGCTGTCTCACACCATATCATATTTTCCAATATGCCTTGGAAAGGAGATTTTTTTTTTGACGAAATTCACTGTTCAACTGTAAAATTCTGTGACTTTTCCAATTTTTTTTTTTTTTTTTCTCTTTTCATTCTTTATTTCTTTTCAACATGGGTCGAAGGTCGTCAAAAAAACGCGTCCCCACTGAAATAAACTGGATTAAAAGCAAGCACGAGGAATTCACGCACCTTGATTTCTTCAATTTCTTTGTGAGCTACCCGAAAAGAAGGGCTCAATTGCGGTTTCTGACTTTGGTGGAATTTGTGGAGGATGAGGAGAAGCGTAAAAAAATTCTCCTTGACTATAAAAAGTGGCGCCATAGCAGAAATGCTAAGGAGTATTGGAAGAGGCGACAAGACGTTGAGCTTGGGGAAGAAGATGAATCAGAGGCAAGCTCTTCTGTGGCCGGCAACAGCACCACTATGTCCGTCATCACCACCACCTCCACCACCACCACCACCACCCCCACCACTACCAATGCTAATGATGCCACTGAAACGATCAGTTTGGCTGAAGCAAAGAGAATCATCATCAATAGCCTGCCACTTACAAGTATTGATTCCAACAACAACGTATATGCCAGTAGTTTAATGCGTTTTAGGTCTGACATCCTGGAGTCAACAGGGCCTCTCCTGACATACGAGTCCAACCTACAACATCTTCTTGCTCTGTCGAATATCCTGTTCATCGGCAAGATTTACTTTGACCCAATTTTGGAGCATTATTTCGAAAAGCCGATTCCTGAAATTCGTCAAAGCTTGTATCAGTCGCTTGGTTTTAACCAGATGGAAAACTTCCCTTCGGATGTTATGTTGCCTCTACTCAACATCGTCATCAACGTTAATTGCCGTACACTTACGAGGGTAAACGCGGAAAGCAAGATCTTGGACCTGATCAACGCTACCGCCGACCAAGTACTTATCCGTATATTGCAATGCGTGAAGACGATGGTAGAGTCACTTCCCTTTCATAATCAGAAGAAGGAGATCAAAGAGTTTGAATTGTGTACAAGGTATTTACAACCCTGCTTCCAAAAACTCTTTGATTCAGATGACCTGTCAATCATGTTTAAGTGGCTCAATGTCAGCTGTTTCACAGACACTGACATTGATGCCACTCAAAACCGCCCAGATGGTTGCGCTGAAAACGACCTTACAGCAACAGGTTATCTGGAAGTTAAACCCATCAAGCATTCCAAGAACCATCGTAAAGTAAACATCGATTTGCATCGTTTGTGCACTTTTGCGAAGACTGGTACAAGCAAGTTTAGATCAAGGTACATGTTTCAGGTCATGGCTGTTGGTAAGTTTACAACCCTCATAATATTTTTGTATATTCTTAATGATTTGTTTTTTTTTTTAGGTACAAATGTGCAGTTTCACATCAGTGAAGCTATCGGTGATGTCTTGGTTGTCTGTGAGCTTGATAGCATACGCCTCCCGCTGTCACTGGATGAACTTCCGCAGCTAATTCCGTACCTTGGCCGTTTGTACAACGTTGTCGAAGTTGTTCACCGCCTCTGTTACACTACCGAGTCATGTAACATTAGCCCCAACTTTGGTTATACATTAGAACCAAAAGTTATTAAGGCCATCATGGAGAAGACAGTCGACAGAACCCGTGATAATCCGTTCTATCATCCCTACCACTAGTTATAACACCATCCCTCACAAAACTATGCATTTCATTCCTTTTAATATTCCATTCCTTGAGCCCAGTCCATTCCTTTGGCCCATTTCATTCCTTATTAGGTGTTTTCAATAGGGGTTTAAGAACAATTTGCTAGATGGTATATCAAGGTAAAAAAAAAAGAAAAAAGAGTTTTTTTTTTTTTTTTTTTTTTTTTTTTTTAAGATTAGTACTGATACACACTTTCGTCAGGTTGTTTTGTCAATTGCTTAGGTTTATTGTGGATGCATTCAAAAGAATATTTCCTGATGCCTCGAAGACTTCTGTCGATGGATTTGTGGTTTAATTCCGTGATCTTGACTCCCAGCAAATTCTGACTTTTCAAAAACAGGCTTTACCAAAATCAGAAACAGTTCGTAAGTTACCACTTCAAGGAGCTCCATGTGAAATTGTGTTAAGCGAGTTATTCACTTGTTAATCGTAACAATTATTCCAGCGAGCTTATTCGTATAAATAAGAACCGAGATGGAGGTGCTATCAGCTCTCTAAATGTCTTTTACCAAGGCGGTTTTCTCGTGGCGTGTTTCCTGGCTTTCGGCCTTTTGTTTCGTTCCACGCAAAATATCCAACGAACACTTTGATTTTGAACTGTTGATCTACTATATGCTGAGAGTAAGCTCATAACCCAAATGATATCAGTTCATGAGAAGCTAACTTTTATATTTAGGTCATGGAGTCATATCTGAATCATCCATTTGAACTTTCATTTGGTTTGACATACGGCGGTGCTCATTGTGAAATCCCGGTCAACTGGTTGAATCAGTTCTTCCAGCTCGTTTTTACTCAAATGGATGATCATTTGGTGGATCCTCATTTATTTAATCCAAACTTTCATTTGCAACGTTATATTCGTAAATTTCCTGAAGTAGTGACTAATGATTTAGTTACACGAACCCGGTCTGTCGTCAGCATAAGCGAATTAAGTAATAACATTGCTTTGTCCGAAATTCGTTTACCAAAAGACTCCTGTAAGTTATGTGTACCTTTTTACAATCGATCTATCAACTGACATTTAATTCCATTTAAAGATAATATTGAAAAATATTAGGGAATGGCTGTTATAATCGCTTTCCTGATTATTGGCCTCAAGACACATATACCTGTTGGTATAAAGACCAGGTCGCACTATTTTCAAGCCACTACGGTACAGGATACAATTATAGCGACACTTGCTCTGCTACTGACAGAAACCCCTTTAGATTCGCGATCAGGAAATTTTCTGGTGCTTAAACACATTTTTAAATAGCGTCTATAATTTGAATGATTTGGTTGACGTATTTCTGTCTTTTATTCCGGAAAGTAAGAGAGCATCAGGAAAAGGTGGGATTCATATCACGCACGATGGTGGTATAACTACAATGATTCCTTCGGTGCCAAATTGGGACGTTGTTTACAAAGTAAGCATATTTTAAAATTTTACGAAACAAGTAATATGTTACTCACAATGTGGGCTGTAGTGCTTAATGGAACGAAAAAAACAGACTTCCAATACTCACCTTACAGATCGCAATCATGGTATACGACCAACTGATGTTCCTGGCCGAATTCGATCATGGGATTGCTAAATATCGGAAGCGATAATCCTACCCTTCGACTAAATGCATATAATCTACTCTATTCATTATGCGTATCATTCAGATTTGGTATTAGCCACCAATTGATAAATGCCAGAGGTAGGTACTAAGCGTTGAAACGTTTAAATCAACTCTAACAACTTTGTGGTGCAAGCTATAGATTTATGTATTCCTCACAACAGTGTCAACTTTATTGTTAGCACGAGTGAGCATCTAGCTAATAGCGAAACTCATTTGACATTAGAGTTTTTGAATGAATGTATAGTTGGGTTTAACAGATCAAGCACAGAGACATCTCGACAAATGATTACGTTGGAATACATGGTACCGTGGTTGAAGAATCTTGTCTTCTTTACCTACTCTCTTAACGGAAAAGATGCATCAAAGGTAAAAGATGTCATTCGATCTTTGATTACTATCACAGCTGAAAAATCCGAGGTAAATATATGAATCCATTTTTTTTAGACAAAAACAAGGTTTCATTAACGAAGAACATAACAGGTGTATGAGCATATTCAAAAAAATATCTGGAATACTTTAAAGGATATCGATGAACTTCATAATTTAGTGATTGATTCACTTATTCAGTTCTCAGTCGAAAGTGGTATTAGGTCATCGCAAGCGGAAGCTATTGCTGATACGCTTGTTATAATGAATTGTAATGCTATCCGAGGAAAAGTGATTAACCGAATGCGCAGAGTACTTCAAAGTACGTCTCACAACTGCAAGCAAACCCTAATCAAGCATCAATCGTGGCATGAAATTGGTTGTTTGGTGCGCTTCATGCTCACCATATCATTTTATACTGAAGACATTGAAACACCTTATGTCGCAGAAATACTCCACATTATATCGCTGGTAGTCTCAACCGGACCAACCTTTATTCGATCATCTGTACATGAACTTGTTGTGAACTTTATTCACGCACTTGTAACAAACAAAAATATCCGCCCGGAAAACCGAAAGAAGCTGAAATATGTCTTGAACGATGTCTGTGACGGAAAGTATCGTGTACATTTTGGCCTTAGTAAATCCTATGCCAATGCGTTTACAATTACTGAGGAGACAATGACAGACAATGTTGAAAACATGAGCCTGGGATCGCTTGAAGTAATTGTTCGTCTTTTATTGGATGCTACAAACTATGCTGCACCAACGATAGGTAATATTTTGCTACTTTTTACATACAACAACTGTCTTTTTTAACATCAAAATTATAGATGCTGCAAATACATGGCACGCTCGATGGATGAGTTTGGTTACAAACATGGCCTTCCGTTTCAATCCAGCTCTTCAGCCTAGAGCTTTTGTTATTTTAGGTTGTCTGGCGCAAGACGAAATTGATGATGATCTTTTGTTTCAAACTTTCATTGTTCTTCGAAATGAATTAGCGCGCTTTAAGGAAACAGATCCTTAATTGGTAATAAGTACTATGATGTGCTTAATCGACATTATCGACAATCTCGGCAAACTCAAGACATTTGAAGCTTATGTTTTAGTTGGCTATTTCAATGATCCCGACGAATCATACTAGCATATTCTCTCATGCCGTTAAATTGATTCATGCAATCTTGCATACTTTGGATGAACAAAAGTGCTTTAGCCATCAATCCATCGAAAGTGCATTGATGCCTTTTGTTTCAATATCCCAAGAACTTACAGCTGCTGGGCTCAGTTTCAACACACAAGTCTCTTTTGTAGATGCAGGTGTTTTACTAAAGGGTTTCATATATTCTGATGCTAGAGAATCATACTTATACGTCTAACAACCCTCCTGGAAATCGAGACGAAAAGTGGGCATCAGTGAATTGTTGCCGTTTGCTGCTAAAAATGATGCGCTTAGAGAATTGCTTCGCTTGACCATATTCACGGTATTGATGTAGATAGTTTTAACTCACCTACATAACTATATGCGACTACAAATAAAAAAGAATCAGTATTTGGTTGTTCCATCACGAGCATTAACTACAGTCTGGTGGCGGGTCATCCTTATTCGAAAATGTGCTGTCTTAGAGGATCAGTACAATATGAATTATTTTATGGACATCTAGTATAATATTTAGTATCATATAAGTGTTTTTAGGTGAAATATATCGAGCGTATGAAGGTGTAATCTACTTTGTTTTACTGGTAGCTATTCATAGACTACCATTTTTAACAAAAGCAACAAACAAATACCCATTCTACTATTAAATGGAAATTATTCCCCTTTTGCAAATCAAGTCCCACCTCGTGCGACTATCAAGTTCAATAAAAAAATTTAATTTTCAAAAAAAAAATGCCTTTTTCACCCTTTGTTTCTTTATTGCTCATGAACAAAACCGACTTTCAAGTGGAGTGAATTCGTTGAGAAGCAAAGGTTACAATGTCACACATATTGATTTCTTCAAGAATTATCGTAAAAGAAGAGCATAATTACGAATCTTAACTGTGGTCAATAACTTGGACAAAATCACTATAAAAAAGGTAATTGGACTCCAAAAAATGGCGCAGCAGTCAAAACGCGAAAGCCTTCTTGGAAGAGCGTGAAAAAGACAGCTCAAAAAAGATATACATTTCGAATTTTGAGCAAAGTGTTAACTAGAGTTACTCAAGAGCCACCATCACCACCACCACCAATGCCAATGATGCCACTGAAACGATCAGTTTGGCTGAAGCAAAGAGAATCATCACCAATAGCCTACCACTTACAAGTATCGATCCCGACAACAATGAATATGCCAGTAGTTTGATGCGGTTTAGGTGCGATATCCTGTATTCAATGGGGCCTCTCCTGACATACGAATCCTACCTATAACATCTCCTTGCTCTGTCTAATATTATGTTCATCAGTAAGACCTATTGCGACCCGATATTGGAAAGTTACTTCTAAAAGCCAATTCCTGAAATCCGCCAAAGCTTGTATCAGTCGCTTGGATTTAACCAAATGGAAAACTTCCCTTCGGATGTCATGTTGTCTCTGCTCATCAACGTCATCAACGTTAATTGTCGTGTTCTCACAAGGAAAAGCCGGATCCTGGAATTGATCAACGTTACCGCCGATAAAGTCCTGATCTGTATACTGCAAGTCAAGACAATTGTAAAGTCACTGCCATTCAACAACCAAAAGAAGGAGATCAAAGAGTTTGAATTATGCACAAGGTACCTACAACCATGCTTCCAAAAGATTTTCGACTCGGATGACCTGGATGTTATGTTTAAGTGACTTAATGTTAGCTGCCCTACTGATAAAGACATTGATGCTACTCAAATAACCATACACCGGATTCTCTTATCATAAGTATTCATTGTGCTAGCTCCAACCGCAATACATCCCACCCCGTGAAGTTTGCATTTTTAGTAATCCTTTCTCTAACTGGTGATTAAGGAGAATCATAGCTTTGGAATCTGAAGTGTCATCTTGCAAGTGCTAAGCGTCGGGTACAAAACGTGAGTCTTTCAAAGCTTTGCCGAGAACGACAACAAAGTCACAGGCTATGTTGAAGTCAAACAAATCAAGCATAAAATCAAAGTTGGTACAGCTGAATATTAATAACAGCACACGTTTCAAGTCATGACTGTAGGTAGGTTTATTCTCAACAATATAATTTCGTGTATGCTAAATAATTTACTTTTTAGAGACCACTTGAGCCTGGAAGATATCTCTGAGTTGATAAGAGCTTGGATCAGTGACTCGGCGGAGAAGCGCCTGATATAAAAAGGCACCCAGAAAACACAACCGATTGGACATGAATACAAAACACTTGCTCATCATGACATTTTTTGTATCATGTAGCTTAATAGTGCCAGCAAATCTCTAAAGAAGAGGTATGATGACACAGGTTGAGGTAAACTGAAACTGGGCTATTTTCTTGAAGGACAGCGATTGGTGATTCTTGTTTGGGTCTCCGAACGCAACACCTGACTTGTTGAATCGGCTATTTTAAACCATTCCTTTCTCATCCTTTATTTTTGTATTATTTGTGGGCAAGAAATCGTCAACAAAACAACCTTCAAATGAACTAAACGGGTTGAGGAGCAATGATCAGAATATATCGCATGTTTTTTTCCTCAAAAATCAACGTAAAATAAGACAACATTACAATTCTTAACTGTGATCAAGTACGTAGAAGATGACGATATCAAAAAAAAAAAAAAAATCGTGGTTGATGATTACAAAAAATGGCGCAGCAGTCAAAATGTGATAGCCTTCTAAGAAGAACTTGTAGAAGACGCCATTGAACCTGTGGACGAAGCCGAATCCGATGCGAGTTCTTCTGTGGCCGGCTCCAGCAACAACACACCGTTCACCACCACTACCACCACCACCATTGCCAATGATACCACTGAAACGATCAGTTTGGCTGAAGCAAAAACCATCATCACCAACAACCTACCACTAAGAAGTATTGACGCCGACAACAATATGTATGCCAGTGGTTTGATGCGGTTTAGGTGCAATATCCTGGATTCAATGGGGTCTCTCCTTACATACGAGTCTCACCTACAACATCTTGCTTTGTCAAATATCCTGTTCCTAAACAAGATCTACTGTGACCCAATTTTGGAGCATTACTTTGAAAAGCCAATTCCTAAAATCCGCCTAAGCTTGTATCAGTCGCTTGGATTCAACCAGATGGAAAACTTTCCTTCGGATGTCATGATGTCTCTGTTCACCATAGTCATCAAAGTTAATCGCCGTATACTCACCAGGATAAACCAAGAAAGCAGGATCCTGGACTTAATCAACGTTACCGCAGACCAAGTCCTTTTCCATATAATTCAATGCGTGAAGACGATGGTAAAGTCAATTCCCTTTTACAATCAGAAGAAGGAGATCAAAGATCTTGAATTGTGTACAAGGTATCTACAACCCTGTTTCCAAAAACTCTTTGATTCAGATGACCTGTCCATCATGTTTAAGTAGTTCAGTGTCAGCTATTTCACAGACACTGACATGGATGCCACTCAAAACCGACCAGATGGCTGCGCTGAAAACGATATCACCGCAACAGGTTATCTGGAAGTTAAGCCAATCAAGCACACCAAGAAACACCATAAAATAAACATCGATTTACATGGTTTATGTATGTTTGCGAAGACGGGTAACTAGCAAGTATAAATCAAAGCATAAAATTCAGGTCATAGTTGTCGGTAAGTTATTACATTCATCAAAAATAATTTTGTGAATACTAAAATCTTGTTTCCAAAGACCAATGATGGGTTTGCCAGCCTACCCCCCTGATGCAATTCCCACGCCTGCTGTCTATTGTACTTTTAAACCCTAAGCCTGTGGCACCAGTAATCGTATTTATTGATTCAATGACGTAAATGAAACAGAAATTATTTTTCACCTACAGAAGATACTTTATTGGTCAAGCGGTTGGACTTCTTTTGCGCAGCGAACCTGGGACAAATTTTTGGAACCTGTTGAGTAAGAAACATGTGCCGATACTTCATTATCATGTTTTTTGAGGGTACCCTGTGTTAACCTGTTGGCTTCATATCCTATTGAACGAAATCAAGAACGTGTTTGCAAAATTGAATGAGGAGCTAGCAAGGCCACTCAAAACTGGAAGATGTCTATGTGTTTGTGAGAGCATGAATTAGTGGCTCGGTGAGGGAATGCGTCATCTTGAAAAAGTATCCAGAAAACCACATCGGATCGGACAGGAATACAAAACAGTTTCTCATCATGACAGCTTCTGTATCATACAGCTTGATAGTATCAGCAATTCTGTAAAGAAAGGGTATGATGATACAGATCGCAATCTGATTGCAACATTGAAGCGGTTGACTGAACCCTGATTCTGAAAGAATGGTTATTGGTGATTCTTGGTGATCTTGGTTTGGATGTTCAGAAATGACATTTGACTTGTTTAAGGGGTTATTTTCAATTATGCAAAATGTCAGAAAAAGAGAAGCTCATAGTTTTCATCCTTTATTTCTTTTCGATTACGGTGAAAAATTGTAAGAAAACCGCATAACCAGTGAAATAAACTGGCCAAGCAGCAAATATGACAATATATCGCATTTAGACATCATCCATTTTTTTTTAAAAGTTATCATAAAAGAAGGGCACAATTGCGGTTTCTGACTTTGGTGGAATTTGTGGAGGATCAGGAGAAGCGTAAAGAAATACTCCATGAATATAAAAAATGGCGTCATAGCAGAAATGCGAAGGAGTATTGGAAGAGGAGAGAAGACGCTGAGCTTGGGGAAGAAGATGAATCAGAGGCAAGCTCTTCTGTGGCCGGCAGCAGCACCACAATGTCCATCGTCACCACTACTACCACACCACCACCACTGCCACCACTGCCACTGCCACTACCACTACCACTGCCACTACCACTACCACTACCACTACCACTGCCACTACCACTGCCACCACTGCCACTGCCACTACCACTACCACTACCACTGCCACTACCACTGCCACCACTGCCACTACCACTACCACTACCACTACCACTACCACTACCACTGCCACTACCACTACCACTGCCACTACCACTACCACTACCACTACCACTACCACTACCACTACCACTACCACTACCACTACCACTACCACTACCACTACCACTACCACTACCACTACCACTACCACTACCACTACCACTACCACTACCACTACCACTACCACTACCACTACCACTACCACTACCACTACCACTACCACTACCACTACCACTACCACTACCACTACCACTACCACTACCACTACCACTACCACTACCACTACCACTACCACTACCACTACCACTACCACTACCACTACCACTACCACTACCAATAATGCCAATGCCGATGATACCACTGAAACGATCAGTTTGGCTGAAGCAAAGAGAATCATCATCAATAGCCTGCCACTTACAAGTATTGATTCCAACAACAACGTATATGCCAGTAGTTTGATGCGTTTTAGGTCTGACATCCTGGAGTCAATAGGGACTCTCCTGACATACGAGTCTAACCTGCAACATCTTCTAGCTCTGTCGAATATTCTATTCATCGGCAAGATCTACTGCGATTCGATTTTGAAACGTTATTTTGAAAAGCCTATTCCTAAAATTCGACAAACCTTTATCAGTCGCTGTGAGTTAACCAGATGGAAAACTTCCTTTCTGATATCATGATATCTCTGCTCAACATAGTCATCAACGTTAATTGCCGTATACTCACCAGGATAAACGAAGAAAGCAGGATCCTGGATTTAATCAACGCTACCGCAGACCAAGTCCTTATCCGTATACTGCAATGCGTGAAGACGATGGTAGAGCCACTTCCCTTTCACAATCAGAAGAAGGAGATCAAAGAGCTTGAATTGTGTACATGGTATCTACAACCCTGTTTCCAAAAACGCTTTGACTCAGATGACCTGTCCATCATGTTTAATTGGCACAATGTCAGCTGCTTTACAGATACCGACATCTATACTACTCAAAACTGTCCAGATGGCTGCGTTGAAAACCACCTCACAGCAACAGGTTATCGGGACGTTAAACCAATCAAGCATTCCAAGAACCATCGTAAAGTAAACATCGATTTGCATCGTTTGGGCACTTTCGCGAAGACTGGTTCAAGCAAGTTCAGATCAAGGTACATGTTTTAGGTTATGACTGTTGGTAAGTTTACAACTATCAAAATACTTTTATGTATTCTTAATGTTGTTGTTTTTTTAGGAACAAATGTACAGTTTTACATTAGTAAAGCTATCTTTGATGTCTTGGTTATTTGCGAACTTGATAGTATACGCCTCCCGTTGTCACTGGCTGAACTTCCGCAATTTGTCCCGTACCCTGGCCGTTTGTATAATACTGTTGAAGTTTTCCATCGCATTGCAGTGATTCCTGTTGAACAAGGGAAATAATTTCTTATATTTGGTTCACAGTCTGCGAATTTACGAATATAAATTGGACTTTGATAATTCTGTCTTTGAAGTGTTGAAGAAGTTCCCCAATTGCTGCAGACAATTTTCGTGGTGGCTACATCCCTCTGTCAAGTCGATGATATTCCGTCGTGGATTTTCCCTGGCCATATACAAGAAAGAAAACATAAACAAAGCGACATAATGAAGAAATCGAATGTTGATCACTACTAGCTGAGTGATGGGTGATGCCTAGACATTACCAAGGCTCTTTTCTCTGGTAGTTCTGAATACAAAAAGAAGAAAGAAGAGTTGGAGAAAGGATATTTTGAGGACTAACAAAAACTCAAAGAAGATTATTCTTGGTCAAGAAAAAACAAAAGAAAAGCTGAAGATATCAATGATGCTGCTGCTGAAGCTGGTTTGGAAGAAAGAGGATGGTTTTTTTTTTCTTTTCTTTTTTTTTCTTTTTTTGATGGCTTTGCCTGAAGAATGTGTCTGTAAAGGGTGTATTGATAAAACAAACGCTTTGGAGAAACAAATTGATGGTAGGACGCGCGTGCCGTTGATGACAGTAAATCTTATTTTGGTCAGGGTGATATAAGTGAAAGACATGATGTTATTGAAGACGATGTTGTTGATAATGACGAAAAAAATATTATTGAAGCAAAAGATGACAGGAAAGTAGAGATTGACAACGAGCAATATTCCTTAGAACAATTGACAAGCTACGATCAGTACATGAAATGCTCTTTTGCCTTCGATGATTTTTTGTTTAATTTAAAAGAGAGTTCGCTTTGGATCAAGCCATTTGACTTTAGGAAGTGCTTTGGATTAGATCATTTCATCATCTTTATTGCATTGGCCGTCACTGAGTTCCACCGACATACCGTGCTGACTGAAATGAACGAACTGGATGAAATGCTACAGGCAGTAAATGTTCTGTCTTTAGTATTGCTACATTTGTAGAGACTAACCCAAAACTATTTTTACAAATAATATGAATAGTTTTTTCATCGGAATGCTCGACAATATACCTTTGGAACCCATTTATATTGTAAAGAGCCGAGGTATTATCCTCTCTATTTAAATGTAACACAAGTCTACATTATCAGTGTGCGTATATTAGTTTTTCGAAATAAAAAATGCTAAACGGCCACTAATAAAACAATATGAAAAGATTTCAATTGTGCTTTGCTATGCATTTAAAACTTCTTATAATGTATATATATTTATAATTGAGACTGAAATAAAAACTTTATTTCTCTTTCTCTTTCACAATAATAATAACAATACTAGCGATAAGAAATGGTCGCTTTACTAAACAATTTGGTAAGTCAGAATAATGTACTTTCACAAATATTTGAAAAACTCGAGACTTTAGATAGAACAAAAACTTCGCGGTGTAGAAGAGACAGTTAATAGTCTCAAAGACTCAAAGGATGCCAGCCTGAGCGAGAGGATCATTTTTGCAGTCCAGGCCAATAATACGAGTTTTGTCCGTAATGGAGAGTCGCAAGATGTGAACAAGCGCAGCGCTATCAAGATCTTGATAGATAATTACTGTCATGATGGGATTGACCTTTACGAAATATTGTTAAAGGAGTGCCGCCAGAGTGTCCAGAGTATTCGAGCACGGAAACACTACCTGGGACGAACTCAACGTGAACATCAAGGACTCGTTGATTGCCGGTACTGCAAATACTCCTGGGCAATCAAAACCGGAATTTGAGCTCTTACGTCTTTGCCAACGTTTCAGGCCTATCCGCTTTTTATGCCAACAATCTTGGTCATCAAGTGCAAGTAAACGCAATGCTCGCGTTTCTGTCACAAATAATAGAGTCGAAGGTACTGTTAACTATTGGACAAACATCCTTCTTATATGACATGAACTAACATCCTATAAATTTAGTGCAAGGTGATATCAAAGCTGAATACTATTTTTACAGGTAGCTGTAATTATAATGCAGTAAAGTAGATATATATCTAGATGAGTATATTATCACATTTATATTCAATAAAGTACCATTTAATTAAGCATAGAAAAATGTGCGAAAAATCAATTATTTTACGATATAGTGCTCTATTACATACACCATACGAAAGATATAAATGTATGTGATTTTTCAAGAGTTACATTTAAACGCCATAGAATATATGTCTTTTTAATAAGTACACCTGCAATATGTCTTTTTAACAAAGATATGACAGCAACACCATTTAGATGTCCTCAAATGGAGACATCTGGATAACATGGAATATATGGTATTTTGGTGGTTTAATTAGGACATATATTTTGACAATATTTAATGTAAAATTATGTCCATAGCGGACATATTTTATCATCATTGCAACCTATTTTTTTTTTAGTGGTGATAAATATATAGTTACATTATGATTGCTATGATTACAACTATGATAAACTAAAAGACATAATGCAGAATTTTATAAACTGAAACGTTTCCTATAAGTCTTTTTTATTCTACTATCAGATGCTTCGTACAAAGTTTTGATGACAGTCTTTTAACTACTTTGTGTCTTTCTTTTCTTAGACCCGTAAACAAGACCTATTCCGTTTTCATAGTAGCTAACCAATTTGTTTCCCTAACCCTGCGCAACTTTCATTACCTGACGGAGGGCATTTCCCAAGGAAAGTCCGGGCTCTACAAAATGGTATAAGTTTCTGTGAAAAGACTCAATTCCGTTGGTAGTTAGTTCTTAAGTCATGCTCATGCAATTCTCGCTTCATATTCGTATCCTAATTGAAAATGGTAGGTCGAGCATGGTCATTCAACCACCATTGTAACCAGCTATCGCATTTAGGAAACGTCTTTAAAAGACTCCTCTCTGTTTAATAAAAGACTTCTTCCCTGGTCGTTTTTTGCAACTTGTTAAGAAGAGGAATATATTCTTTGGATTTACCGGCAGGGACAATTCTTTGGATTTGGATGATTCTTTGGACAGATCTCATCCAATGAAATTAATATCCTTTTATTAATGACAAGGATGTTTAATCGTCCGTGTTGAAATGCTCTTTACAGGCTTGTTGAAAGCCTCGTTGCTCAGTTTTAGAGAAATCTAAAATTATATAAAAGAAAAACTTTGGATTGATTGCACACTTCTTAAACAACGCTTTGAAGTAGAAGGCAAAATTTCTGCAGTTTGGTAAGTAATGACAGCTTGAAAAAACACTATACTTTTTTATTTTTTCGACGTAGATAACTGATGAGGCCAGATAATAACCGGAAGACACCGCTTTGTAAGTAAAATCCGTGATTGTGGGATGCTTGTCAAAAGGCAACTTACATTTTGTCATTTCAGGAGAGGAAAATATTATAAAGTTAGGAAAGTCAATTTTGATTTTATTGAACTCTTCGAAAAAGTCGCCGTTGCTTTTGCTTTCAAGTCCCTGTATAATTCTTGACTTTTTCAGCTCCATCTTAGCACGTTCTTTATTTCCAAGAATTGGATTGATGCTTTGAATAAATATTATGTCTTAAGAGCCGGCAACTGCAGTAGTAGGCGTTATGCTAGGATTATTTTACATAATGTTATCGAGTTCTAACTTTTCTGTCGTAGAAAGATGCTTAAAGTTGTATACACCATGAGTGTCTTATCTTGCAATTCTTATTTGAAATATGCATCATGGTACAAGTTCTGGCTTTTACTTGAAAGACATACTCTACTTTTACATCACATTTAATCCAGTTCAAAAAGCGTCTCACAGTGATGACAATTACTTTGTCTGATAGCAACCTCCCCGTTAAGAGGTCTGGTTGCCTTTCCATAAAATAATAACAACTTCTTTTGGGAGTTTCAATAGCTCCCAAGCATGACTTTACAATACGGCGGCCATGTTCGTGATCGTCATCTATCATAAGCTTTGAGAGTTTTCCTTTGTTGGGCTTATACGAGTTTTCGGTTGCTAAGGACCGGCTAATGTTAAAATCACAGTCTTGAAACAATTTTGTGGACTCATTGAAGTGAACTTTTGACGTCTATGTATGCAAATTCTCGGGAAATTGTACTTTAAACAGCGGAAAAAGCAGAAAATTTGAAATTTGGTGTATACAGTATGTTTAACCCCAGCACCGTCATATACGTAGTCAAATTTCATTTGGCTAAGCCACAGACATTTTAAATATTTCATAAAATTTTTTTTTAAGGATCTTGTTTTCTCCTCAATCTTCATTTGTGTATAATGTGATAACAGATAAGTTTATAACTTGCTCAGTAAAACGGTCAATTGATAGGTGTGCCAACGTCGTAGGCCCTAGCTGCTATACTTCCACCACTCCGCCGAATGTGCCAACGTTGTAGGCCAACGGACACGCTGGACTTTGTGCCTGCCTAAGCCTAGTAGCTATACAGCCACCATGTTTTCATCGAATTTGGACTTGGACACGTTGTCCCCTGTGATCTTGTGTTCCCTTGCGTTCAGCCTAAGCCTTGTTAGAATTTGATGGCAATTGATACTAGAAATAGACAATTGATAGGAGTGCCCCTCTTCTCATCCCGTCTTCTCATCCCCTCTTCTCATCCCCTCTTCTCATCCCCTTTTCTCATCCCCTTTTCTCATCCCCTTTTCTCATCCCCTCTTCTCATCCCCTCCAACGTCGTAGGCCCTAGCTGATATACTTCCACCACTCCGCCGAATATGCCAACGTTGTAGGCCAACGGACACGCTGGACTTTGTGCCTGCCTAAGCCTAGTAGCTATACAGCCACCATGTTTTCATCGAATTTGGACTTGGACACGTTGTCCCCTGTGGTTCCTTGTATTCCTTGCGTTCAGCCTAAGCCTTGTTAGAATTTGATGGCAATTGATACTAGAAATAGACAATTGATAGGAGTGCCCACGTCGTAGGCCCTAGCTGCTATACTTCCACCACACCGCCGAATATGCCAACGTTGTAGGCCAACGGACACGCTGGACTTTGTGCCTGCCTAAGCCTAGTAGCTATACAGCCAACATATTCTCATTGAATTTTGACTTGGACACGCTGTCCCTTGTGTCAGCCCAAGCCTCGCTGGAATTTGATGACAATTGACACTAGAAATAGACGAATTACTAATTTTTTTTTTTTTATATATATAGACAAGGTTCTACTCACTACACTCAATCATGTAGTGATATTACAACTTATACAATGCGTCTTCCTTATAACATGTACCTGTGGCTTAATACTATAACATGTACCTGTGGCTTAATACTATAACATGTACCTCTGGCTTAATACTATAACATGTACCTGCGGCTTGATACTATAACATGTACCTGTGGCTTAATACTGTTCTGAACATAAAATATACCCTTACCAATTATCAAAGGATTACAATTTTTCTGAAATAAATTTATATCTATTTGACAAATAAATCGAATTATTACTTATCATGCTTGGCTACAGCCACTGGTAGGAACATGGTAAACCTTGCGCATTAGTTGAAAGCTGTCCTTTGTAACACTTTTATTTCACTTCCCTTGAAATTTCAAGTTATCTTTAAATGAAACAACAAAATGCCTGTCATGAACGTGAATCCTGATGCAAATGTTCGCATTCCCGTCTATGTATGCTTTTAAAGAAGACAAGAACGTTAGAACTTCTTCGTGGACATTTTGGTTTCAATGCTCCTCGTCTTAGGTTAAGCGGGATGACGGACGCTAACAATAAGGTTTTCTTTAATGTACACGCAACTCCCGACCAGCTCTTTCTTCACTTTCCGCCCAAGTGATTGACTTGGACTAGCCTAAGTATATTACTTGGATTATACTCTTAATGATGACAGTTGTCAACTACCAGAATAAGCAGTCCTTTCTACATCAACGCTGACTTCACTGACTCTGACTTCATGTGAATGGCTCGTTTTCATGATATCTCCAGGTGTCATGTGTTTGCTATCCCTCATGAAGAATTGTAAGTCCCCGAAAAGCAACATTTGCTGTTGGCAAATGATTTACGAAAATTGATTATATATAACAAATGACTAACGCTTCTGTTATATGGCAAACACAAGTCCTCTATACCAACCTCGATCCTTTTTCACATAGTTAAAAGATTGATTTCGTGTATTCAATTATTTCTTGGTTTTGTTACGGGTTGGGTCAATGCGACCCGATTGGGCACGAGTCCCAGAGTCATAAATAAACAATTTTTTTTTATCTGCTCCCCCTTTTCCAACAACAATTTTTTACATATTATTAAAATTAAAAAATGGCATAGGTGAATTAGCTTAAACATATATATTTTTTTTCTTGAGGAATAATTACAATGCAGCCGTTTTGAATTCGTGGATCGCTAGAATTGTCAGAGAGAAGCAAGAAGTGTTGAATGTACTGCCATAATATTCAATACTTTCTGACAGGTGCAGGATTTAACAATAGTTGGGTTTGAATGCCTTGGTCCGAAAAGTATCACACAGTATTTGCGAAAAGAGCGGAAGAGCTCTCGTGCTCCAAATGCCTGGGCTGTAGTAATTGCAGGTTGTACAATAATTCTACATGTTTGCTAACCAGTTTGCGTAATGCTTTTTGTTATATCCATTGACTAACCTATCAGAAACAATCATGATTTTCAAGGCATATTCCGAACAGTATAAGGTCCAGATTTTGATTCGATACCCTTTAAATAAGAAAAACCTACTTTTATTTTGGCATGTGTAGAGTAGTAGCTGTTGGGCGTGATGATACTTGAAGCGAGTGCAGCCATACAAGATTAGTAATGACATTTGCGTAAATAGAGCTATAAATTAATAATACCTCTGAGAGTGTTGCGGTTTAAAAAATCCAAATTCTTCATACATACTTTGACAAAATTCATTTTGCAAGACTCAGTCAAATGCAATGTAAATGATTCTGGGTGGTAGCTTTGACAAGATCAAGATATATCAAACTCCTCAAAACGCTATATCTCATACCATGGACCCTGTCTTAGCGACTTATTTCGGCACTAGACTATTTAACCACTTGTCGGATTGAATGTCATTTAGCTTTTTGCCGGAATTCGGAGAGTAATATATAGCATCAAAGCCGGAATAGTTTGGGTTCTGGATATGCCAGGAAAAGCTTTGGACGACCAATCACATCGGAATCATGATCGTTTAGAAGAAAAACCAGTAAAGCTGCTCAATTTTCGTTTCATGGGTAAATCACACAAGATTTGATACAAACAGGCTCTGACAGTAGCACCGTAATCTCGGCCATGTTTTCCAGAGTTGAATGTAGACATTTGAACACCAAAATACAAGGAGCGAAGTTGGTTTGTAACAATGGATAATAGGCGTTGTGTTTGACAAGTGTTGGGTTCATGAGGCCCTTCGATTAATGCAAGCAGTATTGTGTTTTCTTTCTTTATGCGTTCCTCGACGGGTAAATTATTTACTTGCAGATAAAAAGCGACGCAAGAAGCGGAAGTAGTATCATATGGTTGGAATCCATCTATGTTTAACTGGGTTGTAAGTATATCTCATCTTTACTTTTCTTTTTTGTATTCTAACCTGCATTCAATGTCAAACATAAAGATTTACTGCTGTTTACAAAAGGTTCACCACTGGGAGAAAGAATACTTCGTCACATTATTCCCTGGGAGCAATGGTGCATCATATCAGTTGGGTTTACAGCCTCTTCAAAACTACGCCATTCTTCACACTTCTCCTCAAATTCTTCTCTCAGATACAACTTTTGGATCGAACTTATAAGAAAATGGTATACAAACTTTTTGATTGGAATATCGGAACCGTCTTGAAATAATGGGGTTTTAGAAGGCATTTTTTTGAGGATATTGATAAATGTACATATTTGTGGAGGCCCAGGATGTGTTAACCCGTTGCTTGTAGCATAAAGATAAACTAAATAGCATTTGGGACAAGTTGCGTAGACAGTCATATCTTTGGTAAGATCGATAAATCCAGTTTGAAGCTTGATTGTGGGTAGCGATTTTGGAAATTCAAATTACTGAATAGCATACGTAACAGATTAAGTAAGTTTTGTGTAGCGATGATGGTCAAAAAGACCATTTGGAATATAAGTACAAAACAACAAATAAACAAGTAAGTGGGATCTTGTGGTATTCTGGGATGATTATTTTGTTGGACTACGATTATTTCAATAAAGTTGCAAATATTTATTCCGAAATTCAAGCCTACCTTTTTTTATGATAAATTTTTCACCTTGATCATCCAAATCATCTAGCATCTTGAGAACTTCATCGGTCCAATATATCTCACTGCTGCTTTCGACAGTAAGTTGATTTTCATTATCATCATTTGCATCAACGCTATAATATTGGTCAAATATTAAGCTTTCTTCGTAATCACACTCATCATTTTGAAATATCACTCAGTATCATGTTAAAAATCATTTTTTCATAAACCTGCCTGAAGAGCATTCATCTTAGAAAAATGACTATCAAGTTGAGTGGAGCTGATATTAGCATGTGCAAACTCTGCTTCAATAACAGATACGTTCAAACGTAAAAATTCTAAGCTGGTGTCTACTACGGCGTCATCTGTTACAATTTCTGTTAGTATAGATTACAGTTTGTTGCAGGTAAATATCTGATGAGGGTTACACACTTTCTTCTAGTTCATCCAAACTTCTTTTGGAAGCTGCCGCCTTTTGGCATGACTCCTCGTACATTTGTTTTTCGGCATGTCGTGCAGCAGTATTAATTGGAACTGAGTAACCGCTATACTTCTGGCAACGGAAAATCTTGGTCTTTTTTTTTTTTTTTTTTTTTTTTTTTTTTTTTTTTTTTTTTGTAGAAGACATTATGGTAACTTGTGGAATTCTCACCCAGGGGTTTTTTTTACTCTATACATAGGGAGACAAAGACGTCCCCAGTATATATCAATAAAACATTTACTGACGTATGGTCACACTAACGCGGATTGGTTGTCCATGCAACTGTTCCAAACGTTGGGAGTAGTACAATGTCGAAAGATACATTACACAACTCCCATCGCACCTTTTTTTTTTTCATGCAGAATGAAACGACAGAAGAGATAACGTTACACTACATTGTTGAAGTATCATAAAGACGTCCTTGTTCTAAAAATTACTTTTTATGTCCAATCGTAATAGGCATTATTTGCACATTTTATTTAGCTCTTGCATAACATCAAGCAGGTAATTTATATCGTGCAACCTGTAAGATTCTTATAAGATACTATAACATAAAAACATATATATTTTATGCTTTAAATACTAATCTTGAAGCAATAAAACTACTCTTAGTGTTTGTTTAGCTTTCGGGGTTTGACAAAAAAACAGGTCAGGTAAGGATGAAATCTGGTACATCCATATCCATTCTTTTTGATATACTTATCCACTTATGCATTTTTTGCCAATAAGCGTGTTGTTTACGATGGGGTATTTAAATAACTCTTTTTAACGCAACACATCTAGAGTACTGACAAGAGAAAAATAAGAGGGGGTGGGGGCTTGCTACTCCCTCGATTCCCATATGGGTGAATAACAACAATGCCAAGTTTTTCTTGTTTGTTCGTATCAAAATAGGCTTTAAAAGAAGACAATAGTTATTTGGCTTAAACCCAATCGTTCAATTTTTAAGAGCAAGCTTAAGCAGTTTAGTCTTTAAATGAAAGTTATATTATACGCATACAATAGGGCACTTATCCGGGTCCTTCAATACGATGAAAAATTTTCCTTCTACTTTAGCAGTATACCCATTTAATGACAACAGATATATTTCTCTTTCGTTCATTTCGTTTGCAGACTATGCATGGAAAATTAATTGATTTTTAGCCCTGATCCATCTTTATTCCGGAGATTAAATATTAATACCCTTAAAAAAAAACTTTTTTTTACTAGGAAATTTTCGTTCAGGGCTCCACCGGCCCTTGTCCGCTGGTAACTCTCCGCCTGAACGGCTGAAGCTCCCAGCGGCTTTTGAGGGGATCCTTTACTTCCGCTTGGGGTCTTTACCCTTTCCCCGCATTGAATGGTCTAAAATACAATACCGTAACTTAAGTTGTTGAAAATCATATTGCTCTCTTATGCTTTAACTTCGATACTCTTAAAAAGTAAATATACCAACACCATATGTTAACAAAACACTTTTTTAAATGATAATTGTCAATTTTTATTGGTATGATTTTGGGGAAATGTCTAAACCTCCGTATTTTTTTCAAACGTATTTTTTATAATCACGCGATGGTCTACACGTCGATTGACATGCCATATCATCTAAACTTCATGGGATGATCGATTTCTGTTTTCCATAAAATCTGCTTCACTGTCATTACAAGCTACTACTGGAACGCAGATAGACAATTACCAAGCTCTGACTTGCTAGGGAGGTTTTTGCAAGTGTTTCTATTTTAAGTAAAGGCTCAAACATTATGGATGATAAAATAGACAAATGAAATCATCTTGACATAAGCTTGTTTATCAGCCTATAAATAAAGCTGGTTCACACACTTTATTCTTCTCCTTTTCTTTTCTCTCAACATACTTCTTCTATCTTATGAAAGTAACCAATAATGTTAAAAGGTTAGTTAGTAATGACTCTTGTTTCTTTGAAAAGACACTAAATTGAAAAAGATGTATTACGATATTACGGCTGCGGCTAGTCTTTGCTATAGGAGGGCGACCTCTCAGGCAGAGTTTTTGAGTTTTTGAACTCATAGACCGTGAATGGCTCGGATTGGACTGTAAATAGGTTTCACCATACTGGCCTGCTAGTCTTCTGGCCGGAATTCCTGTAAGTGGTAAAAAAAAATACGTTTGAAAAAAATACGGAGGTCTAAACATTTCCTTGCAGAACATTCCATTGCACCCACTGGTTGGATTGTCCTTTTTCCTTACTGGAAGATATCAATCGTTGGTCATCAATCCATTTCAGTCTGATTCAACAATTCAAAAATTGTACAGTATTGCGAAAGAAATTTTCGAAAGTAATATCACCGAATATGATAACCTTGATGAATTTCTCGACGTATGCCAGCGTGCAAATGACCAAATTGAACAAGGATTGTCATATTTGCGTGCTATCACACTTGATAGCACAAAGTTCAGCCGAAGACAACCAATGGACTTTTGTCAAAAACTATATCGCTAGCCATAAATCCAATACCCGTACTAATAACAAAAGAGTACCAGTTCCATGGGAGGTAATTTATCGTGATGGACGAGCTAGAGGATATTTTAGTACGTTTACCAGTGCCAGCTCTATGAGAACTAGTTTCTATCGACAGAAAAATATGTAGCTATTGTCTACATTTTTTATTAAAGAAATATATGAAATAATGCATTAAATCGAAAAACAATAAAAATAACAATTTAGCATAAGTACCATATTCAACAGTAATAATGAATTTAATGATTACAGTGATAGCAAAAACAGTTAGTTCCCAAACACTGACAAATGCGAGACATTTGATATAGTTAGGGCCGGACACCAAATCGGCAACGGCATGAATGGCAATAGCAGCTAAGACAGCGTCAGGAATGTAATAGAAAGCGGGGGTAAGGGTATATAGAGCAAGCACTACAACAAGTGCAGAGAAGACGCCAGCGAAGGGGGTTTTAACACTTAATTGCAGTACGAGAAAAAGAACCATTTGAAGGATATGCTCTATTTTCGAAAATAAAATTATCTACTTAAAAACCAGAGTCTCCCATTTTATTTGAAGGGTAACATCTTAGTTTGGTGTAGTTGCGCTATTTGCTTTAGGTTCTTCTTCATCAGTACGGCGACTGCCAATAACCTTCTGCGACCTCAGAAGGATCCGCATCGTCCACTATTTAAAAATGTTTTTGAATCAACTCGGTCTTTCTCCAACAATACTTATTTATAATATGGTGATGAGCGGGAGACCTGAGCAGTGGTTTAACAAAAAAAAAATTATTAGATAAAAAAATTATTAAGTGAAATCAACATACCTTTAGAGACAATGTTTAATTACAGGAGAATTTGCTCTTCGTCTATGAGGGCGCGGGTTATCTACCATCCAAAACGTTTCGAGACTTCTACTTTCACAGGCTGTGTAGAACTGACTTGCTCTAAATTCATCAATCAAGTACACCCTTTTACCAGCTTTTTGAAGCAACAGACCGAAACCAAGACCCCGTATGAACTCATGAAATCTTGTATTAGGAGCAGATCGGTTGCCCGTAACATAAACATCTTCGACACCAAACTGTCCATATAGATGTGCTCATATTACCTTTAGATTTATTTGGTGTACCAGACATGGATCTATCAGAATCCTTGTCTGGTAAAAAGGGCAGTTTTCTGAAGTAAAAAGTTTGCTCTAATAACATGTCAGATAAATGTCACTCAATTTTGAATCGGTTGTTTCAATATTTACCTTTTACGTATAAAGTGTTATGAAGTTTGAGAACAAAAATAGTTATATGTAAAATAAAAATTGAATAAGGGTTAGGTAAACTTATCTTAAGATTTCATTGGTGTTGTTATTGAAAAAAAGGGGAGAAAAACAAAGAACAATGAAATTCGCATGAAGCGATGATAAATGCAATTTTTCTAGCTCTCATTTTATAGTAATCTCTTTTGAAAGAAGGCACATACCCCATATGCATTATAGAAAAATTCGGATTGCCCAAAAATTATACGAGAGCAAACAGAAAATAATTGTGTCATTCAAAAATAAAATTGCTTGGAATCAATAGGTAGCTAATTCCAAATAACCTTAATACATACAATAAAATAAAAAACTTTATTGTAAAACTGTAAATGCCATGTACTTGTCTGAGCGTTTTTAGGTCCTTTGTTTGTAGTTTGACCAAAAACAAGTTACCTTTTCGGGGTGTCAGTTAAGGAAGGAAATCTGGTGCATCAATATCCATTCTTTTCGATACACTTATCCACGTATACATTTTTTGCCAATAAGTGTGTTGTTTATGACGAGGTAGTGGTATTTAATTTACTCGTGATAAAGCAACACATCTAGAGTACTGACAAGAAAAAAATAAGGGTGTGGGTGGGGTGGTGGGTTTGCTACTCCCTCGCCCCCCTAATGGGTGAATAACAAAAACGTCAAGTTTTGATCATTTGTGCATCTTAAAATAGGCTTAAAAAGAAGACAATAATTATTTGGTTTATGCATGATCGTTCAATTTTTAAGAGCAAGCTCAAGCATGTTAGTCTTTTGGATGAAGTGAAGATTTAATATAAAAGAGTTACATATGCATGCAATAGGGCACTTATCCGGGCCATTCAATACAATGAAAACATTTTCTATTGACACATTTTCCTCCTACTTTAGCAGTATACCCATTTAATGATAACAGAAATATATATATTTCGTTCATTCTGTTTGTAGACTATGCAATGCATTATAAGCTTGCACAAATAATACATGAGAATAGTGTATTACTAGTGGAGGAGAGGAAGTCAAGATTCTTTAGTACATGATGTACGTACAAAAAATGTATCCAATCATATGCGTTTTCTTAATCAAGCAAGACGCCACCCCCACCGAAATTCACTTCTCTACTTTCGTTGATAGCGCTGAACAATCATCTCCAATAAACCCACTTGGTATAACTCAATTCGATAACAAATTAGTTTACGGATTAGAGCCATATCTATATGAAATAGTGACCAAAGAGCCTTGGTGCAGGAGCTTTTTACCGAATTGCAGATTCCTGGTCATATCATAAAAGAAAAAGCATGGTATCTTAATTAAAACTACTATAGTCAAAGTTTAAGAGAAATCCTGTTTTATTATGAGCCTATTATGTTGGTGGCTTTTCATTTAGCAAATATCCCGAAACTGTATACTGGTATAAATTATAATTTATTCTTAATAAAAATTTTGTTTTTCGTTTTTTTAACGTAATAAAAGAAAACAAAAGGCAAATTTGCCAAAACAAATTAAAAAACAGGAAAGAAACAAAGACCAAAGAAACAAAGGCCAAAGAAACGGGAAAAAAAGAAAAGGACAAGAGAGCGATTTTTTTAACCCCGTCGAGTTTGGGATTTAGCCTTACGACCATCTCCAGTTGGTCGTGGAAAAGGCTGTTCTTTTCCTTTTAAAGGGCCAGAAGAATAAAACAACTTTGGCTGGTAGTTGGGCTCTTGTTTCATGACTTGAGAGTTCTGGAACTTCTTTATCAGAGCCTTCTTTCCTTGAATGGCAGCGTAAGACAACTGGAATGTCTTATCGGAGTTGAACTTGCTCCTATAAAAATAAATAGTTAGAAGAAGCGTCTCTTTTTTTTGTCTATTTTATAGTTTGTTATTACCATTTCTTGCCTTCGCGTTCTTCATAAAAGCTGATGACACTTCTACAGATGATTAAAAAAAAGATATGTAAATAGAATGTATGAGTACATGTTTCTGTACGAGATACTTACTTTGGCTCAATAAAATTAACGAAGGCATAGCCAACATTGCATCTATTTTTAAAATCCATTCGAAGATAAAAAAAATCGAATGTATTTTTATGCGTTTCATTAATTAAATTCATAACCATTTTCTATAAAAGAAAAATTATTGGCATACGATTTTCGTACGTATTTTATATTCAAATTAATTCTTACCTGCGTGTACTTGTTGGGAATGTTACGAATCATAAATGTTGTTCTGGTGTCTTGCTTTGTGATCACCCTATTGATATCCAGTTCATATGAGACTTTAACAGGGGCCGAAGGAACTGAAGGAGCTGGAGGCAGTGAAGCCAGTGAAGGCTTTGCTTTTGTTTTGACCCCCGCACTTACAACAGACGAGTAAGATTTTCTTTTCTGACAAGTTGCTGGTCCAGGTGACCCTTTCTTGACCTTGTTAACGACACCGTTTGATGGAACAGATATAGAGTCTGCCATAAGACCGATCTCTGAAGGTAAAGCTTTATCGACATTGACTGTATTTACTGGAGACTTTGCATTGGTTTTAGATGAAACAACGTCAGAAATCGCAGCCGAACTAGATGAAGATGGGCCGGAAGACTTGGATCTTTCTTTGGCAGGAGCATTGATCTTATCAGAGGCCTCTGCGGATAAGATACAATCTGAGCTAGAGAGATAGGGCTTGGAGCCGGAATTTTTAGGGTTGCGGCCGGAACTAGAGGAGAAACGGTCTGGATTTAAAGGGCCTTTGGAAGACCAAGGAAGCACACTAAACGGATCTTTGGAAAAGTATGTGTGGTTCTCCGAAAGATCGAGAGCAGACGTGATACTCCTATTCACTGGTTTTGTAATGCAAGTTGGAGGTTCTTTCAGCTTTGTGAATGCAATCTCATTGCACGTACAATCAAACGGATTATTATTTGCTGGAAGAACTTGGATGGTCGTTCCCTATTATATGACTGGTTAGATCATCTTATCCATTCCTTTTTTTGGAAGACTATAAAAAAACTAACCTCAATCGACACACCATTAAGACGTGCAAACAGTATTTCTGTTTCACGCTCATCATCGTATTCAATATTTACCAGCTGTAAGTTACTCGATGCACAGGCTTCTGAGAAAGTATGAATTACGCCAATTTGAGAAGCGAGATCCTATTCGTCGTTTGTCAAAAAAAGCGTGCTTTTAATTTTTTTTTTTTTTTTTTCGCATACCATAATATTCAGTAATCTTCCACCTTGTGAGTTCATCACCATAAAAACCTTATTGTTTAATGGCATGTTTACCGAACAAGGCTTTGCAAAGTAAGCCTGGTATGAATGGTTGAAGCTGTCATTGATGATGGACAAGGCTTTCATGGCATCCGTGTACTTGTAGTAAGAAATGATTGCAGCCCCTTCTGTAAACAAAGGGCAAAGGGTCTTAACCTCTCCGCCACAAGACTTGAGGAAAAGGAGATTCAGTAAAGAACCAAAATAATAGGAAAATCAAAAAAAAAAAAAATACCTGCAACAGTCCAAATAACCTGTCGTGACTCAACGTCAAAGAGTTAAAAGGGAACAAAGCAATATGTCTTGTTGGATGATTAGATTTGAAGTCGCTTGGCTTCATTGAGGTATCTAATTAAATGAAAGAATTTTTAAATAAACAAATAGATGTATAAGAAAATGAATACGACAAACCTTGAAGTCTGGTGGAGGGACTTGGGCAGTCATCATTCAAAGAGATGTTGTCTGGCTTCCAAGGTTGGCACAATAGAGGCCCACTTCGTGAAGAGGGTTGGCTCCCAACATGCAAATGTGAAAAATAGCTCATATTGACACCAACAATTGTTTTAAAAAGTAAAAGAGGGGAAAAGAATAACAGAAACAAAGTGGTGGAATATATATGTTAAAAACAGTAAACAATAATATTAATCTGACAGTTGAACTCTTCTCAGTGTCGTGTTGTGTTTCGCAAGGAAGCCGCTTTTGGTTTGTTTGTTTCGATAAGCATCATGTATTATGTCAGAAATATATAGCGACTGATTATAAAGAATAAAATAATAATAAACACCTTCTTTCATCATCGATTTTTCTTTGCCATCACTTGTGGGGGTGATGCATCCGCAATATGTCCTTTTGTTACCAGTACGGATGATGTATTTATACATATAAGAGCTTGAAAAAACGTTTTTTTATCAATATGGTGTTTATAAATTGGATAGAGATATGGATACATCATGAAAACTTTGTTGACAAGATAAAAAAAGCTCTCATGTCCTTCAACATTGCTTTCTGTGTAACTACTCTAAACCAAAATCGGCAACCCGACTATCAATGACAACCTTACAAATACTCCTGCCCCACCCTAAAAAATGTGAGTTTCCATGGTGGTTCTGTATATCTTGAATAGGAAAGATAGTTTGGAGACGCACATCCAGCTTCTTGGGTTATGAAGTAGCTTTCAACAGATAACTACGACAAACGTGATTATGAAAAAGTATAAAATAATTCAAATTTTTGAGTTCTGAAGTTGGACGCTGTCGCCTTCCATGGTTTAGCATCGAATGGGGGGGGTTAAACAAAACTTTTTTCTCTTCTATCAAAATTATCATCTAATCATCTGCTGCTCAGAAATTTTTTTTTGGGGATAAAGCGATTTGCATGAATTGTTATCAGCACTATGGTAATAAGCATTTTTAGTTTAATAGGTGTATAATTTATTATCATTTTTTTTTTTTTTTTTTTTTTTTTTTTTTTTTGCTTTATAAAAAAAAAAAAAATCAAAACGGACAAATACCAAACAAAAGAAGGACAGAGCAATTTTTTTAACCCTGCCATTCCCGTCTCCAGTTGGTCTTGGAAAGGCTGTTCTTTTCCTTTTAAAGTGCCAGAAGAATAAAACAATTTTGGCTGGTAACTGGGCTCTTGTTCCATGACTTGAGAGTTCTGAAACATCTTTATCAGAGCCTTTTCTCCTTGAATGTTAACATAAGACAACTGGAATCGCTTATTCGAGTTGAACTTGCTCCTATAAAAAAGTAGTGAGAAGAAGCGTGCGGCTTTCGATCATCTTTTATACTCAAATTAATACTTACCTGTGTAGATCTATTGGGGAGGTTTCGGATCATGAAGGTTGTTCTGGCATCTTGTTGATATCCAACATGCTCCAAGGTTTTTTAATCACTGCAGGATCTGAAGGCTTTGCCTTTGCTGTCACCTCAGTGCTAACCACAGATGCGTAAGATCTGTTCTTTTTGCAACCTGGTTTGCAAGCAAGAACATTGTTGTTCTTGCTTGTCGCATCATTTGATAAAGCAAATAGGGTGCCTGCAGCAGGATTGACGTTTGAGGGTACATTGCTGCTGGCTTTTATTATAGCTAAAAGAGCCTTGGCATTGGCTTCAAATGATCTAACATCAGAAACCTTAGCAGAGTAAGGTTCCTGAGAGGTTTCTGTAAACGAAGAACGATCCGAGCAGGAAAGACAGGATTTGAAGCCTGAACGTTTACAGATGCAACCAGTACTAGAATAGGAGGAATGGTCTGATTCCAAAGGGCGCTCAATTGCTGGAGGGCGCATACTGAAGGGATTGACAGAAAAATTTGAACGGTTTTCCGGAAGATTAAAGGCGGACATGCTACCCCGAATCATCAATCTTTCGTTGGAAGCAGATGATTATTTCAATCTTGAAATTCATCTACATTGCATATACAATCAAAAAGATTGCTGTTAGCTGGGAGTACTCGTACAGTTGTACCCTATTAAAGGACGGATTAGATCATATGATCCATTTATCCTTTGGAAGACTACAGAAAACCAACCTTGCTTGCTACTCCATCCAGACGTGCAAATAATATGTTGGTGCTGGTCTCATCGTCATATTCAATATTAGCTACTCGCACGTAGTCTGAGTCCCATGCTTCGGAAAAAAGTATGGATTACGTCAATTTTGGACGCGAACTCCTATTCGTCGTTTGTCAAAAACAAACAATTTGTTTTTTTTACGCGTACCACAACATTAAGTAATCTTGCATTAAGAGGCACCTTTTCTGATTTGACTATCATGAGAAACCTTATTATTCAACGGCTGGTTGATTAAATAAGGTTTATCAAAGCAAGCCTTCAATAAATTACCAAAGCTATCACAGGGCTTTGACGGCATCGGTGTATTTGAAGTAAGAAATTATAGTATTTCCTTCTGCAAGAAAAGGGTGAATAGTTTTAATTTTTCCGCGAGACTTGAGGGAAAAGATGTTTAGTCAAGAATCAAAAATGATGGGAAAGCCAAAACATATTTACAGCACTTTAAATAATTTGCTATAGATTAATAAGTTTGTTCATTTAGTTTTTCTCCTGCAGCAATTCGTATAGTCTTTCATGACTGATTGTCAAGAGGTTAAATTGAAAACAAGGCCATATGTTTTGTGAGGCCCTCAGATTTGATGGGCATTTGTTCTGCTGAAGTATTTAATAAAAGGCCTTTTAGTAAAAAAAAAAGCAAATACATATAAAAGGAAACTACAATAATTACCTTGCCTCTTTTCAACACTTTTTATTTCCGAAGGTTGACATAAAAGCATATTGCTCGACTGAGGATTCCAAGGGTCTGATATATTATTAAAAGACCCATCCTGGAAATACTGTTACTTTGGTATGAATAAAAAGAAAGAAAGAGAGAGAGAAAAAAAGTGCGGGAAAATATATGGGGAAAACAGTAAACAGTAATAATCTGACAGTTAATTTATTTTTGGACTCTTCTGGTCCTCTAAAATGTCGCGTTGTATCTCTCTCTCTCAAGCACTGTTTTGTTCGTTTGTTTCTATATAAAGCATATATTATACAAGATATATATGGAGCCGGATTTATAAATAATAAACGCCTTCTGTCAACATCAGTTTGAAACATTGTTTTTTTTTCGTTTTTTTTTCGCGCCATTACCTGTGCATCCACTATTGGTCCTTTTGTCACAAATGATGTACTTACGGAAGAGTTTCAAAAGACTCCTATATTATTAATAACGTTTTTTAGGAGCTGGATGGATCTATGGACATATTATATAACCTTTGTTGACAAAAAAAAAGGGACTCTCATGCCATTCATATGCTTCCTGTGTTACTATTCCTAACCAAAATTGGCAATGGCACTATCAATGATAATTTTACAAATACTCCTGTCACACTTTCAAAACATGGGAGTTTTGTCTATGTCAAATAGGAAATGTAGTATAGAGATGAACATACAGCTCTTAAGGCTATTTAATAGTTTTCAACAAGCAACTACGACAAACGTGACTATAAAAAAACCATGAATCAAATTTAATTTTTTCGAGCTGTAAATTTTGACGCTGTAGCTTTTCATGGAAAGGGGGAGAAGGAAGTTAAGCAAACCTATGTTACTTTCAAACCAAAATTAGCATCCAATCATCTGCTGAGAAAAAAAATATGGGGATAACGCGTATCATATAAATTATTATCAGCACTAAATGGTAATTTAAGCATTTTTAGTCTAATACGTGTAATTTGCAAAATATTTTGGCTGATAAGCAGCTAATTTGGCGTCTTTTACTACTTTGTAACTTGTCCCTATTCATACATCAATAGATAACAATGCATGTCACAATACTGAAGGTCATCCACAGTCAATCACTGTGAAACTTTTTATCGGTCCAATTTTTTAAAAAAAAATGAAAAAGTTAGACCGGCGGTAACGGTCCAAAAATTGGACCGATTTTATAAAAAATCGGTCGCATTTTTGGACAGATTTTGTAAGAAATCGGTCGCATTTTTGGACCGATACTGATGATTACAAGCGATGGTTTTGGCAAATAATTCTATTGGATAATAATACAGTTTACGTATTCAGTTCACGAGTTGCTACCCTTGTAAACCCAAAAATTTAGACATCATATATTGAATAAAAAAAAGACATTTTATTGAAAAAAAAAAGAAAAAGAAAAAAAGAGCCACAAATGTTTGAATAAATAAACGCAGAGATTGGTTTTACAGATGAAAGACGAAACTAATCCGCCCATACCAACTTATTGAGCTAGTAGTTACAACTGTTATAGACAAACGCGTCTGGGCGGTACTTACCTATAATAAGAACTAACGTTAATAACGAGTATAAAAAAGATAAAAAAACACATCATACCTTAATAAAGAAACAGGTCGTCCGGGTCTAAATTTACAAGCAGTAAACGTACAGTAAATCTATAGACATATATTGATATTAATAACAGGAATGAAGGTGACTATAGCGATAAATCTTACCTCGAAAAGAATGTAGTTCATCTACCATGAACGCAAACACAATATTTATTATTCATAAACTACATCAAACAGAGTTACATAACTGTAAAAGGTTAATTTTATGTTAAATTATGGTATCAATTATTATACATACTATTTCATGGTCATTTGTCAAAAAGAAAACAGAAAAAAGGAAAATAAGAAAGAAAAAAAAATATTAGATTTATAAATAATGATTTTTTAAACTCAATAGATATTACGTACAGGAACGGTACACACAAACATAGAGTACTCTTCCAGTGCGTTTGATAGATACTTTCAATGACCCTTTGACCACTCTTTTGTTTCCTATAACTTGTCTCTTTACAAGATGGAAAAAATGGGGAAACTAGAAAGAAAATTCTAAGAAGGAGGGTGATTTCAATAAAAAGTGTTGCGGCTATTTATTGAGTGGCAAAAATTTGGACATAAAGCACATGGCTTTTAATACTATAAACATTTTATTTGTAATATATATGTGACAAAAAAAATGTCAATACTTTGTCATAGAGACATTTAAGTAGTGAATATGTTTTGATAGTTATTCGTCCGTTAAAACCAGCGAAGAAGTGAAAAAAAAAAAAAAAGCGTAAGTCAATTGAAAGCACGATACAAAAAAAGCCTAATCGTGTAACACCAAACGCGTAAAGAACAAGATACACTTTTTGACCCCCTGTTGCGGTCACCGTATTAACTTAATAAATTTTCTTTTAATCATATAAGTTATATAGGTATCGTAATATATGTTTATTAAACTACAAAACTCGATTTTGCAGTGATTTTCATTTATTTTAAAAATCGGTATCGGTGCAATCTTCAAAAAAGACCGCCGGTATCTGTAATTTCTAAAAATTGCACCGATACCGGCGGTATCGGTCCAAAATATGTTTAGACCGGTAAAAAGTTTCAGGGTGCAACATACTTTGTAACAAACTTTTTATGCAAAGCAATACTCCAAAGCTTAAAAAATCTCGCTATTTTTATATATATTCTGCCCTTTATAAGTACTAGAAACATAAGCACTACATTCTGAAAGAATTGAACATGAAATATTCCAAGAAATAAATGGTTAAATTATTTGAGACTAAAACTAGATATCTTTTTATTAAATGAAAAAGGGGATCCATTTTATAAGGAAGGATTGAAATAGATTGTTATCCGGGAAGATCAGACGGGAGCGTGGATTGGAAGTAGACATTAATAACTTGATCAGTCAATGGTTTATGTTTCAGTGCTGGGTTGCTATTAAATGTCAAGTAGATTATAGGCTGGATATATAGTGTGTATATATCAGAACACTCTTAAAGAAAAACCCTTTTTTTGTTTTTCACTATGTTATAATTGATTCGATCAAATTATGAATAAATACAACGTGTTAACCTTCTTGTTCAAAGTGAATCATGTAAATATATTATCAAAATGTAATTACGAATCCTGTCTGTTTTACTTTATGATCAGTTCAAGTGGTTTATTTAAATACTCTAATCTAGGTGGCAAATGGTTTATAAAATAGTTGAAAGACTGATTGAAAATAATCCTTCATGAACACAACTTATTAGATAAAACAAAATCTAACCTGAAAATGAATTGCATGGAGGTCTTTACTGATTCTGTACAATCAATATAAAAAGAAACCTCAACAACCAAGAAGCTTGCTGAGCACATTAGGAATGCTTTGTAAAAAATCAAAGAAAAAACATGCTTTAGCTTTTATCAGCTTTATCACAGTTTTTGTAAATGGATAGTGCTTTGGGCATGAAAAAATAATGAATCCACAAGGAGCTACAAACTTAACCGTAGCTTATTAACCATCGTAAGCTTGCGAAAAGAATGAATAATGGGTCTAACTCAAAGGAATTTACACTTAAACTACATATATATATATATACAAAAAAAAAAAAAAAAAAAAAAAGACTATGGTCCAAAGTGGGTAGTGAATAGCTGACTTAAGGATATAATCATATGACCATCGATTTATCATTCCACTTATTTGTTGATCCGGTATCATTAATTCTCTTTTTCCTCTCCTAAGTACCAAAATCTAGCATCTATGTATAGGTTGAATAGTTAAAGCAAAACGTACAAGTAGCAATTTCCAAAAAAACGCGTAATTTTCTTTAGATATAGGTTTGAAACATGTCGCGATTTTACTTTTTATATATATAAAATAATCCTTTCATTCGACCATTGTTTTTTTTACGCGTTCGTAACAAACCTTGTGAATAAAGATAGAAAAATATCCCTCTACCAGCAATTGTATTTTGGTTTTCTTTTAATAAAAGAAAACATACAGTTATGACCATGGCAAGTAGACTCACTTTTGTATATTCAACAACCGCTAATAGCCACTACAGAGTGGGCCATACTCTACCGCTTTTGAGTAGTCTGACTATATTTTGCAAAAGAGATAGTCTAATCAACAAGATAAAAATAAGGGAGGCTAAATTCTGTGCTGCATACAGAATGATAAAAATTAGTATTCTAGTTAAAATTAGTGGGCCTTATTTCTACAAGCCAAAATTCAAGGTAATATATCTTGGTGCAGCCTCACTCGATCCCCTTTTCAGAATTCTAGATATTATAATTTATGTTTTATTAAAAATGCAAGTAGCCCTTATTTAAGGATTATGAGATGTTTGGGAGAAGGTAAGAGCTTGTTTGTAATGCAAGACTGCAAAAATAGGCCTGATTGGGCCGGCCAGCGGGAAGGAAAAAAAAAAAGGAGGGAAGGAAGAAAATAAGCCACCTGTCAAATTGGGAAACTTGCAAAATAGCACCCGGGGAAAGCTTTTTTGGATTTTTTTTTTTTATTTTTCCTCCAAAGCAAAAATAAATAAATAATGAAATCTTCTTACAAGGTAAGAAGAAAATCGAATTACCTTTAATTGTTGCTGTCCATCGATGCTCACCTGTTGTAAAGTTTTCTAACCTTTTAGGTACAGTTTATACTGGTGCCAATGTACTTTTCACACCCGATGGAAACTCTGTTTTGAGTCCTGTTGGCAATCGTGTTTCCATGTTTGATCTGATCAAGTAATTGACCCTCATGTCCACAAAAAAATACAAACAGAAACTAAAACGATGATCCCTTTTTTTCTTCCATGATAGCAATACTTCATGTACACTTCCTTTTGAAATGCGTAAAAACATTGATCGCATGGCTCTTTCACCCAACGGCACACTCTTAGTCGTTGTTGATAAAGGTAATGGTCGATTTTTTGTTATGATAGTTTTTTTTTTTTTGAAGTGTTAAACCTTAAAATAGATGGCCGTGCGCTTTTAATCAACTTGAATCGTCGAACTGTACTTTCCCACATGAACTTTAAAGCGAGAGCCAGAGCTGTCAAATTCAGTCCTGACGGAAAGTATTTTGCCATCACCCATGAAAAGAATGTGAATATCTGGAAAGCTCCCAGCCACACCCGAGAATTTGCACCCTTTATTCTTTTAACTACATGTGTTGGTCATCATGATCTTGTCACCAACATCAACTGGAGCCCTGATTCAAAGTAAATGTCAATTAGTGGGCAGGTGGATTATCGAATTTTAAAAAACTAACCATTTTTTTTTTCATATTCAGGTATATTATTACAACTTCTAAAGACATGACATGCCGTATTTTCACTGTTGATAAAACCGTCAAGGATTTCGTGTCTGCCACACTTTCTGGACATCGTGATTATATTATTAATGCCTGGTTCTCCGCCGATATGAAGAATGTAAGTGGTTTTTTTTTTCTTTTTGCGAAAAGAAAAAAAAAACGAAATGTATGTATGTGTGAATACTTATAAAGTTTTTGGTTGTGTATAGATTTATTCAATCAGTCGAGATGGATCTTTATTTCAATGGAAAAACTCAACATACGCCGCCATTCACGAGGATTCAGATACGGAAATGGTAGAGTTAGATGCGGATGGCAACGAGATTGTGCGTGTGGATAAAGTGAAATGGAGAATTCAAAAGAAGAACTACTTCAACAAGATCAGTGTGAAAGTGACCGAAGCGCAATTTTTCGCTCCTAGCAACCTCGTGGTTGTCGGTTTTGAAAACGGTCTGTTTGGTATTTATGAAGTGCCCAATTTCACCACCATCCATACCTTGAGTATCTCACAAAAGAAGATTGACACCGTGTGCATCAACGCCACAGGTGAATGGCTCGCCTTTGGCTCCGCTGCATTGGGCCAATTGTTGGTTTGGGAATGGCAATCGGAGACCTACGTGTTGAAACAACAGGGACATCATTATGATATCAATTCAGTCTCTTATTCATCCGATGGACAATCGTTGGCTACCGGTGGTGATGATGGTAAGATCAAGGTTTGGAATACCGCCTCGGGTTTCTGTTTTGTTACTTTCAGTGAGCATAGCAGTGGTGTCACCGCAGTGGAATTCGCCAAGCAAGGTCAAGTCTTGTTCTCGGCTAGTATGGATGGTACCGTACGTGCCTTTGATTTGGTGCGTTACCGTAATTTCAGAACTTTCACCAGTCCTAACCCTGTTCAATTCACATCGCTTGCTGTGGACCCTAGTGGAGAAATCGTGTGTGCTGGTACGATGGATACATTCGAGATCTTTGTGTGGAGTGTTCAAACAGGTAAATTATTGGATATCTTGGCTGGTCACACTGGACCTGTCAGCTCTCTTGCATTCTCCCCTACAGGCATGATTCTTGCTAGTGGTAGTTGGGATCACTCTGCTCGTACTTGGGATATCTTTGGTCGTAGTAAGAGTGTTGAAACACTTGTTCATCAAACAGAAGTTTTGGCTGTCGCTTTTAAACCTGATGGTAAGGAAATTGCTGCAGCTACCTTGGATGGTAATATTACCTTTTGGGATATTGGAGAAGCCTTGATTGTTGGCACAATTGATGGTCGTAAAGACATTATGGGTGGCCGTAAGATGGATGATCGTACATCTGCTGACAACGCAGCTAGTGGTAAATGCTTCAACTCTATCTGCTATACCGCTGATGGCACAAGTCTGATTGGTTCCGGTACGAGTAAATATATCTGTATCTACGACGTTGCTAGCTCCTTCCTTGTCAAGAAGTTCCAAATTTCCAAGAATCTTGCGTTGGATGGTACACAAGAAGTTTTGAATTCCAAGTATATGACACAATTTGGCAGCTTGGAAGAATTAGACGATGAGGGATCTGATCGTGAAGACCGTGTTGATTTATCGTTACCTGGTACTCGCACTGGTGATTTATCCAAACGATCCGCTCGACCCGAGATTAAGTCGATGGCTGTGCGTTTCTCACCCACTGGACGATCCTGGGCAGCTGCTACAACGGATGGACTCATGATTTATTCCTTGGATGAAGATATTCTTTTTGATCCATTTGATCTTGAGATGGATATCACACCCGAAACTGTTCTGGAGGCACTTGCAGAGAAGGAGTACCTCAAGTCACTTTGTATGGCTTTCCGTTTGAATGAGAAGCCCTTGTTACACACTGTCTTTGAAAGCATCCCACCTGATTCTGTAGATCTTGTTGCCCGTGGTATGCCAGAAAAATATCTCTTTAAATTATTATCGTTTATTGGTATGCATATGGAGACAAGTCCTCATGTTGAATTCCATTTGATGTGGGTTACGAGTGTCATGACTGCTCATGGCAGATATCTTCGCGATCATCGCGGTCAATTCCAACCTGTATTTAGAGCTTTACACAAGGGTGTTAACCGTGTTCGTGATGATATTGCTACATTGTAAAGTACTTTTTTTTCTTTTTATTTTACTTTTTAACTGACTTTTTTTTTTTCTCATGTTAGATGTGATTCGAATCAATATACACTTAAATATCTTCTTAATCAACAAACGATTGCTGCTCGTAAGGAGTCCGTTATGGAAGAGTAAATTAATAGTATCCATATATATCAACAACCATCATTACACACACACACTCTGTTTTTTTATTATTTCATTACTTTATCATTCGCAACAATCCATTTTTTTTTTTTTTTTGGAGGGAAGAAGAAAATAAAAAAGAGAAACCTTCTTTTTTATGTACAACTGTTTTTTATTATTACAAGGTTGTATCCATTATTTCTGTGGTGTTGATGGTGGTATCGCCATTGGGTGTATGAATATGATTTTCGATTTCCATCTCTTCAACTATTGTTTTGCTTTCTGTTGCTAATGCTTCCTCGACAGGAGCAGCCGACTTTTTTTATATGTCAAGGTTTTTTAATATCACAGAGAAAAAAGCATGAATCATGGGATTTACACTTACCAACACAAAATCGTCTAATAACTTGTCGAATCGATCCACCTTCTTTTGAATCTTTCTATTTTCTTTTATTAACTTTGCTCTTTCTATTTCGAGTGCTTCTTTTTGCTCTTTTAAACTGTCCAGTAATAAAATAATTTAGTCAACGTGAGGGGGGAAAAGGAGGTGGGGGTGGATAACTTACGCTGCTCGGATGACAAGTTCATATTTTAATCTATTGATCATCAACTGGTGAGGGTTATCTGAGTTTTGGTGATATTCTGGTCCAGCGTTTGCCATGAATTCGTCCAAAGGTATGAGTTCAACATCTTGATAGACAGATCTGTAAACCGATGATGGTAATGAAGGGGGAGTTAATAAAACTCATCTTTTTTTTTTATTACAAAAAAAAAAAAAAAAAAAAAAAAATGGTTCGAATGATTTACCTAAAGTCTCTACATTGTACGATTTCCTCCAAAATATGTTTTCTTTCGTACATGACATCCTGCAGTTCGACTCGCTTTTCGTTCATGCTGATTTTAGCATCCAGTGTTGCTTGTCTACTTTCTTTTGTTGATGTGTAAGCGACCATGTGAAGATCAATCAGTCTATCAAAGTTTTCCTGAATCTTGTTTTGTTCTGCTTGACCGAATATTTGTTCCAAGTTTCCCTTTTTTTTGATTTTCAAAGCAGCATCAGATTATATATATACATCATTTTTCAAAAAAAAAAAAAGGGTAAACCATTCGTAGGGCGTAGGTTTGTTTACCGAAAAATGGGGGGAAGTTTGTTCATTACCTCGATTTTCTTTTGCATGCGAGTGACTAGCACGGTTTGTACTTCACCTGCCACTCTATCAATCTCTTTTAATGCTGCAACTTTTGAACTTGGCATATTGTGTGTGTATATATATATTTAATTCGTGGTGATATGTTCCGCGCAAAACAAAAACAAAAAAAGGGAAAAATAGCAAAGCGTGAACCAATTTTGGAGCCTATCCCGCAAGCAAAAGCAAAAAAATAAGCCACATGCTGGAACCTCAATTTCTGGTAAAAAGAATAATTCATTTTTTTTTCTTCCTCTTCTTCTTGCAGCAGTGTTCATCATCATTTCTTTTGTTTATATTGGATTAGCTGAACTGTTCATGGTGACTCTCATTGGGGGGTATGACTGTATACATAGCTAATGTTTGGATGATTTTTTTTCTTTCGCGCGCGAGATTGAAATTTTTGGTGCTACCAACAAAAATAAAAAAGTTAAAATCAGCATTTAGTGATAGTTGCGATGACATTATGTGTGGCATGGTACTGTTAAAAAAAATGAACTGTATATTGGATAGGTCACTGTAACTAACATTTCATAGTAGGCTAAAATACACACACAACATGCTTGCAAAATACAGCACAAAGCGACCAAAGAGCATTGTAAAAACCTAAATAAGGCACAACAGGTCTTCGTTTAAAGAAGGAGGTTGTTGTATGCTTTTTCACAAACAAAAATGTCTGCCAAAAAGAGCGGGACTTTTGTTTATACTCCGGTCAATAAGCTGTGTATGTGTGGGGGAGACGACATAGGGGGAGGGGGGTGACCCTCTCTTTCTCATTTTTTTTATATATACACACATGCCTCATCCAGCCGACGTTCAGTCTCATTTAGAATTACAATTCAGTCGAATGGACACCATGTATGCCAATGATGAGTTTCGAGTGTTCGGTAAACTAGTAAATCAAGTTGAAAAAAAACAATGAAAAATCGAATGTTTTGTGTGTTTATAGGTCGTGATACGAATAGGATATTCAAGGAAGTGGATGTTATTCGTCGTAAACAAATTGAATTGGCTACAGAGCATATTGGTTTAGAGTCCATGGATGATATGAAGTATAACAAAGGGTGTGTCCTCTGCTTTTTTTTGCAATCATACTAAAAAAAAAAAAAAGTGGTAGATTACCATGGATACAGTCAACAACAGCATCTAGAAATGAGGTTCATGATGATGAGTATAAACGAAATTTGATTTATTTCAATAAGAAAGAAAAGTCCTTGAAAAGTCTCATGGATAAATTGGATACCTTGGGCCAAATCATGTAAGTTCTTTCCCATCTGGGAAGAAAAAAACACTTGATTGTTACATACGATCCTAATCAAACAACATAAAGGAATGATTTTCGGGAAGCGTCTGATTTGAATCCACATACGATTGTCAGTGAAGAAACACCTTTATGTGGTCGACGAAGGAGTAGTCGGTCCATGCCAGTGGTGGGTGCTCATCCAACGAATTGATACATGGTAAACCGGGGCGCGTCTTTACTGTCACATGAATAAAATCGTGTGTGTGTATGGAACAAATGATACTTTTTTTTTTCTCTCTCTTCTTTTTTATGCGGTTGTGTCAGATTATCTACCTTCAATGATAGTGCTGTATACGACTAGCTGTTATTATGGGGGAACAGACATACAACCGAAAACCTTTGTGATATAGCTCTTTACTGATAAAAAAATTGCATAATGGTGTAACACACTTACAATGGGCTATCTATGTACACTGCTCCCGCCCCCCATTCACTTATGAAAAATTATTATTTTTTTTTATTATAAGATTTTCGACCCCCCCCCCCTTTTTTTTAATGACTTAATGGTAAGACGAGCATTTCCAGTAAGGCGCTCATCCATCTTTCTCGTTGCTGGGGCCACTGATCGTCCATGACCAGCGTATGTCTTTCCAGATTGATTATGGCACCCGCTAAATGACGCTCGGATCTTGCATTCGCAACCAACGTCAACCACGTCTCTCTTTCCTGGATCCAAGCCTCGGATACGGCAGTCCAAAGCAAAGCCATTTCCAATTGCACTAGTTGGTAAGCGACTTCTTCAATGCTGGTAGGAACACGAGCGATCCATTCGTCTCGCTTGGATAGCCAGCGTGGGGATTTGTGTCGGTTGGAGATATGGGATTCGTACAGACAGAGCTTGGAATTGATGGCTTTGATGGTGCTGAGAACGGATGTTTCATAAGAGGGTGGAGCTTCATGTCGATGCGTTGAGGAAGAAGAGGAAGGAGCATGCGAAGGAGTTGAAAAGGCAGGTGGAGGGTCTTGTTGTTGAGGTTCTTCTTCTTCTTCTTGAGTGACAGTAGCAGTGGTGGTAGTGGTGGTGGTGGCGATGGGTTCTGCGGTGGCTGTGGTAGTAGTAGTATTAGAAGAGGAAGAAGAAGTAGAGGAGGAGGAAGGATTGTTCATAAGAATAGAAGGTTCAATATTAGCTGAGTGGTGTATATCTTCTTCTTCCTCCCCTTGTAATGCTAATATACGATCGAACTTTTGTACGAGTAGATCCATCTTTGTTTGCAAGTTTGTCTGTGAGAATGCGAGAGGAGGAAGGGGAGGCACCTTGATATGCCAAATGGAGTCATCGTCTCTGTCGATGGCAACACGCAATGGTATTAATTCTGTGTGGGAGATGGGGTCCAGAAGGAATGGAATGAGAGTGGTTGTATGGGATAAGAATGCTGTAGCGTCTGGTACAAGTGCTCTGACATCGTTTAATAAAATGACTTGTTGATCGTCAATGGTTCGACTGGGTATTTGGTATAAGGTATCATTGTATTCTACAATCTTGTATAACGTCTTTGAGGTCTCACCACACTCCATTTTTTTTTAGTTTAACAACACCAAAAAAAAAAAAAAAAAAAAAAAAAAAGACAGAGATAAAATTCGCACCTCTCCCACGATATTGGTAATGGGAAACTACACACACCTTTTTAATAATAAAAAAGGCATTCCTAGAACGACCGCTGTAACAATCGTAAAAAAATATCAAACTAAAGGAAAGTAAGAGCTAAACACCACCTGAGACATCTGATACGAAGGGACTTCTTTGAGCCTTATAAGTGTTAGTATGCGAACTTTTTTAAGGCTATTGATCCCATTAGCTTCATGAGAAATGCACTCCCCAAAAACGGGTCTTATTCTTGCAAACCTTCTAAAAACTATATCTAAGCTTTGAAAATCAAAAAAAACATTCGGAGAATAGGATGATGACAAGATGAAACGAACATCAGTTGAATGGAATAAGGTAATCTGGTCCGACGGGTCGCGATTTGCACTCAGGCACAACGACAGTGGCTTAAGAGCTATTATAAAGAAGGGCATTATGAAGAGGGTAGAAAGGTATTAAGAGAAATTATTGTGCCAGCATTCAAATTTGGTAAAGGATCAGTGATGATATGGGGATATTTTTGGACTCGTAGTTTGGGCCCTTTGGTATTAATGAAGGATCAGTCGATGGACACAAATATGACAATTGTTTGAATCAAAAAAAATTCCCTTAGCTTAAAAAATTGGCAGAGAAGGATGGCCACGACTTCATATTCCAAGATGGTGCCCCATGCCATACAGGAAGATATACGAGGTGGCGGAAAGAGAAGGCTGGGATTACAGGCTTTAAAGTCCCATTGAGAACTTATAGCACCTTCTGGGACAAAGGATTACAAAAAGAAGGGTCCAGCTTCATGATCTGGATGCACTTCGTCAAAAATGAAAATTGTAAGAGGGGGGGGGGAAGGGGACACCTCTAAGAAGGCTAAATCGTTCACAACTGATAACCCTTCAAGAAATTTAGCGTTATCTTCAGTAGATCTTTTGACAAATAGTCAGGAAGAGTTGCTTCAGCTTCGGGTAAAATGGTTTCTTCTCTTATCTTGAATAGAACCTTTTTTTGTCTTCGACTTCTTTATTCGCTTCGTGCTGCAGGGACTACTAGTACTTTCTTTTACAAGTAAGCAGTTGGGCAAAGCTTTGGTGCCTATCAAATAAGTTCGACTATGTATGTATAAAATAACTGCTTGGTAAAAACATCTTTAATCGAAAATAGCATCCTGGTGATACGTGTGATTTTTTTTTTCGATTCATATAGTGCTCTTTTGATCCTTTCCAAGGAAAGTAGCAACCTTTCCCTCGCCCCACTAATAACAATCCTACGGGTAAATCCGAAAAATGAACGGCGTCAAACAGATTTTTTATTCTTTTCTTCTTTCTCCCTTTCCCTTACCCTATTTTTTTTTTTTTTTTTTTTTTTTTTTTGTTTATTTGGTATATGCCTTTCGCTTAAAAATAAGTTATGGTATTAACTGGTATACAGTTATGACCATTTGCAGGATGGAAAAGTTATCAGATTGATAAATTGAAAAAAAAAAGACAAGCTCTAAATGATTTCTCTTTAAATTTGGCTGCAGTAGGTTTTACTAAGAAACCCCGCTTCTTTATTTAATAAGACAATAACACCAAGATATAACTAAAAATCTACAACTTCGTAATATGCTCCTGTATTAAGACTCTTTGATCACTTGTTCATACAGCTCTAATCCTTTGTAATGTAGACTTGTGTTACATTCAAACTACGAGAATAAGTTCTCAATATAAAGTGGTTTCAAAGGCGTTATGTCGGACATTCCGATGGAAAACTTTTCATACTATTTGTAAAAATGGTTTCAGATTAGTCTCTATATATGAAGCCATATCAAAGATAAAACATTCGCTACCTATAGCATTTCATCAAGTTCGTTGATTTCAGTCAGCACGGCATATCGGTGAGTATCAGTGTTGGCCAGTACAATTAAGATGATGGACTGATCCGTTCCAAAGCACCTCCCAAATACAAATGGCGAACTCTCTTTTAAACCAAACAAGAAACCAACGAAAGCAAAATAACATGTCAAGTACTGATGGTAGCTTGTCAATTATTCTAACATACATTGCTCTTCTTTTTCGGCATATTTTGCTTCAATAACATCGTCTTCAATAACATTACGTCTTTTACTGGTATCACCCTGACCAATATAAGATTTAACGTCATCAACGGCACGTACGTCTACACCATCAATTTGTTTCTCCAAAGCGTTTGTTTTATCAATACACCCTTTACAGACACATTCTTCAGGCAAAGCCATCAAAAAAAGAAAAAGAAAAGAAAAGAAAAAAAAAACCATCCTCTTTCTTCCAAACCAGCTTCAGCAGCAGCATCATTGATATCTTCAGCTTTTCTTTTGTTTTTTCTTGACCAAGAATAATCTTCTTTGAGTTTTTGTTAGTCCTCAAAATATCCTTTCTCCAACTCTTCTTTCTTCTTTTTGTATTCAGAACTACCAGAGAAAAGAGCCTTGGTAATGTCTAGGCATCACCCATCACTCAGCCAGTAATGACAACATTCGATTTCTTCATTATGTCGCTTTGTTTATGTTTTCTTTCTTGTATATGGCCAGGGAAAATCCACGACGGAATATCATCGACTTGACAGAGGGATGTAGCCACCACGAAAATTGTCTGCAGCAATTGGGGAACTTCTTCAACACTTCAAAGACAGAATTATCAAAGTCCAATTTATATTCGTAAATTCGCAGACTGTGAACCAAATATAAGAAATTATTTCCCTTGTTCAACAGGAATCACTGCAATGCGATGGAAAACTTCAACAGTATTATACAAACGGCCAGGGTACGGGACAAATTGCGGAAGTTCAGCCAGTAACAACGGGAGGCGTATACTATCAAGTTCGCAAATAACCAAGACATCAACGATAGCTTTACTAATGTAAAACTGTACATTTGTTCCTAAAAAAACAACAACATTAAGAATACATAAAAGTATTTTGATAGTTGTAAACTTACCAACAGTCATAACCTAAAACATGTACCTTGATCTGAACTTGCTTGAACTAGTCTTCGCGAAAGTGCCCAAACGATGCAAATCGATGTTTACTTTACGATGGTTCTTGGAATGCTTGATTGGTTTAACGTCCCGATAACCTGTTGCTGTGAGGTGGTTTTCAACGCAGCCATCTGGACAGTTTTGAGTAGTATAGATGTCGGTATCTGTAAAGCAGCTGACATTGTGCCAATTAAACATGATGGACAGGTCATCTGAGTCAAAGCGTTTTTGGAAACAGGGTTGTAGATACCATGTACACAATTCAAGCTCTTTGATCTCCTTCTTCTGATTGTGAAAGGGAAGTGGCTCTACCATCGTCTTCACGCATTGCAGTATACGGATAAGGACTTGGTCTGCGGTAGCGTTGATTAAATCCAGGATCCTGCTTTCTTCGTTTATCCTGGTGAGTATACGGCAATTAACGTTGATGACTATGTTGAGCAGAGATATCATGATATCAGAAAGGAAGTTTTCCATCTGGTTAACTCACAGCGACTGATAAAGGTTTGTCGAATTTCAGGAATAGGCTTTTCAAAATAACGTTTCAAAATCGAATCGCAGTAGATCTTGCCGATGAATAGAATATTCGACAGAGCTAGAAGATGTTGCAGGTTAGACTCGTATGTCAGGAGAGTCCCTATTGACTCCAGGATGTCAGACCTAAAACGCATCAAACTACTGGCATATACGTTGTTGTTGGAATCAATACTTGTAAGTGGCAGGCTATTGATGATGATTCTCTTTGCTTCAGCCAAACTGATCGTTTCAGTGGTATCATCGGCATTGGCATTATTGGTAGTGGTAGTGGTAGTGGTAGTGGTAGTGGTAGTGGTAGTGGTAGTGGTAGTGGTAGTGGTAGTGGTAGTGGTAGTGGTAGTGGTAGTGGTAGTGGTAGTGGTAGTGGTAGTGGTAGTGGTAGTGGTAGTGGTAGTGGTAGTGGTAGTGGTAGTGGTAGTGGTAGTGGTAGTGGTAGTGGTAGTGGTAGTGGTAGTGGTAGTGGTAGTGGTAGTGGTAGTGGTAGTGGTAGTGGTAGTGGTAGTGGTAGTGGTAGTGGTAGTGGTAGTGGTAGTGGTAGTGGTAGTGGTAGTGGTAGTGGTAGTGGTAGTGGTAGTGGTAGTGGTAGTGGTAGTGGTAGTGGTAGTGGTAGTGGTAGTGGTAGTGGTAGTGGTAGTGGTAGTGGTAGTGGTAGTGGCAGTGGTAGTGGTAGTGGCAGTGGTGGCAGTGGTAGTGGCAGTGGTGGCAGTGGTAGTGGCAGTGGTAGTGGTAGTGGCAGTGGCAGTGGTGGCAGTGGCAGTGGCAGTGGTGGCAGTGGCAGTGGTGGCAGTGGCAGTGGTGGCAGTGGCAGTGGTGGCAGTGGCAGTGGTGGCAGTGGTAGTGGCAGTGGCAGTGGTGGCAGTGGTGGTGGTGTGGTAGTAGTGGTGACGATGGACATTGTGGTGCTGCTGCCGGCCACAGAAGAGCTTGCCTCTGATTCATCTTCTTCCCCAAGCTCAACGTCTTCTCTCCTCTTCCAATACTCCTTCGCATTTCTGCTATGACGCCATTTTTTATATTCATGGAGTATTTCTTTACGCTTCTCCTGATCCTCCACAAATTCCACCAAAGTCAGAAACCGCAATTGTGCCCTTCTTTTATGATAACTTTTAAAAAAAAATGGATGATGTCTAAATGCGATATATTGTCATATTTGCTGCTTGGCCAGTTTATTTCACTGGTTATGCGGTTTTCTTACAATTTTTCACCGTAATCGAAAAGAAATAAAGGATGAAAACTATGAGCTTCTCTTTTTCTGACATTTTGCATAATTGAAAATAACCCCTTAAACAAGTCAAATGTCATTTCTGAACATCCAAACCAAGATCACCAAGAATCACCAATAACCATTCTTTCAGAATCAGGATTCAGTCAACCGCTTCAGTGTTGCAATCAGATTGCGATCTGTATCATCATACCCTTTCTTTACAGAATTGCTGATACTATCAAGCTGTATGATACAGAAGCTGTCATGATGAGAAACTGTTTTGTATTCCTGTCCGATCCGATGTGGTTTTCTGGATACTTTTTCAAGATGACGCATTCCCTCACCGAGCCACTAATTCATGTTCTCACAAACACATAGACATCTTCCAGTTTTGAGTGGCCTTGCTAGCTCCTCATTCAATTTTGCAAACACGTTCTTGATTTCGTTCAATAGGATATGAAGCCAATAGGTTTTCACAGGGTACCGTCAAAAAACATGATAATCAAGTATCGGCACATGTTTCTGACTCATCAGGTTCCAAAAATTTGTCCCAGGTTCGCTGCGCAAAAGAAGTCCAACCGCTTGACCAATAAAGTATCTTCTGTAGGTGAAAAATAATTTCTGTTTCATTTACGTCATTGAATCAATAAATACGATTACTGGTGCCACAGGCTTAGGGTTTAAAAGTACAATAGACAGCAGGCGTGGGAATGGCATCAGGGGGGTAGGCTGGCAAACCCATCATTGGTCTTTGGAAACAAGATCTTAGTATTCACAAAATTATTTTTGATGAATGTAATAACTTACCGACAACTATGACCTGAAATATATGCTTTGCTTTATACTTGCTAGTACCAGTCTTAGCAAACATGCATACACAATGTAAATCGATGTTTATTTTATGGTGTTTCTTGGTGTGCTTGATTGGCTTAACTTCCAGATAACCTGTTGCGGTGATATCGTTTTCAGCGCAGCCATCTGGACGGTTTTGAGTGGCATCCAGTTCGGTGTCTGTGAAACACCTGACATTGAACTACTTAAACATGATGGACAGGTCATCTAGTCAAAGAGTTTTTGGAAACAGGGTTGTAGATACCTTGTACACAATTCAAGCTCTTTGATCTCCTTCTTCTGATTGTGAAAGGGAAGTGGCTCTACCATCGTCTTCACGCATTGAATTATATGGAAAAGGACTTGGTCTGCGGTAACGTTGATTAAGTCCAGGATCCTGCTTTCTTGGTTTATCCTGGTGAGTATACGGCGATTAACTTTGATGACTATGGTGAACAGAGACATCATGACATCCGAAGGAAAGTTTTCCATCTGGTTGAATCCAAGCGACTGATACAAGCTTAGGCGGATTTTAGGAATTGGCTTTTCAAAGTAATGCTCCAAAATTGGGTCACAGTAGATCTTGTTTAGGAACAGGATATTTGACAAAGCAAGATGTTGTAGGTGAGACTCGTATGTAAGGAGAGACCCCATTGAATCCAGGATATTGCACCTAAACCGCATCAAACCACTGGCATACATATTGTTGTCGGCGTCAATACTTCTTAGTGGTAGGTTGTTGGTGATGATGGTTTTTGCTTCAGCCAAACTGATCGTTTCAGTGGTATCATTGGCAATGGTGGTGGTGGTAGTGGTGGTGAACGGTGTGTTGTTGCTGGAGCCGGCCACAGAAGAACTCGCATCGGATTCGGCTTCGTCCACAGGTTCAATGGCGTCTTCTACAAGTTCTTCTTAGAAGGCTATCACATTTTGACTGCTGCGCCATTTTTTGTAATCATCAACCACGATTTTTTTTTTTTTTTTTTTTTTTTTGATATCGTCATCTTCTACGTACTTGATCACAGTTAAGAATTGTAATGTTGTCTTATTTTACGTTGATTTTCGGGGAAAAAAACATGCGATATATTCTGATCATTGCTCCTCAACCCGTTTAGTTCATTTGAAGGTTGTTTTGTTGACGATTTCTTGCCCGCAAATAATACAAAAATAAAGGATGAGAAAGGAAAGTTTTGTTTTGCCAACTTGCATGGTTTAAAATAGCCGATTCAACAAGTCAGGTGTTGCGTTCGGAGACCCAAACAAGAATCACCAATCGCTGTCCTTCAAGAAAATAGCCCAGTTTCAGTTTACCTCAACCTGTGTCATCATACCTCTTCTTTAGAGATTTGCTGGCACTATTAAGCTACATGATACAAAAAATGTCATGATGAGCAAGTGTTTTGTATTCATGTCCAATCGGTTGTGTTTTCTGGGTACCTTTTTATATCAGGCGCTTCTCCGCCGAGTCACTGATCCAAGCTCTTATCAACTCAAAGATATCTTCCAGGCTCAAGTGGTCTCTAAAAAGTAAATTATTTAGCATACACGAAATTATATTGTTGAGAATAAACCTACCTACAGTCATGACTTGAAACGTGTGCTGTTATTTATATTCAGCTGTACCAACTTTGATTTTATGCTTGATTTATTTGACTTCAATATAGCCTGTGACTTTGTAGTCGTTCTCGGCAAAGCTTTGAAAAACTCACGTGTTGTACCCAACGCTTAGCACTTGCAAGATGACACTTCGGATCCCAATGCTATGATTCTCCTTAATCACCAGTAAGAGAAAGAATTACTGAAAATACAAACTCCACGGGGTGGGATGTATTGCGGTTGGAGCTAGCACAATAGATGGTTATGATAAGAGAATCCGGTATATGGTTATTTGAGTAGCATCAATGTCTTTATCAGTAAGGCAGCTAACATTTAGTCACTTAAACATGATGGACAGGTCATCTGAGTCAAAGAGTTCTAGGAATCAGGGTTGTAGATACCTTGTACACAATTCAAACTCTTTGATTTCCTTCTTTTGGTTGTTAAATGACAGTGACTCTACCATCATCTTCATGCATTGCAGTATACGGATCAGAACTTTGTCGACGGTAGCATTAATCTTATCAGTATCTGGTTTTCAGCGTTCAGTCCGGTAAATGTACGGTAGTTGACAACGTTAATAATTGCGATAAGAGACATCATATCTGAAAGAAACTTGTCAGTAACCTGGTTAAATCCAAATGAAACATACATGCTTCGTCGAATCGTTTCAAAATAATCTTGTAGCATAGGGTCGCAGGAGGTCTTACCAAGGAACAAAATATTTGAGAGCGCAAATAGATGTTTTAATTGGGCAAGTGCATAGTTGTCAGGATCTTTACCAACCAGTGTTAGGCTTTCGGTTATAGTTGATTCGGCTGCGACTAAACTGACTGTTTCAATGCTTTCGATTGTAGTGGTCAAAGTGGTGGTATGATGAATTGCCGCTGCTAACTTCATTTGCTAATTCATGTTCTTCCCAGAAGGCTTTCGCGTTTTGACTGCTGCACCACCTTTTGCAATCACCAACTACCTTTTTTTTGTGTTTTCATCAACATTATTGGTTACGGCTAGAAACCATATTTGCGCTCTTCTTTTACGACAGCTTTTGAATTGAAGAAATATATCATTTTCAACGTCACTGTAGCTTTTACTTTGCAAACCAGGTTCTGTAAGGATCACTTGTCCGGATCGGAACCCATTTAAGACTGTTTATCTAATAAGTGGACGATATATGAAATCGTATTAATATGGGCTTAAGAAAATAGTTAATACTTGCAAATTAAGCAAATTTCGGCAATGGTTATTTTATGGATACAGAAAAAAAATGTCAATTGAATTAAGGGGTGTGGATTAGTTAATATTTTGGGCCTGGAAACATCTGTTCCGCACCTGTATATTTCATATTCTACTGATAGAGTCGGGCGTCGGGTGTTAAGTGTGTCAGCCGCAAAAGGAACATGTGTGATATGATGGCAATTTGATGATCAGAGACATAAAGGTTATAGTAATATTTTGATCGCTTTTGAGAGGAAACAAACTATATGTCTCTCTTATGTTCGTTACTTTAAGACATGTTATACACGACCCGTATATTTTTTATGCTGTAAAGACAAAATATTTATGGTAATTACTGTTTGTATTAAAATTAGAGCCAAAAATATGGAAAGTTAAAAGTTTTTTACTTTCACTTGGCACTGGGCTATATCTATTACAAAAATTATCCAGAGTTTACGCACACTGTAAATTTAAAAAACTTTATAAAACTAGTGTGAGGCATCAAGAATAAACGATTGATCATATTTAAGCAAGTTCCTAATTATAACTACTGAGCAAGATACTTATTTTTTGATAATTGTACGGAAAGGCAATGCAGCTGTCTTTATTTATTTATTCAATGTCCTGGTGGGAATAAAAGGGAGTTACTAAGGGGTAATGATTTGTTTATTTGTGTTTTTGGTTTGTTTTAAGAGTGACGAAGAATAATGTGAAAGAGTTACAATTGGGACAACAAGGCGAAAGAAGTAATTTTTTTTTGAAAGAAAGCACACTGAATTTAAGCGGCCAATTAGATCTCCAGATGCCAAGTAAAATACAACCAACAATGGAGACGAAAGTTAAATAAGTGGCGACAGTAGATATTTTGTTTTGTAAGTCACCATAATCAAGCGAAAGGAGTATAGCCAGTATTCTACCAGGTTCAATTAGCACGTCTGGGAAGAAGGTTGATAAACACTGGATCCAGATAAACTGTTCGTACAGGAAGTGGTTCAACGTATCTTCAGTTTGAGGACAGTGTATACAAGCAGCAGAGGGGAAAGAATCGGGGATAATGCTTTTGTTGGGCAACTTGTGGTGAGTCGACCGATACCATACTGTAAGTATGCTTGGAGAAATAGATGGATCCCAAAACTTTTTTCCATTTTCCTACACTAAACATGGTAGTAGGCTTTGGATGGAACAAGGATTCGCGCAATGTAACCCCCAGTTGTTTTGGTTGATCGAATGCTAGCATATAAGTGTATATTTTTGTCTCAAGAAGAGGGCGGAGATCGATAGACCCAGTAGACTCAATATTGGCACCCAGGAGACGAGGAAAGTTACCAGTAGGTTGCATATACCCATCGGCTATTGCGACCTCAAATTTTCGAAGTAGCTTAAGGGATATAGTTTTACTATCAGATTGTTGTCGAAGGATATGTGTATTGGGATCCACGATGAAGAAGATCGCATACCAAGATCTTAGACATACTGACGCTGTTGCGAGGGAAACCCACAGAAATGATTGACTCAGAGGCCGGAATAATAGGAGTGTTGGAAGCTGGAATGACAATTGAAGCTAGGTTCAACTTTAGTAACTTAGCTAATGACAAGTCAGACTGACTAAGATTATAGGTAGGTAAGAAGTCCATTAGATAAAGGGTAATTGTGAACGAATTTGTTGTTAACGGATGAAATCTCCGTCTTTTTGTTGGAAATAGAAGTGGCCAGATGTAAGAGGAGGTACCTCCAGATGCGATGCGAGCGAAGCCGTATTTGAGATATGGAACACTGGTACGTAGAAAAGAACGATGAAGATGTTCAGGTTGTTGTAGCACTGTGGGAGCAATAAACAAATCAGCTAGCCAATGTCAGTGTAGCTTAAGTTGTTGAACTAAAGGATCCAAAATACCAACACCGCCTTTTTTTTTGTAAGGAACGAAGTTTCGGTATGCGATTCTTGAAAAGCGAGATACATTGAGAAAAGTACTACAGATTCCACGTAAACCATCAATTTGACCTTTTGCCAGAGGAACTATACGTAGCACGTGCCATAATTTTGATAGGTATCGAGGGCAACTGTTCGGCCTTTAATTGATAAATTATGTTCAGTATGCTCTTGACATCCTCGTTGTATCTTTTGTATTAGTGTGTCGATCGCTAGGTTTTTTTTTTTTTAAAAGCATTAAAGTATAATGGATAGCCAAGATAAGTTAGTGCATCAGGGAAATGTCGATCATAATATGAAGTAATGGGTGTCTCCCGTGAATGCAAATACGCCTTCCATTAATGGCTTGATTTACCTGACAATGAGAATACCTGGGTTTTAGCGAAATTTAGTTTTGTGTTAGAAGCGAGGGCATACTGGGTAATAAGTTGGTCTAAACAATTAAAATTTTGGTGTGACTCTAGAGATACAAGAGTGTCACCTGCATAAGCCATAACTTTTAAAGGTTCAGGGGATGGTTCGGACACTATTGATGGAAAACGAAAGCGTTGGAAATTTGTTGCCTGTTGCACCGAACGAATGAAGGGATCAAAGGCTATGTTAAACAACAAAGGTGAAATAGGATCGCCTTGTCTCAGACGTCGTCGTTGTAGGATTGGTGTAGACAGGTGGCCATTTATACTGATGTGAATCTTTGTGTTAAAAATTAATGTGCACAGTGACGATATTATCCGGTTAGGTATTCCAAATTTGTTTATCATTCGAGCTAGGTATATAGGATGGATTCGTTCATAAGCTTTTTCTTGATCTAGCAATATTCCAATTGCGTTAGACGAGGTGTGTTTGACTATAGACATGACAGCTTACAAGGCTTTGCCATTTTCACCAATAAATTAGTGGTCGAACTTTTTGAGCTTGCACCGATCTTGCGCCAGTTCGAACGAAGCTCGAACCGAGTTTTTGTACTCGAGCTTGCGCCACTTTTTTGGGTTCGAGCGAGCATCGATCGAAGCTCGCTCGGCTAAAATGTCGATAGTAGTCACTTTAAAGTTAAGGTCATTGAAAGACTAGTGATGGCATTTTCCCTTGATTTTAATCTTTTCTTCCCTTTACCATTTTTTTTTATTTATGCTTTAATAATTCCAACTAAAATGCTTTAGACTTTTATTTAATTGTACAACCAACAAACACATTTAACATAGAAAATGATACAGTGTTGCACACTTAACCCAACTAAGCCAAATTTTTACAGCAATCATAGTAACATGACGTAGCAGAATTAATTTAACTGTATTATAATTTGTGATTTATCCGAATTTGGTTTTAAGGCTGATGAAAAAAAAGTTTTTTTTTTTCTTTTTCCAACTCGAGCTATTGTATTTGCAACCGAGCCGAGCTTAAGAAACTTCGAGTGAGCTTCGACTGGAGCACGATCGAAGCTCGCTCGAGAGTTTCGAACACTAATTGTGCCTTCTATTTTGTAAGGAATACAATGAAGACAATATAAAAATGATCCTAGAGAAGGTAGCCCTTTATAAGGATCTAGAAATTTGCCATGCTGGCGAGCCTTTACAGCCAATGCTACTTCCTCATGTTAGGATCCATTCGAATCCTTTTGGTTTTAGGAAATATCGCTCTGAAGCTGATACAGTGTCACAAGAAGTTCAGGAAAAGATAAATGTTAACTTTACAGTGCGTCCGCCCTCAATTGGACACTTTTTTGAAAACATTGGTCGGATTTTTGAACTTCAATTGGTCACTTTTTCGAAAATCGTTTGGTCACTTTTTATAAAATGAATTGGTCATATTTTTGAAAATTATTTATTTTGGTTAGGTGTGAGCTATATAGGAATTTTTTTGAGACAATTATCGAATTGATTAACTGAGTGTTGAATAAATGCTACAAGGTGTTCAACTGGTACACTTTCACCAGCTTCAGTTATGCGTGTAGTTAGGGACTCTACGTCACTCAGCTTATTGCGCTTGACCTTTCCCTTTACAATAGCCCAGAATTGTTCGATGGGATTAAGTTCTGGTGAATATGGGGGGAGGTATACCGGAGTATAACCTCTTTTTACAATTACAGGGTCAATTACCCCTGGGACGTGGATTGGAGCATTATCCATAATAATAAAATAACCTTTCATTTCAGGAAACTCATCCATGATATCCATGGTATCGCTTAAAAACTGAAGATAGTGGCCACCTGTAGTACCTTTGGGGACAAATAACTTGTCCTCAGGCGCCTTTCTTTTTGTTGCCCCTACTACCTTTCTCCTCTTAACATTTCCAGATTCTCTCTAATTAAGTTAACAACACCGATAGCTGATATAGCACCAATTACAGTGTGAGACACACCTCTAGCTGAGGGTGTTGTGATGATTGCTTCAGTACCTTTTTGAGACCAACCACGACTACGACGCATGTTGATATCGAATCCTGATTCATCGACAAAGATACAATTGTTTAGATAGTCCATACCATTTCCGATCCAATGCTCAACCCAGTTAGCACGAGCCTGAAGGGTTGCTTCCTTATTTCTACCGACTGGATGACGACTAACAACTTTGATGCTTAGGTTGCATTCTTCCCTCATAAACTCGGCTACTCTTGTTTTTTTAATTTGTAGGCCCTCGAAGGTCGCTGTCAAATTTTCTACTGCATCCTGGATTGTTGCAGAAGCATCTTCATCAAAAAACTGTACCAAATGCGTTTTATGCCTTTCGTCTAACTGGCTAACTGGTCTGTTGGAGCCAAGGTTCGTTTTCTTAGTAGGTATATTTCTTTCAGGGTCGTCCTCATAAGCCTTTTTCCACTTGCGTGCCGTGTCATAATTTACATTTGCGGCCTCAGCTGCCTGTTTAGGTTTCATAAGTTTCTCTCTCAAAAAATAGAAATATCGCTTACGATCTTCAATAGTATAAACATTGTATTGAAGAGTCCGTTCTTTTTTAGATGAAGCCTCCTCCATCGTAATGTCATTTAAAATTGGCATTTCAAAAAAGTGTCCAATTGAGGGCGGACGCACTGTAGTAAGTTTGAATGACGTTTAATGTTATATAGCCAATTTCAATTATTAATACTGTTAAAATAGTGCACGATGCTCAGATTGTTCAGTTTCTGAATCAAGTGTATGTCCCAACTGAGCCATGGAACGAATCACTTTACATAAAAAAGAAAGTCTCATCCAGGGATATTTTTTCTTTGATTATGTTATATACAACAAGATTTGATGAGAAATCGTTGTTATCTTTATAAAGTGGTGCAACACCAAGAAAGTTTTATACATGAACCAAGAACAGGAACGAAAAGTATTGAAGGATCAAAACGGTTCAAAGGTTCGATATCGAGTCTTATGGACATTAAAAGATGAATATTTGAATGGTATTGCTTTATTAATCACGGAGCATCTGCCAAAGTACCAGGCATATGTCAAGAACCTCAAAAAAAATAACTTCACAGTCATTGGATACGCCAGAAAGTCTCCAGGCCAGGAACAGCAGGAAGTGAGAGTGGGTTTGGTTCAAAAAATGGTCAACAAATTGTATGACACGTTGCTTGTAAATCGAGTATTTGTCACTACGTTATCGCGAGCAAATGATACCATTACATCCCGCGACACGAATGGAAAAAATGCCCAATTGACGCTTTTGAACCAAGTGCATGGAAACACGCAAGGTAATAAACGTAGGACACTTGATTCTAATCAAATCACTCACAGTATCATATAGATCTATCGGAATATATTTGCACATCAAAAAACAACTGTCTAGTAGCGATTGATTTCGCCGGTTTGTCAACCAATACCAGTGATTTATATGATTTCATTGTGTACGTCTTCTTATACGAAAAAAGTAATCACTTCTCGCTAAAAATGATTTTTTAGAGCTCGTGGTTCCATCAAGAAGATCATCATTGACCTTTCTTCGTCTACTGGGTTCATGAAGTATTATAACCGAGACGATATTATTGATAATCCTAGCATTTTAAAGGATTTTGATTGCAGAAAATCTTGTTATAAACGATCGTAAATATATATTAATTCTTTTCCTTCTAATAAAGTAGTCTTACTTTCCCAAGTCTTCACTTTCGTCTAACTTTATGTCCATGACAAAAATCCCTTGGATCTTGTTGAAAAGGTTCCAGTACGCCCTAACATGTTAATAGATGATATCAGTTCTTATTATATTTAACCTTTATTTATTACTTATTAAATATGAGATGTTTTATATCTTGAAAGTAATAAATAATGATTTATTTACTAACTTGGTATAACACTTTTTAGACATACAATTGCTTATATTTTAATATTATTAAAATATAAACATATACACTTGGGTTCGTTCATCCCGAAAAAAATCGAGAATGGATTTTATTTTAAGTGATCCAAACGGACAAAATCCGTCTTTATGAAATTTGGATTTATATCGGGATGAACGAACCCAGGTGATAAACCGTTCACTATAATATTAACAGTGAAACTCTAGTTTGTATACTTTTACCCATAAAATAAAATCAAAAACCTTTAAAAGTTACTTCTTATTGTTTTATTATTTTGCAGTGATTTAAACATAACTAAACATGATGGCAAGGTCATCTGAGTCAAAGAGTTTTTGGAAGCATGAATGAAGTCACCTTGTGCATAATTCAAATTCCTTGACCTCCTTCTTCTGGTTGTTAAATGGCAGTGACTCTACCATCGTCTTCACGCATTGCAGTATACGGATAAGGACTTGGTCTGCGGTAGCGTTGATTAAGTCCAGGATCCTGCTTTCTTCGTTTATCCTGGTGAGTATACGGCGATTAACTTTGACGACTATGGTGAGCAGAGACTGTTGAGGATATCATAGATATAATAATAAAGTTAATTGTCACATCACTTTAAGGATGGATAATAAATATAAAAGTTAATCATGAATCACGCATTACCCCGCTTGTTCTCATCCTACCGTTGGAGTCTTTACACAGGGAAAATCCCTGTGGCGAGTAAATATTTATTCTGCAAAAGCAATACAATCGAATGGGACTGGACTATAGAATATTATTAGATCCTGAGCACAAATATTACTCTTGTCATTTGATGTTATAACTGTTGATCCCTCTGACTAATATTTATATGCTCAGTATGGAAGGGTTAAATTTAAAGACATGTTGATTATTTACTATCACCAGATTATTACATCATGATCCAATAAGGCGCTTACTATTCTCCCTAGAACTATCCCAGTTCTTTATATAAATATCCATAGTTTTTTCTCATAGATTATCAATACATTTTAATACATTTTGAATACATTTTGAATACGTTTTTAGTTATATTTTTTCGTCCATAATAAAGTGGTATCCAAGTTCTAACAGTATCACTTTTGGTTTATTTTTTATTTTGTTCTCCATGCAAAACAGAGACATCATGACATCCGAAGGAAAGTTTTCCATCTGGTTATATCCAAGCGACTGATACAAACTTAGGCGGATTTCAGGAATTGGCTTTTCAAAGTAATGCTCCAAAATTGGGTCACAGTAGATCTTGCCTAGGAACAGGATATTTGACAAAGCAAGAAGATGTTGTAGGTGAGACTTGTATGTAAGGAGAGACCCCATTGAATTTAGGTTGTCAGACCTAACCCGCATCAAACCACTAGCATACGTATTGTTGTCGGCGTCAATACTTCTTAGTGTTAGGTTGTTGATGATGATGGTTTTTGCTTCAGCCAAACTGATCGTTTCAGTGGCATCATTGGCATTGGCATTGGCATTATTGGTAGTGGTAGTGGTAGTGGTAGTGGTAGTGGTAGTGGTAGTGGTAGTGGTAGTGGTAGTGGTAGTGGTAGTGGTAGTGGTAGTGGTAGTGGTAGTGGTAGTGGTAGTGGTAGTGGTAGTGGTAGTGGTAGTGGTAGTGGTAGTGGTAGTGGTAGTGGTAGTGGTAGTGGTAGTGGTAGTGGTAGTGGTAGTGGTAGTGGTAGTGGTAGTGGTAGTGGTAGTGGTAGTGGTAGTGGTAGTGGTAGTGGTAGTGGTAGTGGTAGTGGTAGTGGTAGTGGTGGCAGTGGTGGTGGTGTGGTAGTTGTGGTGACGATGGACATTGTGGTGCTGCTGCCGGCAACAGAAGAACTTGCTTCGGATTCATCTTCTTCTCCAAGCTCAACGTCTTCTCTCCTCTTCCAATACTCCTTCGCATTTCTGCTATGACGCCATTTTTTATATTCATGGAGTATTTCTTTACGCTTCTCCTGATCCTCCACAAATTCCACCAAAGTCAGAAACCGCAATTGTGCCCTTCTTTTATGATAACTTTTAAAAAAATGGATGATGTCTAAATGCGATATATTGTCATATTTGCTTCTTGGCCAGTTTATTTCACTGGTTACGCGGTTTTCTTACAATTTTTCGCCGTAATCGAAAAGAAATAAAGGATGAAAACTATGAGCTTCTCTTTTTCTGACATTTTGCATAATTGAAAATAACCCCTTAAACAAGTCAAATGTCATTTCTGAACATCCAAACCAAGATCACCAAGAATCACCAATAACCATTCTTTCAGAATCAGGATTCAGTCAACCGCTTCAGTGTTGCAATCAGATTGCGATCTGTATCATCATACCCTTTCTTTACAGAATTGCTGATACTATCAAGCTGTATGATACAGAAGCTGTCATGATGAGAAACTGTTTTGTATTCCTGTCCGATCCGATGTGGTTTTCTGGATACTTTTTCAAGATGACGCATTCCCTCACCGAGCCACTAATTCATGTTCTCACAAACACATAGACATCTTCCAGTTTTGAGTGGCCTTGCTAGCTCCTCATTCAATTTTGCAAACACGTTCTTGATTTCGTTCAATAGGATATGAAGCCAATAGGTTTTCACAGGGTACCGTCAAAAAACATGATAATCAAGTACCGGCACATGTTTCTGACTCATCAGGTTCCAAAAATTTGTCCCAGGTTCGCTGCGCAAAAGAAGTCCAACTGCTTGACCAATAAAGTATCTTCTGTAGGTGAAAAATAATTTCTGTTTCATTTACGTCATTGAATCAATAAATACGATTACTGGTGCCACAGGCTTAGGGTTTAAAAGTACAATAGACAGCAGGCGTGGGCAAACCCATCATTGGTCTTTGGAAACAAGATTTTAGTATTCACAAAATTATTTTTGATGGATGTAATAACTTACCTACAACTATGACCTGAAATATATGCTTTGCTTTATACTTGCTAGTACCCGTCTTAGCAAACATGCATACACAATGTAAATCGATGTTTATTTTATGGCGTTTCTTGGTGTGCTTGATTGGCTTAACTTCCAGATAACCTGTTGCGGTGATATCGTTTTCAGCGCAGCCATCTGGTCAGTTTTGAGTGGCATCCATGTCAGTGTCTGTGAAATAGCTGACACTGAACTACTTAAACATGATGGACAGGTCATCTGAATCAAAGAGTTTTTGGAAACAGGGTTGTAGATACCTTGTACACAATTCAAGATCTTTGATCTCCTTCTTCTGATTTTGAAAGGGAATTGACTTTACCATCGTCTTCACGCATTGAATTATATGGAAAAGGACTTGGTCTGCGGTAACGTTGATTAAGTCCAGGATCCTGCTTTCTTGGTTTATCCTGGTGAGTATACGGCAATTAACGTTAATGACGATGTTGAGTAGAGGCAACATAACATCCGAAGGGAAGTTTTCCATCTGGTTAAAACCAAGCGACTGATACAAGCTTTGACGAATTTCAGGAATTGGCTTTTCGAAATAATGCTCCAAAATTGGGTCACAGTAGATCTTGCCTATGAACAGGATATTCGACAGAGCAAGAAGATGTTGTAGGTGGGAGTCGTATGTAAGGAGAGACCCCATTGAATCCAGGATATTTCACCTAAACCGCATCAAACCACTGGCATACGTATTGTTGTCGGTGTCAATACTTAGTGGTAGGTTGTTGGTGATAATGGTTTTTGCTTCAGCCAAACTGATCGTTTCAGTTGTATCATTAGCATTGGCATTATTGGTAGTGGTAGTGGTGGCAGTGGCAGTGGTAGTGGTAGTGGTAGTGGTAGTGGTGGTGGTAGTGGTGGTGGTAGTGGTAGTGGTAGTGGTAGTGGTAGTGGTAGTGGCAGTGGTGGTGGTAGTGGCAGTGGTAGTGGCAGTGGTGGTGGCAGTGGTGGTGGCAGTGGTGGTGGCAGTGGTGGTGGTGGTGGTCCAATGCTTGGCGGTGGTGATGACGGACATTGTGGTGCTGCTGCCGTCCACAGAAGAACTTGCTTCGGATTCATCTTCTTCTCCAAGCTCAACGTCTTCTCTCCTCTTCCAATACTCCTTCGCATTTCTGCTATGACGCCATTTTTTATATTCATGGAGTATTTCTTTACGCTTCTCCTGATCCTCCACAAATTCCACCAAAGTCAGAAACCGCAATTGTGCCCTTCTTTTATGATAACTTTTAAAAAAATGGATGATGTCTAAATGCGATATATTGTCATATTTGCTTCTTGGCCAGTTTATTTCACTGGTTACGCGGTTTTCTTACAATTTTTCGCCGTAATCGAAAAGAAATAAAGGATGAAAAATATCTACTTCTCTTTTTCTGACATTTTGCATAATTGAAAATAACCCCTTAAACAAGTCAAATGTCATTTCTGAACATCCAAACCAAGATCACCAAGAATCACCAATAACCATTCTTTTAGAATCAGGGTTCAGTCAACCGCTTCAGTGTTGCAATCAGATTGCGATCTGTATCATCATACCCTTTCTTTACAGAATTGCTGATACTATCAAGCTGTATGATACAGAAGCTGTCATGATGAGAAACTGTTTTGTATTCCTGTCCGATCCGATGTGGTTTTCTGGATACTTTTTCAAGATGACGCATTCCCTCACCGAGCCACTAATTCATGTTCTCACAAACACATAGACATCTTCCAGTTTTGAGTGGCCTTGCTAGCTCCTCATTCAATTTTGCAAACACGTTCTTGATTTCGTTCAATAGGATATGAAGCCAATAGGTTTTCACAGGGTACCGTCAAAAAACATGATAATCAAGTATCGGCACATGTTTCTGACTCATCAGGTTCCAAAAATTTGTCCCAGGTTTGCTGCGCAAAAGAAAGTCCAGCCGCTTGACTAACAAAGTATCTTCTGTAAGTGAAAAATAAATTTCTGTTTCATTTACGTCATTGAATCAGTAAATACGATTACTGGTGACACAGACTTAGGGTTTAAAAGTACGACAGATAGCAGGCGTGGGAATGGCATCAGGGGGGTAGGCTGGCAAACCCATCATTGGTCTTTGGAAACAAGATTTTAGTATTCACAAAATTATTTTTGATGAATGTAATAACTTACCGACAACTATGACATGAATTTTATGCTTTGATTTATACTTGCTAGTTACCCGTCTTCGCAAACATACATAAACCATGTAAATCGATGTTTATTTTATGGTGTTTCTTGGTGTGCTTGATTGGCTTAACTTCCAGATAACCTGTTGCGGTGATATCGTTTTCAGCGCAGCCATCTGGTCAGTTTTGAGTGGCATCCATGTCAGTGTCTGTGAAATAGCTGACACTGAACTACTTAAACATGATGGACAGGTCATCTGAATCAAAGAGTTTTTGGAAACAGGGTTGTAGATACCTTGTACACAATTCAAGATCTTTGATCTCCTTCTTCTGATTTTGAAAGGGAATTGACTTTACCATCGTCTTCACGCATTGAATTATATGGAAAAGGACTTGGTCTGCGGTAACGTTGATTAAGTCCAGGATCCTGCTTTCTTGGTTTATCCTGGTGAGTATACGGCAATTAACGTTAATGACGATGTTGAGTAGAGGCAACATAACATCCGAAGGGAAGTTTTCCATCTGGTTAAAACCAAGCGACTGATACAAGCTTTGACGAATTTCAGGAATTGGCTTTTCGAAATAATGCTCCAAAATTGGGTCACAGTAGATCTTGCCTATGAACAGGATATTCGACAGAGCAAGAAGATGTTGTAGGTGGGAGTCGTATGTAAGGAGAGACCCCATTGAATCCAGGATATTTCACCTAAACCGCATCAAACCACTGGCATACGTATTGTTGTCGGTGTCAATACTTAGTGGTAGGTTGTTGGTGATAATGGTTTTTGCTTCAGCCAAACTGATCGTTTCAGTTGTATCATTAGCATTGGCATTATTGGTAGTGGTAGTGGTGGCAGTGGTAGTGGTAGTGGTAGTGGTAGTGGTAGTGGTAGTGGTAGTGGTAGTGGTAGTGGTAGTGGTAGTGGTAGTGGTAGTGGTAGTGGCAGTGGTAGTGGTAGTGGCAGTGGTAGTGGCAGTGGTAGTGGTAGTGGCAGTGGTAGTGGCAGTGGTGGTGGCAGTGGCAGTGGCAGTGATGGTGGCAGTGGCAGTGGCAGTGGTGGTGGTGGTGGTCCAATGCTTGGCGGTGGTGATGACGGACATTGTGGTGCTGCTGCCGGCCACAGAAGAACTTGCTTCGGATTCATCTTCTTCTCCAAGCTCAACGTCTTCTCTCCTCTTCCAATACTCCTTCGCATTTCTGCTATGACGCCATTTTTTATATTCATGGAGTATTTCTTTACGCTTCTCCTGATCCTCCACAAATTCCACCAAAGTCAGAAACCGCAATTGTGCCCTTCTTTTATGATAACTTTTAAAAAAATGGATGATGTCTAAATGCGATATATTGTCATATTTGCTTCTTGGCCAGTTTATTTCACTGGTTACGCGGTTTTCTTACAATTTTTCGCCGTAATCGAAAAGAAATAAAGGATGAAAAATATCTACTTCTCTTTTTCTGACATTTTGCATAATTGAAAATAACCCCTTAAACAAGTCAAATGTCATTTCTGAACATCCAAACCAAGATCACCAAGAATCACCAAGAATCACCAATAACCATTCTTTCAGAATCAGGGTTCAGTCAACCGCTTCAGTGTTGCAATCAGATTGCAATCTGTATCATCATACTTCTTTACAGAATCGCTGACACTATTAAGTTGTATGATACAGAGGGTGTCATGATGAGAAACTGTTTTGTATTCCTGTCCAATCGGGTGGGGTTTCTCCTGGCTCTAGTGGTCTTGCTAGTTCCTCATTAAATTTAAAGGAATACGTTCTGATCTGGTAGAGGGCCTGAAGGCAACTGGTTACCACAAGATACTTCGAAAACATTATAAAACGACCATTAGTCCCTAAAGAATAAGATATTTAATATACACGATATCATTTTGATTATTGTAAACTTACCAGCAGCCACGACCTGAAACAGATGCTTTGACTTATATTGAACTCGCTGGTACCAGTCTTGACAAACGTGCGCAAAGGTTGCGTGCTTGATCGGCCTGAATTTGATATAGTATGTAGCTTTATCATCGTTTTCCGTACGGCTATCTTGGCGGTCTTGTGTATAATCAATTTTTTGAAGGGGTGTAAGCCTTGAACTCTGTTTAGCAGGAGGAATGGTTTACCCATCGGTAGAGCGTAGTAATTTTTGCTGTGCAAGGTTCTTTTTTTTTTTTTTTTTTTTTTTTGAGCAATGAAAAGCAGCGCCTTAACCATATGTTTAACGTATTGTAATAATCTAATCACAACCTTTTCCGTGCTGACATTCATTAATGCTAATATCTTGCTTTCAGCATTTGATCTGGTTAGCGAATGACCGTTGATATAATTGATGATTGTTATATGCGGCATCATGACATTCATGGGAAACTTGTTATCAACCTGGTTGAAGCCAAAAGAACCAAACATGCTTCGGCGAATGGTTTTAATATCTTTTTTTAAATTTTCTACGTATTTTTTTAGAGTCACGTGATTGTTTTTTCGCACTTATATTTAAGTTCCTTACCCTTGTAAGCTAACAATGCCTACAACTTAGAACGGAGAGGTCTTTATCATTTAGCGAAGCCTGGCCTCTGGATAATAAAAATTTGGAACAAACATCTTTCTTAAACAAACATAACATTTTAGCGCGTCTTAATGAAACAACACTTGCTATTAACTAACCTTTTTACAGTATTTTTTACTTTCCTTTAGGAAAAGTATGTTGTCCATGAATAAAAATAAAAAAATAATGAGAAAGGAAGAAAAAGGTGTGAATATTTTTTTTTCTTTTATAGACTGATAAAATTGTTTATGTCAGAATGATTTAATTTTTTATTTGATCAAAAAAAAAAAAATTGACTTAGCTTTATTTGTAGACAAATAAACAAAATTGGTCATGTCATGATGATTTAATTGATTATTTAATCAAAAAAAAAGTGTGTGAACGATCTTATTTACATCATTTCCCGAAATTATTTAAGTCGCAGACTTGTTTTATGATGCAGTATATACGTGAATGCGCCAAATTTGGTGAGCCAAAATAATAAGCTAATAACTTCGGGAAATAGTGTATAGACTGATAAACAAGACCAGGATTATGGCAGGATTTAATTGTGTATTTAATCCAATAAAAAAGTGTGTGAACGATTTTTATAAGAGCTGGCTTATGTCAAAATGATTTAATGTTTATTTAATCAATAATAATAAGAGGTTTCAGATGTTCCCCACCCGATTATCACATTCTGTGGTTTTGCAAGAACTGAATACCCAAATACATTTTTTATCATAATTTTGAAGGACATTTGCTTTTGAAAATCCTACTTATTAAAGCTGTTCCTAATTTTTTAGCTTTATTATGAGGAATACATAGTTTTCATTTTTTAAAAGCACAATATGTGTTAATATGATAAAAGTGATAATTGAACTCGACTTGATCTTATCTTTGATTAAATGATAAGTTTAAAGACAGAATGCGAAAAAAAAAAAAGATAATCGGGCGAACCCCTTAATGTTTGAGACTTTACTTATAACAATTTAATTAAAGTGATACAATTGAACAATACAGCTATTAGGAAATGATTACTCTCAAAATAAACACCAGAATCAAGGCGACTGCAAAATCTACTTTGTGTTATTTTAAGCAGATTATCAAAGTTAAAAAATCATGTTCTTGGGAAATTTCGATTAGATTTATTAAAAATTATAAAAAGTCTTTTAAGGTAGTATAGGATAGGTCTGTTAGTGTGATTAACAGTGAACTTTGTAATAAAATAAATTGACATATGACAATTGTAGCAGCACCTGGTAGCATTACAGCCCGACACTTAACCACTCAATATTCGGTCGTACACAATACTTCATTTTTTTTTTAATTTTTTACTCTAAGTCAGTTATGTCCATTGACACTGTAAATTTCTTCTTTATACAAAAGTAACAGTTTTATCGGATTAAGTCCACTCTCGGGGAGTAAATTTGACTTAGAAAGGTACGCCTTCACACCCACCGATTTAAAGGGATTGTAAAAGCCCGAACCGATCGAATTTCTCTTATGCCAATCATGGGAACCAACAGCTCTTGAAAAGCAAGGTAATTTGAGTAGTTTACATGTTTTTTAAGACGTTTTATATAATACTTCAGTAACATTGATAGCCATTAAAGCATACATCCTCGTAAGACATATTGCCTTGTTTTCAAAAAAAAACCTCTTTACAATCAGGCATGAAGAGTTATTTAAACTACCCCAGATAAATATTCTTGACCCGTCACTAAAAATCCTTTACATCAAGTCCCGTTGTAAAACTAGGGCTGTACAACTTTTTTTGCTGAAGGAATCACTATTATTTCCAACTACAAGTATACAGACGCGATTAGAGCTTTGATTTTTATCAATCCAGGTTTGGCTATTTATATAAGACCGGCTTTGCGAAACCATGTTTAATCAAGAAGCCATTGAATGATAATATTTTTATGGTGATCAATTCACAAAAGGCAGGTTGCACAATGTGATCTTATAATCCTCCTCAAATAGAGAATCAACCTGTTAGCGAACATAAAGTTGATATAATAGTCGACAGTGCTAAAAACATTGCTCTGTTTATCTTTCATTGTTTATGCTCCCTTTGTTTCCTTTTTCTTATTTTGCTTTGCATTACCTTTCAACGCCACAAACATGAAGTTTTTCCAAAATATGGTACTCCCCCATTTTCAAACCTCTCATTTTCTCCCGCTTTAAAAGACCGAACGCGTATTTTTAGTAGAGAGATAACTTGCTGTTTCTCTTCTCTTTCTTATACAGTTGCTGTAATAAAATGGAATCACTGCGAACAGTTATTTCTCGGTTATTCGTAGACATCCACGAAATACCAACGCCAGTAACTATTCCCCTAAAGCTTCCCTCTTACCCCATCTTTCTTATAAAAAAATTGTTTTAGGAGTGGCAACATGGAGAAAAGCAAACCATTTATGGGTAAATTAGATTGCCCTTTACAGGCATCCGCCACAGAGAAAAAAGAAACTGACTACTCCTTAATCGTAGAGTTTTTAACAGAAATCCCTCAAAACGACGTCGACTCGATCTACTACATCCTGGAACAACCAATGACATGCAGTATGATAAAAGTGTAGTTCATTATACCGCCTCGAGTCATCGTATCGATTACGAAACTCTAACGCATGACTTTGTTCGAGCTTGTCAAATTAATGGAGGCCAAGTGGTAATACTGTACAGCGAGACATTAGTCTATTCTTTACCTTTTCTTTTTTTTTTACGTGTCTTGTTAAATAAACTTTCCTTTTGTAGGCTGAACAATTGAAAGCAATCTTATCGAAATATGGCGAAGCACCCATCACACAAGAGAAAACGTCGAGATTATTTACTTTCGTACACCATTTATTAAAAGGGATACCCCTTGCATCCAGTAGTAAAACGAGTACAAGCAAACAACTTTTATTCCCTTTGGGCGCATTGATAGAAGAAATCACTCCCACCTTATCGTTAGATAATTCATTACAATCTTCTTGGATCATCACCTTACAATTCATCTTGTCGTGCTTTCGGACCTGCCCTGAACAACATATCTATCATTCGGGTGTTACTGCCCCTATTTTATTAGGTCTTATTAAACAGATCTTAATAGAACTCACCCGATTTCATACAGCAGCAAAAGAGGAAGAACTCAATTCACTGGAACAGAAATGCTTTCTGGTCGGTAAAGAATTATTGGATTTACTATTGATTCGCGATCATGCAATCACAGCAGATATGTTGGAAAATAGTGATACTTTGACAGAGGATTTCACCGGCATTGGAACACTTACTTACTACGATGTGATTTATTCTGTAAATACCAAACAAAAAAACATATATACACACAACATCTCCTTAATAATACAATTCTTTTTGTAGATCCCCGAGTTATATGGTCATTTTCTGAATACAACGCCTTCACCTAATTCAACTGTCCAGCCATCCATTAACAACTCCGACATATGGCTCATGACACTCTACTATATGACAACATGTCTCTTGCAAGATCCTAAATTATTGGAACGAGTACCGACGTTGATGGCCATCAATATTATTAAACATGTATTGCGAGAGATCAACACTTTACCTTCGGACCTGACAACGATCCAAGTGCATTGTTTGAACAAGGGAAAGGAGTTGATTAATTTATTATTATTGGGATCAAATGGGGATGGTGCTGGTGTAGTATCTCATTATGATATTATTGTGGCTGTAAATATATATATGCAATGAAGAGAAGTTATATCTCATAATCTAGCGGGTTAGCTAAATCCATTATCTTATGTAGTTGCCGGACGTCTATGGACATTTTTTGAGAGGAACATTTGCACAAAGTATCCATTGGGCTATGGAAAAGTTTGTGAATGAATTAGGAAAGAGACGGCGTCATTTGGCGTTTTTGATGATGCCACCGGATGCTTCATGGCCCTTGATTTCTCAAATGAGCCGACGTCATGAGTACAATGATCTGACCACAAGAACCAGTTACCATATGTTTGAAGGAGATTTGGTATATTTATTTTTAAAAAGGTAGAAGATATACGATGTAATAACACACATATGTAGATTGAATTTGTCAAGGAAGGAAACTCAACTAATATTGAAACTCATTTTCGAGACATGTTATTTCAACGCGCTTCTATGGATGAATTTCGACAATTGGCCATGTCATTGACGCAAACCGGTTTAGATACAACGCAAATTAGAAAGGCCATGGTTGCCAAAGTCAGAGATGTCATTCGATGTATCCAACACTATAGCCGAAATACCAAACGGGATCCGGATCATGCCAAAAGTAAGTCCCCGGGGCACTTATTTTCCTTCAATTTGACATTTACACAATTTCATCTACATAGTGGCAGAAAAAGAAAGCGAGTCCTTTAATCCAACAAATGCATCTGTACGGGGCGAGGATATAACCATGATGATACCACAGAACATTGATTTATGGGAGTTGATGACAGAAACCGCCGATCAATTATACAGCTTTGTGTCTGCCGAGTAAGAAATTTAGTTGTGAACTACAATGAAGACAATTGACATTTTGATTATAGTTTTTTCTCTTATGAAGACATTCTTCAAGATTTCTATGAATTGGTATATAAACCTAACGGAGAACCATATGGTCCCAATGCCAAAGATCATATCACCAAAGACAATGGTCTGGTCTGGCTACTTTTACAATTATTTTGCAAGTATCCCCTTTTTATTTCCAACAAGCTGATAATAATAATCTTCTCTTTATTACAGACATTGATAAAGTTTCAACCAACGTAATACAAAAAGATTTTGAACAGGACGAAAAGCTGTTTGACAAATTGGTGCGACTCTATAATGAACAACAAACCGAATCAGAGGATGCATTTACATTACGTGACTTGGCGTTGCAGTGTGCCGTCAATCATCAAAAGGCAAATATTAAGGACGTCACCAATATTAAGCAGAGACATCCATTGATTGCTGCCTCATTGCAACATGCAGGCCTGTGTTATCAAATACAAGCCTATTTTAGCAATTATTATCATAGCAATGTGCCGACAAACTCCACATTATTTAGCAACCTGGATCTCCAGGAAATGACAAAAATTGCGATGGAAAGTCAGTTGAGACAGGATGTGGTGCCGTATACACTCTATGTGTATTTGGTTCCCACCAAGGCCGAGATTGATACACTTGGACACCCATCGACCACCTATGTGAAGGGCGGTACCCTGAATTACAAGCTTTTAGATTTGCTATGTGTGAATGCCAAACATCGATTATTGCAGGTGATTTATAAAATGATGTTGGACAGTGAGTTGGGACCAAGATATCAATCTACCTCTTCACCCGTTGCTTGTGTGCCACCCAATGTTCTTGACGTGGTGTACAAATTACTTTATAGTGCTCCTTGTTCGCAAGTATATAAGAAAAAATCCTTTTATATATTTATATAGACGGTTTATTCGCTCTCTCTTACCATCACGAAAACTAATGCTTTTTCAATATAGAGCCGAGTTGATGATCAAGGAAATTTTCGAAAAGCTAAGAAGGTGCGATAAAATGATCAAGATGAAACGTACAACCGCAGTATCAGCAGAAAATGGGGATATAGTACAATTGCCTGATCAAACAATGCGCTGGCTACAAACCATATTGCAATTGATGAATTACCGATTTATCCGGTTCTTAAAGTATTCGCCTCTAGCGTCTGGTTTGTTACATTATATACGGTATTCGATCTCGTACCTGGAAAACAGACAGTGCTACCAAGCTTTGGAGTCATTTACGATCAATATTATTGTAAGTCAGAAAGAAAAACTGTGTGATGCCATGTTTTATTAATTCTTTTTTAAAAATGAATACATATTATACTATATTAGCACATGCAAATGGATGTCAAGCTACTACGTTCGTTAGACGACCCACATCGTGAAAAACCGATATGGTTTGCCGAGTCCGAGATGCTGGCACGATTGATGGTGTGTACAATCAGCCGACTGATTAAGACGCGTGGACAGGCAGATATCAAGACGGATCAAATATACCGTGTACTAACGAGTTTGTACGAGTATAAACTAGAATGGACAGCTGAAGCCAAACGTTACTTTCCACCAGCTGTAAGATCGTTTTACGACTCTCCGGACTCGCCTAATCAATTACTACCGACCCGTGCACCTGTTACACCGCAAAAGGTACAACACCTTATCTCTACTAACAAGGCCATTACGGCTTATATACTTCACGGGTCTGCGGAGGCCGAACGTATTGCTTTGCAGTATTTCTCGATCCCGGAAAACCAATCGAGTTTGTTGTGCACGATGTGGGTGATTGCTATCACAAGAAATACTACCGAGTGTTGTAATATGGCTGCAGTGCGAAAACTGTTATTGTTGATCCCACCTTCACGTATGGCTACCAATACCATCGATCTCGTTGATTTTATTCTTAGTGTGGAATACCCGCCTAATAGTTCTGAATTTGTAAGTTCTCAATTGATTTGATTTTCGATCATCAATAACCTTTGTATTAGTTATTTTCACTTTTGGATACATTTATTTGGACAAACCAGTGGATTAACTTTAACCATGTCTTGTTTGCATTAAGCAAAGGAGGAGGAAGCCTTGATCGTACAAATAAAGCGATGAGTTACGTTGGCTACCTACTGTTAAGCTCACCTGAATTTCAAAAGCGTGTGCATAAATGGGACAGCTTGAATTTCAGTCATCGTCATTGGACCGAAGAAGATTTCCAAGCCAAGCTGATGCAGTATTTGCGAGAGTACCCAGAGCATTATGAATTTGAGAGTTTTGCAGTGCGACAACAATTAGGTGATTTACCGCAGCAACAGACCAAGTTACCGATTTATTTTACCAATGTGGTGAGTGACTTCACGTCATCTATGGAAACGTTGATTATGCGATTGATTGAAAATTCCGAAACGGATTTATTGCATAATGTATTGGACAGGTATGGACATTTGTTTCATCAACATCAATCACCACTTTCTTTTGTCACGAGTATTTTGTTATATTATCACGCATCCGATACATTACGCGATCCGAGAATCCGAAAGCGGATATTACGGCTTATCGGTAAAGAAGTTCAACAAAATTCATAATACAGAAGACAATTAAACTTTTTTGTTTATTCTAAAAAAATAGATTTTGATCAAGTGGTGATTGTACCTTCGGCAAAAAAATATGCGATGGATGATCAAGATGACGGAAGTGGTTTTGATGTAGGGTATTTCGAAAAGGTGATTTATAAATTGGCTGGTAATTTGAACCCGCCTAAATGTGCACCGCGCACACGTCCCGATTTACCCGAAAGACATTTCCGAGAGATTGGTAGTCCAGCTGTAGAAGGAATAACGATTGCCACATTGGAAGTCATGTTGACACCTGTACCACCTTCCAGTATCATCAAAATGTTCTTGGATCTACCACTGTTGCGAGAGTCACATCATGTGGGTGTCTCTGCCCTCACGATGCACGCGATTGGTCTGTTAATCCCTCTTTTACCCCAAAAGGAATTTGTGCACCCCATCTTTAAAGAATTGAATGACTTGATCGAGACCGACCCGCACTTACTAGAGGTGTCTGAACCTTGTCGACTGGTAAGGCAAAAAAAATCGTTCGATCAGTAAAAAAAAAGCTAATTTTATTTTCTGTTGTAGATCCGATGTGGTATACCAAGAAGCGTGAATGGAAGATACACAATGACACAAAGTTTGCCCGATTTAACTACAACGGCCGTGTTAAAGGACTCGATGAGTGCGCGACTTCGGAAGGCCATGATATTCCCGTACATCTTTAACGATTACAAGTTTAACTTGCACAATTATGGAACCAATGCTCCCAATAGTTTCTTAACCTTGTTCCATAGTATTGTCCATTACTCCAGTCTGGACATTTTTTCCATCTTTTTAGAGTATTTTACAAAGCTGAGAATGTCGGGTGCCTTAAAGACGGATGTGCAGTTACTGTACATGTGTTTCCTTTTAGGACCTGCTTTACATCGTATAGAGAAATTAGATAGTAGTGATGCCGGCGTAAGTGATCACTATCAGATTGATATAAAAAAAAAGTCTAACGCCTCTTAAAAGTTCCTGATAGAGTTAATGCATATGGTCAAACAGGTGACATCTACCATGGATATGAAGGATGGTTGGACCACTCAAGCTCTTGAACAAGTGTATGACTTTTTACATCACATCAGAACCCGCTTTATCAAATCCAATGAACTCGCTACACAGTTGCGTGACATTATTCGATCCATGAATCCACCTATTGCACAACGATTATCGCGACTAGTTATGTAATAAAAAAGGTCACGTTTTTTTTTTATTATTTTTTGGTCTTGTTAAGCGCGTTCGTATTACTATTGTGTTTTTTTTTTATTGTGTCAAAAACATGTCAAGTCAAGCTAGACCTCAGAAACGTGCACGTTTAGATAACGATGCCGATTTTTCTCAACTACAGGAAGAACATTGGGATGATGAGGTTTTAAAATAATAACACACCTTGCATGTGAATAAGAAATTTAATGTTTTCAAAACAGGCTCTTCAACGTAAAGTAAAGGACGTCATTCGATATGCTCTTGCTTGTGAATATAAGCGAAAAGTTGTTAAACGTGAAGATATTACCAAAAGTAAGGAAAGAAAAACGATGGTAGAGAAAAAGAGAACTTATACAATATCTAGTTATTTCTCAGGGCGGAAATAAAAAGGTCTCGTTCAATAATGTCATGGATTTAGTTCGCATCAAGTTGAATCAAGTGTTCGGCATGGACTTGGTAGAGTTACCCAAATTAAGAGAAAAGTTAAATCAATCTCAAACACAATTAAAAAGTAATATTACATAAATGTAAAAAGAAAGACATATTCTGACAAATGAAGAATATAGATACACAATCAACACAAGCAGCCGAATCCTCGACACAGGCACAATCATCTACACAAGCAGCAGCAGCAGCAAGAAGCGGTACATCGGGTACATTTATCTTGCGATATAATATGAAGGAATCATATCGTACTGGTGAAGTACTGAATCAATCACCCGAGGAGTACCAACAGACGGGTATTCTGTATGTGATTTTAGGTTTGATCTTTTTGAACTCACAGAGCATGACAAGTCGTAAGTAGTCTTTCTTGATCTTACCGGAACAAACCAAAATTAACCAACTGGGTACAGCTGATTTATACAGTCATTTGGATCGTTTAAAGATTTCGAAAAGCAATTCAGCATCAGAGGATAGAGACAAACTTTTGGAATTGTTTATAAAGAACCAGCATTTAAAAAAAACGAAGCGACCAGATACAAGTGGTGATGATACTGAATTCGATTATACATGGGGAGCAAGAGCCAAACTCGAATTATCACCCGAGAACATGGTCCAGTTTTTATTACAGGTAAAAATATAAAAAGTATCTCCCAAATATGTATGTATGTGCTTAGACTTTTGTACCTAGTTTTATGATGGCAGTTCAACACAAAAGAAGGAATTACAGGATAGAATGTACAAACAAGGAGGATACCAAGTTGCCACCCGTGCCACATCTGAAGGCCCCAACTAAGCTGAAAAGTAACCATATTATTTTATTTTTTATTTTTAAAAGAGTGAACGAAGCTCGTCTGCTTCTACAGCCATCTCTTCTTGTGTACGAGGTTTTCTATCTTCATTATCAACACCCTTTTTTTGTTGATCCAGTTCTTTATAAATATCATCATTTTGAGCCCAATCTCCTTTCTTTCTTGGGACAACATGTATATGAACATGTGGTACCTGTTTTGTGTTTAGTGTAAATAAAAAAAAAATCTATAAAATACTTACGGTCTGGCCTGCTTGAGGTCCATCTTGAATAGTCAGTGTAAGTGAAGTACCCTTGAAGTGCTTTTCGACTACACCGCCAATGTGTTGAGCGGAAAGCATTAAATCTGCAGTCTATTTAGTTATAAGTCTTAGTCTTAGGGGGGATGGCTTGAAAGTATCCAGATGATACCTCTTCTTTATTCAGGTCAGCTAATCTTGGTGCGATTCTTTTAGGAATGACAAGGACATCTAAGGATAGAAGAGGGTCAAGGAACTCATAGTATTACTTAGAACAAGTATATATGTCAAATATCAAATAGAAGAAAAAAAAAGGATACGTCCACTATATATAATTTGAATAAAACGCTCATAATAATAATAAAAGATGAGTCCAAACTTACGGTGCAATGGGTTTCAAGTTGACAATGCCGATTGACCATTGAGACCGAAAGAATATTTGAGACTCATGAATCAAGTAAGGACCAAATTTGCAACCAGTCATTACAAGTGTCTAAATAATTAAAGAGAAAAGCTTCAAAATAAAAAATTGTTTTTTTGAAGACAGTCTTCTTTCCCTTTTAGACCTGTTTATTTTTTTGACATGACACGATTCAACGGTTGTATCGATCTCCATCACGGCAAAGTCAAGCAAATTGTGGGTGGCTCACTTTTAGACCACTCTCCCGATCAACTCACTACGAATTTTGTGTCCGAGTAAGTCACCTTACATTTCTTTACATTACTATATTTTAACCCTCCCCCTTGTTGCTAAAACAAAAAAGAGAATCGCCTAGTTTTTATTCTAAGCTTTACAAGGAAAACAATGTGACACGCTGTCATGTCATCAAGTTGGGACCCAACAATGATGAAGCAGCAGAAGAGGCATTAGCAGCTTGGCCCCAGGGACTTCAGGTGGGTGGTGGCATCAGCCTCGAGAATGCTCAACACTGGTTATCACTCGGCGCCTCTAAACTTATTGTTACGAGCTATTTATTCCCCGGTGCTACTTTCTCCAAAGAGAGACTGGTTCAACTTTGTGAGCTTGTAGGCAAAGATCGATTGGTAGTAGATGTCAGGTACAAGAAATCAGCGCAGATACAATAGATTGTGTATATTCATGCGAAAGAAAAAAAAACAAATATAGTTGTCGTAGAAAGAATAATAAGTGGGTGGTTGCCATGGACAAGTGGCAAAAGATGACAGATATGGAAGTTAACAAAGGTAATGATAGGAACGAGAGGGACATTCAGAAACAGTTTCATAATGCGAGTTTATAGAAACCCTCGATATGCTTAGCCAATACTGCAGGTAAATGCTTTATATGACACTTTTTCCCGCGCATCATGATTAACGGTTTCTTTTAGTGAATTTTTAATTCATGCAGCTGACGTAGAAGGTCTTTGTAATGGGATCGATGAAGATTTGGTTGAACGCCTTGGTGAATGGGTGACCATTCCTACTACCTATGCTGGTGGTGGAAGATGTAAAGGGATAATTTAAAAAATTTGGGTGTACGTATCTGATAATCTTCTAAATTTTTAGCTATGGAAGACTTGCGACTTGTAGATAAATTATCCAACGGTAAAGTCGATTTAACATTTGGAAGGTAAAGATTGTAATGACGCGTATTTCATAAATCATGAGTTTAACTATTTTATAAATATTTAGCGCGTTGGATATCTTTGGTGGTAATGGGGTTACTTTTGAAGAGTGTGTTGAATGGAACAAAACTCATTAAATAAAAAATTTGAATTGTAACTCACGCTTGGAGCGTATCATGCACCTAAGAGGTGCGCGGAGGGAGAGAGACAACAATGTGTGGGAAGTGAATTAATTTTCCGCCTTTACTCGCTCTCTTTTACTTTTCTTTTTTATTATCACTATTTGAATACATTCATACCAGTATTTTTTGTTATAAATGAGCACTCCCACTGTAAAGAAAAGTATTCCAAAGGATGAATGGGAACAGCGTTTAACAAAAGTCAAAGTAAATAAGCAGTAAGTGACAATGTGTAAATGAGTAGAAAATACCTGGAAGAGGAAATTTAACACAATCAATAAAAAGAGATCTAAATCAACTGGTCATGAATTATCTCGTGGTAGAAGGTTATAAGGATGCAGCGGAACAGTTTAGTTCAGAAAGTGGGTTGGCACCCACAGTCGATCTGCAATCTATTCAGGAGCGAATGGACATTCGCCATGCTATTCAGTCCGGCGATGTGGATACAGCCATTGACTTGGTGAATGACTTGAACCCAGAGGTAAAGAAAATATTCCCATACACAGAGGGAGAGAGACTTATAATCGTAAAATTACATCTCAGATTCTGGATACAAACCCTCACTTGTTTTTTCACCTTCAACAACAACGCCTGATCGAGTTAATCCGTAAAGGACTTTTTCAAGAGGCACTGGAATTTGCATCAGAAGAAATGGCGCCACGAGGAGAGGAGCACCCCGAGTTTTTGGAGGAATTAGAGCGGACAATGGCATTATTGGCATTCCAGGATAGCAAGGATTCGCCTGTACAAGACTTACTTCATCCCGGACAGCGACAAAAGACAGCGAGTGAATTAAATGCGGCCATTTTGATGAGTCAGTCACAGGAAAAGGACCCTAAATTACCCAACCTGCTTAAGATGTTGGCTTGGAGTCAGGAACAGTTGGATGAACGTATGATATATCCTAAGATCGAGAATTGGGTCAAAGCTGATTTGGTGTTACGTGATGAAAATGGTAATCAAGTCGAGGAAGATATTACCATGTCATCTTTGTAATAAATAATGGAGTATGAAAATAAGTGGGCAAAAGGGCATTGACCCCCATTCTTTTTTTATAAGAAGGTGCTACCGATAAATAATAATAGCTTTTTTTTTTTTTTTTTTTTTTTTTTTGTAACCCGCTTATTCCCTCCCGATCATTTGCATTTTCCGATCAATTAGCGAAACTTTCATGTGGATAAACAGTGATACAAATAGAATATTTTTTACTTCTCCTCTCAACCTTCTCTTTTATTCACTTTTTTTTTTTTTTTTTTTTTTTTGAGGCACAAAGTCTGGATATAGAAATTAGGCATATTTGTAAGGCCCTTAAATAATCCTCCCCATCTTCTTGTTTGATACATAATTTTTTAAACCTTCCTTTCTTCCTTTTTTAAAACAAAAAAAAACACACACACACACAAAAAAATAAGAAATTGCAAATGACTTCATGTATTTGGGCTCTCTTGTCCGTAAACTGTCTCGAGTTTATACACGCTTCTGCATATGACAACTTGAAAGGTCGTTCCTTATTTGACTTGATCCACCCTGATGAAGTCTTATTAGCAAAGAGAGATCTTTGCAAGTTTATGGATTCTGAATTATTGGGAGGATCTGTTACTAGGTAACCAAAAAGAAAAGATTACTTTCAAGTCTTGATCGTTGCTAACCAATACCCATTATATTTTTTTCTATCATTATTATCATAGATGTCGATTGAGGGATTATTCAAACGTAATGTATTTTTAACCCACACTAAATTGTTTGTTTGTTTATTTACATGTATTACAGAATAATTTTATAATAGCAACGCCATCTTGGATTGTCGTAGATATCATTATGTACGTAGCCACGGAAAATCTGGTGCTTGCGTTCTTCCATCGCCAACAAGGTAATTATAGAACAAAAGATTCTTTTAGGAAGCATTAAAGAAAAAATAAAAATGTGACTTACAAAAAAAAATTCTATAGATGTCTCGGCGTGTGGAGATCACCCTGATAGCTCAATCAATCAATTAAGATCGTCATCATTAGAACTATATGGTTATAAAAATAATGCAGCAGCGAAATCTTCTCCGCATCAATTTCTTCACATTCTGGATAATCGGACAAAGTCAGTGCTACTGTCACTGCCCGATCACTATCCCAACGAAATGGATAATGGTGCACAGATAGAATTTTTCAATGACCGAACCATGCCACCAGAGGTATCTTGTTTTCATTGTGTTCAGCAAGCTATCCGCACAACGCCTTCTGGCGAGAAAATACATCGTTTTGTCATTGAATATGGGCCTATTACTTTTTTATTAACCCATATTAAGAAAAGGTAATAAGAATAAGAGATGTTATATTTATTTTTTTAATATGAACCATTTATAAAAATAGTTTGACATCGTCATTACCGTCACCGCCCCTTTATAACGTAAAGCGGTCATTATCAGCTGAATATCAGTATCCAAAAAGAATACAATACCAATACGGTGGGAAACCCCCACCACAAAGAAAGCATTCTGCACCTACTAAATTAGAGAACCTGTTATCACCTGTCAATAAGCAACAACAACAATACCATCATAGAAATCACTGTCAAAGTTGTGGTACTGATTCTAGCCCGGAATGGCGTCGAGGACCCACTGGACATAAAACGTAAATAATAATATTCTATTCCTTTCGCAAAGCCACCCCCCTTATTTTTTAATACTTTATTTAAATAGACTCTGTAACGCATGTGGGTTAAGGTATTCTCGATCTGTAGCACGACAAGGAAAGATCATTGCAAATCAACAAAAACAGCATTCTATGTTTCAAAGCCAGCATTCGCCACAGTCCTCGCCGTCTTCATCGTCATGTTCATCTCCTTCGTCTTACAAGATGAACTATCAACTTCAAACTTTAGATTACTACAATGATTCGAATCAATCAAATCGTCACCATAAGCACCATATTAGCTATTCAGTTTTATAGCTTTTTATTTTTTTATTTTTTTGTTATGAAAATAATTTTTTTTTCCTTGTACAACGGCCGATTCCTCCTTCCAGTACCCCCCGTCCTTTCTTTTATGTTATTACCATATACACCAGCAAACACATTGTTACCAATTTTTACTATTAATTTGATTCATCACCAATACCCATTATATTTGTGTAATATTACGTATACGATTTTATTCTTTTGTTCTTTCTTTTTTAAGCTTTTTGGAAAAACAAAAAAAATCAATATACCTTCTTTTATAAAACAAAGCATACACAACCCTTATGTATAAATAAAAATAAAATAAAAAAATTACGTTTCGGAATCGTTTCTTTCCGAGATATGTACACTTATACGAATTTACATTGACATTATTTATATACGCTTTTTTTTTTGTTAACCTGACCTTAACAACTGTTCCAAAGAGCAAATAAAATCGCACGAAAAAATCTTAATAATGGCATGATGTCGTTTTTTATTTTATTTATTTTTTGTGTAAAACCTTTTTTTACAGAAATAGTAATTTTATACTTGTTCGATTCTGAGGGGCAAGGCAACAAACAAGAGCTTTTTTCCCTTTTTTGCTGCGTGCTGAACATGAGTGTCGTACAGTGGACTTTCTTTTTTCTTATATAAAAAAAATGAACTGGGTTTCTATACAGCGCACGGGAGATTTAGAATTTGAATGATTAGTTTTCTTACAAAGGTCCCGGTTGAAAGAAATGAAACGTTGATAATCATATTAGAAATGATTCGTGAGAATTCAAATCCGTAACATGTTACTAGCCGAGGTTGAAACACTTTATTAGTAGCTATACACACACACAGATGATTGTCCCGACCTTAATTTTACAAATTCAGCCTGTATAATTTTTATTGGAAGTCCAATTAAACTTGGTCTAAAACCATTTATAACTTAATTGCCATAAAAACTAAGAAGAAATTTACCCATTGTAACACTATTAAGAAAAAACGTGTTCATATCTTTTGACATTCTAGTAATCAATACCGCCACCACCCCCATTCATTTTGGTGTTCCATATTTGTCAATGTTTATAACAATTCATGATCAACTTTCTAGATACTGGGAAAAAAAGTTATTTGGAATTTTTGGAAAGTTATAAGCAATTACAATAATTAGCTTACGTTGTTGCACTGTCAATGAAGGCATTGCACCAAACGTAATTCGCTTTCTTTTCTCATGATCTATCTGACATCAGCTAAGCGACAACAACTGATAAGGCTAGATATCAAAAAATTCTGGAGAGAGATAGTGGATGTACATTTCAATTGACAAACACAAGAAAAAAGAGCGATCGTGCTTAGCAATATATTGACTTGCACAAAGAAATACGAATAAAAAATGTCATAAAAATAGGCATATGCCATTTACTGTGAAAAATATATATTCAAGAACGCACGGACGGCAAAAAAAAATGGCTAGGTTATAAAAATACTTAAAAAGCTATGGCCAGTGCAAAATTACTTCCATGTTTGTAACAAAAGAATCGAGAACAATTTGCACACTAGTAATGATGAAAAAAAAAGGGGGGAAATTGAGGTATTTCTTTATCCTCGGCTTTATGGTAGTTTAACATACCGTTGAAAATATCAAAATATTTTTTTGTAACTAGGAACATATTAAATTTAATGTTTATATTAACACATGTGTTCCTTCAAAACAGATGTGATAATCTTAGAGTCTACCTTATTTGATATGGGTATAACCTTATTCGTGCTGGCATTTTATTTTTATTTATTTTTATTTTTTTAGAAACAGAGACAATAGATGAGGGTTCCAGCGATTTGGTATCATAAATATAGTCTTATGATCTTTCCAGGTCTTGTGATAACCTGATTGTTAAATATAATCACTGACCATGAACTTTCTATTAAAAAGAGAGCACAAATTCTCAGAATTTTGGTGCTTACATCAAAATTGTACACCCCATTTATCGAAACACAGAACAAACAAAAACAAAGCTTAATTTTTTTTTTTTTTTTATATCTTCGAATGTCAATTTCATATACACGCGTGCGTGCGTGCAGGCATGTGAATAGCATTGACCTTCTTTTTAAAGCCCAATATAAAATAATAAATTAGTAAAAATAGTTTGCAAACAAGTTTTGACACATGTTTGAAGCTTTCATATTTTACTTTATTTTTTTGCAACAGGGAATACTAGATATTTTACTATAATGCCAATAATAAGATTGGTGTTACTCGAGCGTTGTTGAACGAGGGAGGGGGGGGAGAAGAAGAGGGGGGAGATCGATTTTAGTACTTTTAAGGTTAGTGTTGGCGGAGAAAGAGTAATACAAAGCTTCTGATTGTCCATATACCTGTGTCACAAAGCTCTTGACTTTCGGCTTTTCCCTCGCGCGAAGTATACCGTGCACTTAATTTTAACGAGAGGAGATTTTGCGCGACTTTAATTGGTTGTAGGTTTTCTAAATTAAGCATCCGGTTTGTGTTCCTGAATCATAACTATAAATGCCTTTATCAAACATTCTCATTTTTTCTTTTTTGGCTTTGAGCATCTACAAAACATCCAGATCTTAAGTAAATTTAAAGTTGGCTAACATAGCTGCTAAGCCAGCAACAGATCTGTAGATAAAATCGGAGAAGACTATTTGTTTATCTATTATTTGACATTTTACACAAGAATTATGTCGCAGAAAACCCAAAGTTATTGTTTTTGCTAAATGAAAATAGTTATTTACTTTAGATACTCTATACTAAAATCACTAATTTACATATATGTTCGGGGAGATATGGGAATAGGGTCTTGTTGGTGTCGTACTGGACCTTGGGAGAAAAATACAGTAATGTATCGTACGTGCGAACAAACCAAGGCTCTCGGTACTATCATTCTCAGTTTTTTTATTAAAGATAAAGCTGTTAATAAAGTACGCGTCTATTGTAGTCAATCATAAAATAACGGGTATATAGGGTGATGCCACTATTATTAAATTAAAAGTTAAGTTCAAAATCCATTTACAACTATTACGCAATAAATAGGGAAATAAAGAGATATAAAGACGCGTGAGAGTAACTTACGCAGCGTGATTTCCTGAACTCTTTATTCTAATAAAATGAGATGCGCCTGTTTGATTTACAGGTTGTTTACTCTATGACCTGAAAAAAACTATAAATTGTTAATGTGTCCGAATTTTTATTTGTGATTCTCGTCGGTATCCGCTCCGGGGAGCCCTTGTTGTACGGCAATATTGTATATGAACTGAGAAGACAATCGACCTTTGGCGCATGTATGATTCGGATATCACAACCGCAGTTGCAGGTCATTTATTCGCGCGTAAAAGCTCTATTCAGAAGCTTATTCGGAGGACGAGCTAATTCTGCATGCGGTGTGGAGATAGAAATTTTTAACTTAAATGAGTAAATACGTCTATTTACCTACTTTTATTGGGGCTAAGGCCGAACCTAATCGCTGATTTTTTGCTTTACTATTCTTTTGGGCCGACTAATACGCCTTATTAAAAAAACAATTGAGAACACTGTATTACCATCCAAGGTATAGATAAACAAATATTTAGATGACATAGATAGCCATCATCCTATTTCTAATTATACTTATTCTTATAAAGAAATTATGTAACCAAGAAGTTATTAAAAAAAGATATATCTAATGCAAATACGCTTTTTACAAGTAACTGCTACTTAAAACTTAGTCCTTCACCGCTCAACGAAGAAAAAATATTCATCTTTTATAGTATGCTATAAAAACTTTTAAACAAAAAAGAACGCACCTTTTTTTTTACATGGGCGGAAGGTACCCATATTTTGTGAGATATATCTAATGCTTATAAAATGTATCGGGAAGGTCCAAAATACCAAACATAAATTAGATCAGCCTACTGCGAGAGCTCAGTCCTACCCGCTCATAAAGACAATAAATCAAAATCAGCACACAAATGCTAGGTAAGATTCTTAATCTTTATAGTGAGCAAACAACTATGTACATTTCATGGCTATTTATTTAGTACGGGAAAATACGCTTGAGGAACAACTAAAAATCACGTCTTAGATTTTATACCACTTTCGATCGAAACCTTTCAAATGAAAATAGATTTGTGCTACTTTCGATTTGTGCAACCAATCGTGGAATAATCAAATAACATATGGGTAACCAGCTAAATCAATATTTTAAACTCAAGTTCCAGTGGGTACCCAGAGACTACATCTAATATAATTATTTACAAAGCTTTTAATGCGTATATTTAAAAAATTGGCTGCTTTAAAATTAAAAGCTTGATGAATTTTTATTTAATTATTCACTGCTTTAAATCACCAGATTTGCCCGTATATAAAACAAAGTGATCCCAAAACAACAACAAAAAATCTCCAATAGGGTCCAATGTATGTCGTGTAAGGTACAAGGAGACTACGTATAAATTGTATCGGAAATGATCTCTTGGTTTCATTGTCATGAAGATGAATAATTTAAGATGTTTATAAGAAAAAACTGAAAAAATACTCACTATTTAATCACAGAAGAGTCTAGCTGCTTTCAATTTATAAAAGAGTATTGTAATAACGCAATGTATATTCGGGTTTCTTAGGGACAGCCATTTGTCTTAGAGACGGTTGGGTGCGCGTAGTCGTAATGTTGGATTAGGATACTTTAATAGACACCAAGAGGTCAATATAACTTATCGTCTTGAAATAGATACGATTTATTCCAACGTGCATATGGTAAAACAGTATGTGTGTGTTATACTTACTTTCAGCTTCTCATTTTGCCTTTACCTTAATAATTCTGCGTAAGATTAGGGTCGAACGAGCTTAAAGGCGAAAGAATGATGATATAAATGTCAAAACAAGTATAACCCATTTGATAAGCATTTATTCGTAATTATCACATTGTTTTTGATTATATATTCTTGTTTCCAGGTCTAAAGGATAGCCAAATCGCAGATCTTACGTTATGACTACGTGCACTTCGGATGTCCCTAAGAAAAGCGATGTATATTTTACATATATTAACTGAAATATTCCAAGAAATAAACCGTTAAATTATTTAAGACTAAAATTAGATATCTTTTTATTAAACGGAAAAGGGGTTACTGTTTTTGTCTTTGATTAAAAGAGAGTAGATATGTCGTATTCTTCCTAAAAAGTTTTAAGCGTATAATTATGTGCAAAAGGGAAATTTAAATTGTGTATGAACTCCTCACTTTTTCTTTGAATATACAAAAACATTGATAGCACTGTTGAGCCTGCTTCAATATGATAACCGTATCCTAGTTTTATGGGCGAGGTATTTCTTAATTTCTTAAAAGTCTGTCAATAAATGTAAGACTGGTTCCTCAACACAGCAAAAATTTTATCAGGAGTTTAAACCGCAAAGGCTGCATCAATTTCTCTTTACCTTACTCTCAAATAAATGGACGGTAACCTTCCCTCTATTTTTTTTTTTTCTCTCCCTGTGAATTATGATTTTAACAAGTCTCCAAAGAAATTAGTGACACCACTTACGCATTATACAAGTGTTCACCGTTATGTAATTTCTTGACGGGAAAACGTAATATGCGTTATTTTAGAAAGAGAATCGCTAAGCAATTAAGTGATGACCTCGATTGGGTGATTGATCATGGAGAAATTCAAGGAGAATGGCCACATGCTGGAAAAATTACTCGCCTACTATTTGAAACTTTGGAAATGGAAGACTTCGAAACCGATCAAACTTACAAAACATTGTCACCCTTGCAACTAACACTGGATTGTTATGTGAAAGGGAAAATCAGTAAACAGTCTATGGTCATGCTACCAACGAAAGTGGCTTCAGAAGTAAATGAAGTGTGTTGGAATTATCCACTTATGTTGGCAAAGATTTCTAAGGGGGTATATAGTGTTTTGTCAGAGATGTTCTTAAGTGATTTTCAGGCCACAATATCCCCTTTGGATATCCTTCCTAAAACCATGGAGCATATTATATGCCTGAATGCAGAACCCTTGTTTGATATTGAGTTGGAAGATCCTCAAATCCATGATGGAGATGCACAATCGAGGTCACGAACAGCCTTATTATTAGAGTACTCAACAGGATTGGATGAACTTAAGACAATTCAATTAGAGCTTTCAATGGATCAGGTGGCCAAAATATCTGCATTGGCTGGTGGTCCAGACAAGTTTTATAATGCTTTCTGTGAACACATTTTAAACACTACACACATTAAATTGACCACTTTGCATCTGACATCCCTAAGTTGCGATATCCTTACAGTGTCACTGGAATCAGGCAAAATAAAGGTATATATAGATGAACTATAATACGCTTCCAATGCATGTTTTTTAAAAAAAAAATCAATTAGTTTCGTGGAGATGGACCAAGATATAGTGCTTACAAAGTGTTGTATCATTTGCTTGAAATAGCGTATTCAGAAATTAGCGATTTTAGCTGGGCCTAAGTGTAAAAAGTTGTTGCTAATAAAAGTACCTTCTTATTTTTATTAAACTTGACAGTTCCACATACACATAGATTAGCTTTAGAAGATGAGATACCTGGGAAATAAAGTATACATGGGATAACATTTTTAAGAATAATGCACGCATACTATTCGTTTAAGAAATCCCCATTCCGTGATATGATCCCATCCATATCGCCAGTTTTGTGCTTGGAGTCTTCTACCACACTCCTTTTCAAGCTACTATCTCGTTTCTGTCTCAAATCTTTTTTGACCTCGGTAGCAATTCAATCAAATGATTGAGAGGCCAACTTTGCGAGGAGAGTTTTAGATTGGGTGACTTTATAATAGAATAACATAAATTTCGAGCACAGTTAATAAGCGTTGCTCCGATGCATATCGGCCCGTGGCTCAAGTTTCTCTCAGGTAGAATTGCAACTGTACTCGCTCTATCTGTACTGTGTTGTAACAGCCCATCGTTTAAGAGACAGGGTCACTAAACAATTTTTGATCCTTCTTCATTGATATACTGTGCAGGCAAACCTTTATAAATACGGGTCTCTTAGGGACAGCCAAATTTTCTTAGGGACAGCCATTTTTCTTAGGGACGGTCAGGGTGCACGTAGTCGTAATGTTGGGATTATGATACTTTAATAGATATCAAGAGGTCAATAGAGCTTAACCACTTGAAATATATACACATTTATCACAACCAACATAGTTTAAACTTGTATATGTATTTCAAAGCTAACTTTCAGCTTCTCGTTTGGACTTTACATTAATATTTCTGCGTAAGATTTAATTCAAACGAGCTCAAAGGCGAAAGAGTGATAATAGAATTGTCAAAATAAGTATAAATCGTTTGATGTACATTTATTTGTAATTTTTACATTGTTTTTTGATTGTATATCCTTGTTCCCATGTCTACAGAACATCCAAACCATAGATCTTACGTTGCGACTACGTGCACTTTGGCTGTCCCTAAGAAAAGCGTTATAAATATGTTAAAATCAAAAGAGTATTTTGGTAGAGAAACGTTTTTATGAATGTGTTTCCGGAATGATATTCTATTGCTTTAAAAAATACTCCAATTCTCGTTCCTGGTATGACTGATCCTGTAAGCACCAAGCGGGGTTACATGCCAATGTGTCCCTTATTATTTTCCAGAACTTAACCAATCTAGCAATTTCAGACTTATGAGTAAATTAATCCGAAATAAGCTCAACGGTATTGAAAGTATTTCGTCCAGTGATATATTGCTTGTTAATTACTCTTGGATATATTACTCAGCATTCTCTTAATCAATTAGGCAATTGCTGCTATCTAGAAACCCAAAGATGGCCATTTCAGAAAAATAGCCAGAAAAATACACAGCCAATTGAGTTTTAAAAAAGTGACCAACATTTTCAAAAAGGTTATCCAATTGACGGTGGGTTGCACTGTTTAACTTAATAAAAAAATCATATTATTTTATTCTCCATTTTAACCCTTTTCCCAAATGACAAAAGAACCACATCAGCCACCAAAAGCTGTAAATATTATCAGGCCTAATCCAAATTACGGCTTATTAAATAATACGACAAGTACAAGTAGTAGTGGTAGTAGTAATAGTGGTTCGATCGTGCAAAAGAGAACTGGTTCAGTGGCTTCCTCTACCACTAGAAAACTAAGAGTCAACAGTACAGCTACAAAACCATTATTAAATCTCTACCACCCACCCACAAGAAAACCCTCATATGATGACTACCATCGCTCTACTGTATCTTCTAACAGACCTCCCATCGAGATTTATAAACCTCAACAACAAAGAATGCCAAAGTCTTATACTTCTCCATCTCTATCGAATGAACAAATACAACCAATACAGCCTATAAATAAGCCTATCTCCCGTCCATCTCATCGCTCAGTTTTAGGGCCTATCAACACTCCCGTTGCTATAACATCAGCTCAGAATGATAGATATCATGAAAATACTAGCTCAGTTGAAGTTATAGACGATAAGACCTCAACGGTAGAAGACACGATCGATGACTCTGAACAAGACGACGAGGACGATGAAGACGATGAAGAAGAGGACGAGCAAGAAGATAATGAAGAGGAGCCTATAATAAATGAAGCACGAGTTAATCGAAAGGTAATACCAAAAAAAAAAAAAGAACCCCCACCCCCGCATTTCTAAAGGTGTAACTGTATTTTTAGATTGCGGATTTGGAATTATCAATCAATTCATTACTTTCAGTAAATGCAATGCTTGAATCAACAGTTAGAAAGCAGGCATCACAACTAAGCCAAATGAAGATCAAAATGTTATCTGGCGGGAGCGTGGATATAATATTAGATGAGGAGGTGCCTATTATTGAGGTAGATGACGATAAGGAAGAGGATTGGGATCAAGATTTGTTATTTCAAAAGCTACGTAAAATAACTGAGCAAATGATCGAACAAGGGCAAAAATCGATCGATTTCGAGTACAAAATTTTGGGTAGAGTGTTATCAAACTATACACCACAGGAGGAGGATGATGATGACGATGATGATGATGAAGGTATGGAAGGGATACGAATAATTATCTATGTATTTCTAATATGTAACTATAGAAGCAATAGCATCATTGACACCTTCAACATCAAAATCTACCCCATCAAACGAACCTCATACTACACAAATACCCGCCACATCTATACCACTTGCTGCAAGACCATCCAAACTTGCAAAAAAGAAGAATAATATAATTTAAACCCTTTGCATATGTCCCCCCCTAATTTTTTTTTTTTATTATTATTATTTATTTGGTTAAACCGTTTTAAACAAGTGTTTATGGAAAGATTTATATCGCAACTAAATGGTAAAAGAAAACTGCGTTTCGTCGTCGCAAGCATGACAAGCTTCGATCAAACATTTTAAAAGGGACGTTCTTTATATCATTTCGCTGAAATCTTATTTTTCTGTGCGCAGAGTGCTCGATGGTTTTGCATTAACATAATGAAATTCGGGTAAGCCAACAAAGATTTTTTGACAGGTCCACGGCCAATATAAAAAATTGAAACCCGTCTTAATTTGAATTACTTTAAATTCAGACAAATGAAAATTATTTTCAGACAAGCTCAAAATATATTTTCAGAAAAACGTAAAAAATTATTCAGAAATATGATAATAAAAATTCAGACGACCTAAAGTTTAAGGCATTTATCTCAGTAACTTTCAATAATGTCCTACTCAATCAACACTATTTTCTGTATTAGATAACCTCACAAACTGTCTTGATTCTTTGGGCTAGAGTGTCCAAAATGAAAAGCTTTTTTTTTTTTTTTTTTTTTTTTTTGATTTACGACCAGCGTCCATCAATTGGATTTAAAAATGCTGAAATTAAGGGCTTATTGTAGCCTCTACCTTCTATTAAATCAACTACGTAATAAGAGTGATGGATTTTTCAATTATCTACAGCGAAATATAGGCTGTGCTTGTTGTGTCTGTGTAGGACATCCATGAAGTTTTTGACGTAAGTTGCAAAACGATGCATAGTTGTACCTTTATTGGTGTCATCCATTTTAGTCTGTCTTTTTTTATATTTTATTTTTTATTTTATTTTGCTGGCTGGAGAAAGAGAATAGTTGTAGAAAAGGTATGCTCTTTAGTAGCATCAGAAAAATTATTGATCTTGATTAAAATATCATCTTCATTTTGTTAAATATCTGCCCAGCGCTCAAAGATTATAAAAAGAAATGAAACGGAAAAATGAAGACGATACAACTGCAAGTTCATCGAAAAGAAATAGTAAGTATTAAAATCAAGCCCAACGAGACATCGTGTGTGCTTCTTACGCTTTTAAGAAAATGCTAATATTGATAGCTCTGATATACCTATGTTGCCAACATTTTCTTCTACTTCGTTTGACAATCCTGCCATTGGCTTATTTGCTAGACATACTCTTAATAGTCAGCCTCTTGGAAACCCTCCTTTTGATAACCTTCCTGTTGATGATCTTCATCTTGATTATCCTAACCTTGGTTCTTTTTCCAGTACACAACCTCTGATTTTTGAAAAAAAAGTCCAAACAAAATAGACAGAAAACGCGCCTTGGAAGACTTAAGGTTGAAAACCCAAAGCAGTACAAAAAATACATGCCTATCTTGTAGATTAGACACACACTCAATATTAGCAAGTAGCTTATGTCCAAACCACAAGCAAAAAGAAATAAGTCACGGCTCTGACGAGAAAGAAGAGACATTTGCGATCAAATGCCCTTTAAAGAATGCATGTAGAGGCACAAGACTTGATAGTTCGATTTCCTCAGTGGCGTCTTATACAACAAAAGTCGCAATGGCCCTCTACTGTTGAAAAAAATCAAGTTTTCGAACTAATAGTACAGCAGCCAAGTGGATGTAATCTTCAACAAAGATTGAACGAAAGGGTGTACATCATGGAAGAAACCTAAACCACTGTCGCCTCGAAGGCTTATGTTTATCGAAAACTTTAAGAACTGGTATTTACTTCTACGCTCGACAGGAAAAGCTTCGAGTCTTTACAGGAAATAGTTTTGCAGTGTTCAAGTAAGTGAATTGTCTATAACCGCTTTTAATTTAATCAAATTGCATATAGAGAAATTGTGTATACTGATAGGTATTCGATTTATTTTCTTTTTGCTTGACGGAAAAGAGATAGAAAAAGGGGAAATCTTAAAAAACGGCATGCAGACTATCTTACATTCAAAATGGCTGTAATATTTGGGGAGTATATCCGGGTGTCAATTCCATTCTAACTGCTGTAGATACGTTTGGAAGAGTATCACCATTTTTGTGGTTTTGACGATGCAAGTTTAATACGGAGAAGCATCAAAACAACGCATGGCTCAGTTTACAAAGATTTCAAATCTAAGTTCATTAAAGACATCTGATATCGAAGATTATGCAAGAAAGACTTATTCTTTATCATGGTGTGACAAGGTATTACAATGAAGATAATTGGTGAGTGCAACACTTCACGATCACTTCTATAAGTATTTAACCAACGATATTCACATAGGTCATCCGAGTTAAAATTTAAACCCTATGTTCTAAAACAAAAAACCGTCCATGAAATATGCAAACGTTTGATACACGGGAGCAGCAAGTACAATTAAAAGGCATACACTGAGGTAAATAATCTGTCTGCTGGAAGCAAAAAATAGCGTCCTCCTGCTCCTCTTGAACACATTGAAAAACCTAACAGAACAATTATTGCTTTTGGCGATGGAATGTTTAGCAGCAGTATGAAAGGAACTAAATCGGCTCCCATTTGTCTTATCAAAAAGGCTTTGAAAAGCACTGTGGAAAGAGTTTGGAATTGGTGTTGGTAGATGAGTATGCAATAAATGTAGTAACCAAAAGGTTAAAACGAAGAGTACATGTAGTATTAAAATTCTATCAAAAGCATTGTAATATTGTATGGAATTGTGACAGTATGGCTGCTCACAAAATCTTGGACACTTTCTTACTTGCTGCAAAAAGCAATAATCAACGTCCCCATATTGTTTTGCGTCAAGATACAACCAATTTAAAACTTGTAGTATAATTGATATTACTCTTTTATACTCCCTTACAGTGTAATTTGTATCAGTTGTTCAAGTTTAGGAGAGGTATTAACTTTTTATATCACAAATAGTTCTTCAAAGGTAATAAACTCATGTTTGAATTTGACTGAAAATTAATTTTGATTCGTCGGATACAACACCAGCGTTGTCTGAACTCCAAGTACGAAAACTGTAAAATTTAAATTGTTCAACCGCGAGGCGCGATTTTTTTTCTCGTTTTTTTTTTTTCTAAAACAAGTATGAGTAATAAAGTAGTGCATCCATTTTTTCAGCTACAAAAAAAAAAGTTGCTATCCTTAGACTCGTCTCCAGAGAATTCGACTGTGAAGAACTTATCAATAAATCAATCATCGAACCCACTACCGCCTACTAAAACACCAAAACCCATAAAACCTCCAAAGACCATAGAAACGCCAAAAACCTTAAAAACACCAAAAACCGTAAAAACACTAAAACCCATAGAAACACCGAAACCCATAGAAACACTAAAGACCACAGAAACACCAAAGACTACAGAAACACCAAAGACTACAGAAACACCAAAGACTACAGAAACACCAGACACACCAGACACACGAAAACGTTCAAGCAGATTAAGAAATGTGGATAAACCAAAGCCCATATACAAAGAGATCCCTTTTGATTTACCAAAGACAAAACTTCGAGCTAAAAAAAAGGCATTAACGCCACCCCCGCCACCGTCTCCATCGCCACCGTCACCACCATTACCATCACCCACACCAGTTGCCAAAGTATCGGCTATTGAACATGTACCTGCAACTGCTAGCTGTTCTACACCGTACTATACACCTATCGTCAAACCTAAATTTTATTCGGATACTTTAGAATACAAGGCACAAAAGCAGCATGAGGCCTTATACAATTTTTACGGTTTGATTCCTACAAAGGATAAAAAATACGATCACGAATTCTCCCGTTTCAACCGCGATGTCTTTGGCAATGGCCACATTACCCAAAGACCCGTCGTACAGTTAGAGGATGAAAACCCATTTACAAGAAGAACGTATGAACCAATGGATGAATCAATTGAGCCAGGATTCTTTGCCAAAAAAAGAGCAAATCTCAATCAACAAAAAGTGAAGAAGCCCACGTTTAATGTGACTTTGACCAATGAAGCAGAATTAAGGCAATTTCTGGATCGTTCATTTCCTCAATGGCACACGTTTTCTTCTTGTGTTATTCTATCACAATTAGTATTTAATAAATCCAACGCGAGAAAGACCAATCAGCAAAAGTCGTGGATAGATACATATCGACCAAAATCAGTGAATGGGTTGCTAGGAGACCGAAATAATTATGTTTATTTAAAAGATTGGTTACATCAAATGAAAATTGCACCCATGTCAGCCCCCAAGCCTAATGGGGATGGAACCAAGAAACGTAAGATCACCAAGAAAAAGAGGTTGGTGGATGAATTGGGCGAATTATCTCTAGATAATGATAATGATGAAGACTTTATGCCCATCAAAAAGTCAGCTAAAGAGTTAAAGAATGAATCCATCAAATCCAATATTATTTTACTCTCAGGAGACTGTGGAGTAGGAAAGACAACGTTGGTTTATACGGCTGCTGAACAATTGGGATACGAGGTGTTTGAAATCAATCCTGGGTCAAAAAGAACTGGTAGAGATATCATGTCTATGGTAGGTGAAATGACAAAGAGTCATTTGGTGGCATTTGGTTTACCACAGAAAATAGAGGACCCTGTATCAAAAAAACCAAAAAAACGTAAGTTGAATCCTTGTTTATCTTCCAAGACATTGAGTAAAGAAGACGATGGGCTTATGAAGCATTTCTTACGTAAGAAGGATCAACCACCACCCATCAAAAGACAGCCATCATCAGAACCAAAACAAAGTTTAATCTTATTGGAGGAAGTCGACATCTTGTTTGATGATGATAAAGGGTTTTGGGCTTCGATCATTGAGCTATCGCAAAAAAGTAAAAGACCTATCATTATGACATGTAACGGTATGTAAACTCGTCTATTATAATGTGCTTTTCAATTAATATTATAAAAAACTTAGATCCCAATCAAATTCCTTTTGAGAACCTCTACCTCCAAGTAGCTCTTGATGTAAAACCTCCATCAGATGCAGAGCTACTGCCATACTTATGGTTAGTATGCTATTCTGAAGGGTACGTTGTGGATCCTGCTGATCTGATTTGTCTCATGGCGTTTTTGGGAAGAGACATTCGTCAATTGATACAAACATTAGAGTTTTACGTCAAAAACGACCAACCAATATTTGATGCCTATTTAGGAATCAACTCTGATGAGCCAATAACAGAAATGAAATTAAAGTGCATCCCGTCGAGAGTAGCTGTTGACACGTTTCGCTTAGCAAGGTGCTATAAAAATATGGGTGATACGAAAATGGGCAGCAATAGCGATGATGATGATGATGATGCTGATTTCGATCAAATAGTACAAGCGTTAGATGATAACGCACTGGCCGATTCGTGGCTTGGGTGGAAGGGGAATGGAAATATGGTAAGGCTTGGTTCCAAATTCTATTTTTTGATCTGTAAAAAAGAAAAGACTAAAATAGTTTTTTTACTTAAAAAAGATTCATGATTCCGCGAAGGATCAAATTTCAGGGTTCACGACCTTAATGTTAGAAGAGGACGAAAGCAGCTCATCCAAAGGCATATTAGATTACGTCGAATCGACTGCGGCGATTGTAAACAGTGAGGCAATGGTGTCCAATGTTTGGAGTAATGTGATATTGGATGAATCAAGCCATTGGGATGAAGCTTGTGACGCAAGGTAAAAGTCACATATCTAGATTATCCAAACAAAAGAACTAATTTTAGAGTAGGTCCAGAAATTTCGATAATTATGTCGATGCAATTGCAAAATTATTATCGCCCAATATGATGTATCAACCTAATGAATATATATTAATGATGGATTATATTCCGTATATTCAGCAAATGATTTCCGCTAACAGTAGGGCTAACGCCGGAAAGACAAGATCAAAACGTAAAAGGTTGTATTTGCCTTTGAGTGATGACAACGTGGAAGTCTTGACAGACAGCCGGTCCCTTTTGGATGAGGTATGTACAAAAAGAGACATGTTATTTTCTGTGTACTAACCTGCTTGGTATATTTTTAGACTGAGTTTTGGATCAATAGGCTTTGTAGACTAAAAAAAGATTCCAGAAATGCGTAGTTTAAAAGGATTCTTCCAGATAAAGCTAGTGTTTGTGTAAATAAAACATATCAAACGAGATGCCTTGGCTTATGGTTTTATTTTTTTTAAGCAGTTGCGGCTGATTATTTTTATTTTTTTGCCCCTTTCCCCTTTTTCTTTCTCTTTTTTTTTTTTTTTTTACTTTTTTATAGATTTTTTATTTTTGATTCTGTATTATAAAATGGCGCTTGAGCAAAGTCACTCTGATTACCGATGTTACAACTGTCAAAAATCTTGTATTCGAGGAGATCCGTGTTTAATAAGAGCGGTTGGCAATTTATACCACAAGCAGTGTTTTAAATGTAACGTAAGTAATATTTTTGCCACTTTATTCCCTCGGTCAGCGGTAGGGAGAGGATATATCGGAAACAAATTCGGCCATGTACACGAGGGGAAGGGGGGTTGGGGATTATTTTATTTTTATTAATTAAACAATTATGATGAATATTCACCTTTTTCTTTTTAGTCTTGTCAAAAATCAGTGATTGATAAATTTTACATTATGGATGATTCACAAACAATAGTATGTGAAAAAGATTATTATCAACAGAGCAATTTTAAGTGCCATCAGTGTAATCAAGCAATAACAAAAGATAATTACGAAGTGATTGGCGCCTATAAATATCATGGACATTGTTTACACTGTCCAGGTTGCACCATCGTTAAAAATTTACCCCCATCAACTACAACTGATGATAATCCAGAAGAATCATCTGAAAGATTTGATTACAATGGCCGCCCTTATTGCCGGTATCATTATTCGTTAATTAAAGGGACTGAGTGTGTCGGATGTGGTCAAGCCGTCCTTTGTCAGTATATGGATAATAATGGTAAATGGCATCCAGAATGTTACATGATTATGAAGGTACTATCATTATAAATGGTAATTCTCGGTACTAAAGTTTATTATAGTATTGGCATGTTTGTTTAATCGATCTTCGTCCTATTCCGCAATGTAATGTATTTTAATTTTTTTGATTTTTTATTTCCTTTTTCTGTTACTTATACGCGTTATAGCTGACTATAAAAGTAAAAATCAACTGATATCGATTCAAAACGACATACAATATACCAGATGCGCCCTTTGGAAGGAATTGAGCACGTTTGAAGATACAACCTCCAAAATTTTATCCAATATAGTATCCTTTCACCAATCACAAGACTATGTACAACAATTTAGTTCATGTCAATCATTGTCGAAACAAGTGAACATTATTTTTTCTGTTTTGGACCTGGTATTCAAATATTTTACTCGTATGTTTACAAAAACATAAACAAATAGCTCTCCTTTTAACGTACTTACTAATTGTAGATCTCTCATGTGATACACCAACTCAGAAACTGTGTGATCAACTAGTCTATTTTATAGATACCTTATGTCAATCAAATAACCATCAAGATGTTGAAAGTATGCTAAAATTAGCAGCCATATTATCACAATACATTAGAGATCTTGTAAAATTAAGTTTGCAACAAACAATTATTTTGGTAATTCGGACTTTTTTATGTCACATTACACCCCTTTAACCACTATAATTAACAGGAACGAAAAAATAATAACTTAATCGATCAACTTCTAACAATATACACTACCAAATCCACTACCGGTACAATGGACCTTGCTTGTTTAAGCCGCGGCTTACGACTTGTAGACTTGGCAATGACAAGGCTAGCCTTTGTGTCGAATATAAAGCCACATGAAGGTACTTTGTCTGATCTTAATTGCACATACTTTTTTTATTCTAATCATATTGGTTACACCATAAACTATATATAGGAAAACAACCTGATGAAACAGAAACAGTATTTAAAGAGACAACGAGACCTTCTCTCTTTCCTGTTTCTCAACAAAATAGAATGGTGAACAGTACATCTAATATACATTTATTATCAAAAACGAGCTCAGATGTATCAACAAGCTTGAGTAGATCGAAGTCGGTCTCCCGAAAGCCCAGTTCCAGCCAATATTTACCTTCCATTCAACAAGTGGAAATGACGAATAAAACAACTCCAAGTAGAATGGATACTATTAGAAGAGCTCTCACAACACGTTCGAAAAAAGAGTCATCTTCCATCTTGAGTAGATCGAACAGCATTTTTTCCGCCGGCGGCCGCCGTGATCAAAAGTCCTTGAGTTTACAGAACCCTTCAACACCGCCATTGTATATTTCGCTTCCGGATGTTGAGCAGCTGCACACTACTCCACCTCTTTCTCCGCCATCTGCAAATCAACAAATTTGGATAATTCCAGCACATTTACCTGATTTGACGCAACAGCAAGACTGTATTATACGTCACATTGCTGCTCTCTGTATCGAATCACATGTGGACGACTGTATCATATTGGATGACCTATTGAATCTTATTGAAAACAAAAAACAGGCCACATCTCTTTGGGGCAAATTAAAAACACATATTTTGACGCCGAACGAAAACACACAAAACCCATTCAATGCGATAACGAATAGCGAGAAAAAAATTGGCGTTTCATTAGCAAATCTAAGCAGTGGCTCGTTAAATAATCAGCAGCAAGTATACGAAGTACGTGATGTACCCAATTTTGAAGACTGGAAAACTCATTGTCCATCTGTTGTCTCTTCGTTCTCTTCGAACTCACTTGCTCCTGCGTTTCTTAAGGATTGCGTGTTATCGATGATTGGTCAAGGTAAATATATTAATGTATAAAGGTTCGATTTGATATTGATACTGCTGTGAAATAGGAGTGAATACCGAAGGTATTTTTCGAAAGAATGGCAATATACGCGTGTTAAAAGAAATGTGTGACCAATTGGACGAAAGTCACAGGGAAGATTGGATGGATTTTTTCGGAGAACAGCACATCATTCAACTAGCAGTCTTCATCAAGAAGTACCTGAGAGAGTTACCCGAACCATTGCTCACCTACAAGTTACATAAACTTTTTCTCATGTCAAATGACAAAGCGGACGATATCGCCATGATTCATTGTGCTATATGCATACTACCAAAAGCTAATCGTGATATTTTATTACTGGTGTTGGGCCTTTTAAATTGGGTCGGGAGACATTCTTCTGAAAATAAGATGGGGTTTGAAAATTTAGCTAAAGTCATGGCACCAAACATTCTGTACTGCCACAAGAAACAATCTGTATCATCAGCCGTCGACGTGTCGCTATGTCATGGGGAAATCCGTGTAGTAACCACCATGATTGAATTTTACGAGACCCTTAGCAAGGTATGCATCATGATGATTTTCATTATGTACATAAACTAATCTGTATTTGTTAGATTCCAAATGATTTCACAGTGCTTTTGGAACACCCGAAAATGGCTGAGTTTACATGTACAAATGCGATCGATTTAACTTGCTCAAAAAGCTTTGTGAGAACTTTCGATAGCTTATTAAAGGTCAAAAAAGAAATCACATCATCTGGTCCCGTATTACCTCCATCTCCTTCAGCATCTACTCTGTAACAATATCACAACACGTATATTATCTTGTGTTTTTAATACCCCCCCCCAACATGCTCTCGTTTTTATATCACCATTCCAGTATTTCTGTATATTTCTCACTCTTTCTTTTCATCCACACTGTAAACAATAGTCTCTCTTTCACCGCATATGTATAGTAATAAAGATCATTCCCTTTCTTTCTTCTAGTTGTTTTTTATTGGCTCTGACCTTATTATTTTTACATGGATTCATACTTATTTTCACACATGGCAAACCATTCGGCATGCTCTTCTGTGGTATGCTGTTTAGCAATATTCACAACCTCTCTGGAATACTCGATATATTTCTTGACTTCTTCTTTCATAGTCATGACATCTTCATCATAGATTTGGGATACCAAAACATCAGTCTCGTCGACCAATTTACGAGCACTTGCATATACATCATCTAACCATCTAACAGGACAATGCTCACTTTCACGGATGCAACGGCGTTCAATCTTTTGCATGATGAAAACGGTCATGTCCACTAACTTAGCGCATTGTTTAGCGATTTCTAATTCTTCCTCTGATAAATCAGTCTCGTCATCCTCTTCCTCATTGTCATCAAATCCTTCTGATTTATCTTGACCTGTGGCAATCTCGTGAACTTCTGATTTAGCATCCTTGAGATTCTCAGACATTGATTTCCAAGCTTTCAATACAGCTTCCTTGTTGTCCTTGGGAAGATGCTCCATGTCCTTGCAAGCGTCCCAGATGGCAGCGGTGGGTACCATGTAAGAGACTTTTTTGCGGGTTTCCTCTTCATTGTCCTTTGTCATAAAACTGGAGCAAAGACTGATAATACCTTGTAATAATTCTCGGGTGATGGCTTTGTAAGCGTTCTTGTAAACTGTTCCACTGCTGCTGGGAATAGTGTTGTAAAATCCGACCACACGATATAAGGTGTTGCTCACTTCACTAATCATATGAATGGAATCCTCGGGTTTACGGGGAGGTTTACAGGATAAGGTGAACTTTGTGGCATTATGAGAAAGAATTTTCCCCAGGTTGACTGTTGATTGAAGTAAGTTATCCTTGTTATAAAAAAATACAAACTAAAGATTATGCCACTTACCCATGGTCTCTTGGAACGAAGCGGTGCTGAAATCAGAGCTTTCGACCTGTCTATCTTTTTTCAAGTCTTCCAAGTACACAATGCACATGTTACAACATGCTTTCAACTTCTCTAAGTTTCAGGTCGAAAAAGTTAATTACGGATCAGGTCGCTACATCCTCAGTGATTAAGGTACCTTGAAAATCGTCTTCGGTGGGCATTTTTGTCATATTTTAAGTGAAATAAACAGTTTTTTCGTTTTTTTTCTTTTTTTTTTTTTTTTTTTTTTTTTATTGAAAGGGACGGTTTTCTGCGGAGCCCATAAAACCAGCTTGACATCACGAAACAAGCAAAATGGCAGGTGACGAATTATGATGTTGATTTCATGTCAGTTCCGAATTTTCTTTATTTTGGCAATAAAAATTGATTCGTATACTTTAAAAGTCTAGCAATATCAGTCTAATGGTCCTATTACAATAATTTTAGTCGCACATTGCAAAATGTGGTGCTTGGGAAAACGGAATACTGTTGATGAACACGATAATTCGGATGAATTTGCGAAGTTGAGGAGCTAAGATAGTTGTAGTAGGGATAGTAATTATCATAAGTTTCTTTGGAGGTCAAAAGTATATAAACGTGTCAATGATAAAATGCTATTATATAGAGAACATATTAATGAAACGGAAGTTGTGGGTACAATGCTTAGTGGCAAAAATGCCCAAGGTGGTTAAACACTTGGGTATATACAAAGGACAGGCAGACACTGGGGCCCAACAAAGAGCTTCGTCATTCCTTTGGGAATGTCTTGTGTAGGATTACATGATCTAATACCTTGAGGCTGCCAGATTTATGTAGAGGATACTTTTAAACTTTAAATAATAAGATATTAGTGTCAAAGAATTTAAAAAAAAAATATAGGCGTAGTATTCTGTAAGACAATAATTTCAACTATATATAAGATAATATTTTGTTTACTACTTAGTGATGCTTTGAGACAACCAGATAAATATTCAAGAAATTCATTAAATCTAGCAATGGAACCATTAAATGTTGTAAACCATTTCCTTTTTGGAACGCATTGGGGATATATTACATTTTTTGTTTCCAAATCATAGACATTTGCTTTGTTCGAGTTGAAAGATTCTATTTATTATATAAGAGTTTATGCAGGCGGCTAAATTTACCAATAGTTGTACCCCAGCAGAGAACTGTAGTCGAGACGTGTGATCACGGGTACAGACACAGTCGTGGGTCTACCAGGGAGCCAGCCCATGCGCCATCAAATTAATCAACTATGGTCAGTACGAGTAGCGGGAAGATACAAAATAAAATCAACCGAGAGTTTAGGTCGACAGGCCTTCGACAAAACCAAGGGATTATTTTGCATTAGTGTATCGTGCAGTGTTTGTCTATCAATTTGAAGCAGCGTGTTGAGTTTTCCCGAGCTAAGACTTGTAGGGTCGGGAGGTAGGCTGGCAAAGAGACGGTTTTCTTTCAATTGACATGCTAGTCGCGACCTTGTTTGCAATATGGTTTCCAAGAGCTTCAGGAGACTGTCCTCAGGGAGGTAGGAGGTACGTGTACAAAATTTGGTGATTAACACATCAATACGCCAAGAGACTGACGGTATATTTGTTAGTAATTTGAGGGCTGCAGTTGACGATGTTGAGGATATCATAGATATAATAGTAAAGTTAATTGTCACATCACATTATGGATGGATAATAAATATAAAAGTTAATCATGAATCACGCATTACCCCACTTGTTCTCATCCTACCGTTGGAGTCTGTACATAGGGCACATCCCTGTGTCGAGTAAATATTTATTCTGCAAAAGCAATACAATCGAATGGGCCTGGACTATAGAATATTAATAGCTCCTGAGCACAAATATTACTCTTGTCGTTTGATGTTATAACTGTTGATCCCTCTGACTAATATTTATATACTCAGTATGGAAGGGCTAAAATTAAAGACATGTTGATTATTTACTATCACCAGATTATTACATCATGATCCAATAAGGCGCTTACTATTCTCCCTAGAACTATCCCAGTTCTTTATATAAATATCCATAGTTTTTTCTCATAGACCATCAATTCATTTTTTTTTTAAATACGTTTTGAATTATAATTTTTTCGTCCATAATAAAAGTGGTATCCAAGTTCTAACAGTATCACTTTTGGTTTATTTTTTATTTTGTTCTCCATGCAAAACAGACGACGTAGGGTGACCACCAACCATGAGCCGTAAGCAACGATCTTGTAAATTTTCAATTGCTTTAAGATCGGCAGTAGCGAGGGAGGAGATGGCAAGGCCGTATTCAAACATGGGACGAACAAACGTCTTGTACAAGCGGGAGCTAAGCAGCGCGAGAAACCAGAGCGATTATTCCCCATCCCGTGGAGAGTAGCCATAGCTCCGATGGTACCTTTAACGCGTTATGTGGTCAATAGTTTATTATCTATACCCCGCATGCTAAATGGAATCCCTAGATAGACAAAGTCTTGGACCTGAGGGAGAGCAACACCGTACAAGCTGAGGGGAGGACGAGGGTTAACGGCATCAATCCGGTCGGAAGGATGGTTTATGGCAGCCCATTTCTCAGGTTTCAAACGGTAACCGAGATGGTGTGAATGAGCAGCAGCAGAGTCCAGCATATGTTGTACTTCAAATCGAGTGCCTATAATTGCAACATCGTCAGTAAATAGTTGGGAGTTTCAAAAATACCGCTTTCAGAAGAGCTTTCGGTGTTGAGGGTTGGGTTGAGGGGACTTGGACACGGACTTTTCCCCGACTCGACTTGGTTACATTCCTTCCTTATTTCAATCTGGAATGAAATAGTTAACGTTTAAAACGGGTTGATTTCCAAAACAGTCTACTTCCGCTCCTATCCTGAGTTGATAAGTTTCTTCGCTTTTACTTTTGCTTTTTTTTTATTTCCGTAGTTTATTCTACTAAATATAAAAACCCCAAAATAACCTAGAAATCAAAACCCAAAAACAATTCTATGTGACTGCCTTACAACATACACGAAGTAGAATCATCATAATCCATACAAAAAAAAAGAACATACATGTGTCTAACAGGTTGGAAAAATGGAAATTGAATGTTTTCATATTTAGAGGTAGTATTACATTGAGACATTCATATGTATACTGCAGAAATTCAATAAATTTAGCAATGGAAGGTTTAAAGCTTCTAGAATATTTCCTTTTTGGGAAGTGTTGTGAATATATTATATGTTTTGTTTCCAAAATCATGATAAGGATCTGACTGTCTTTTATGTTTACCTTGTGTAGAGTACGAGAATAAACAATATATAAAATGATGGTTCAAGGAGACTGTAAAGACTTGATATCAGATTATACAAACAGAGAGAAGAGATTAAAATGCACTAGTAAGCAATGGAAAGCTGCCAAAGAAGTTATGTATCAAAAATAATAGAATATAAAAAATATAAACTAGGAAAAAGATAACCTTTATTCACTATCAATAAAATAAGCTTTTATAGCTGTCAAAAAAAAATATACACAAAAATATAAATACAAGATCAGATCGACCATTGTCAAACAAATAAATCATAAGTTAAAAATACGGATAAAATAAATGAAAGTATAAAAATAAAATGAGGGAATGAAAATAAATCAGATGTCAAAAATTCAAATAATAACATCCAAGAAATATTCAATACGACAATAGCTCCTCTTCTAACTGCGACAACTAGCAAAAACCGATTCTCTGGATTTATCAAAAATAGAAGATGGATTTCTCAAACTTGACGTGACTTCTAGAAAATTCATTCGGACTTTTAACACCAGATCTTCCCAGCGCAACAACAACAAGAAAAACAATTTATTCCTTAGACACCACTGAACTTCTTCCTCGCTCATTTCGACATTAACCTTCATAACACCTTCCAAAATCTTCAACCACCTTTCTCCTACTTCTTTACAATATATACTGTAAAACAAACACGTGAAAGTCACGTGTTTTAAGACTTCAAGCGAAACACAAGACCAAAATACGACCGTATCAAGTACCCCCCGCCGAGCTTGAAGTCCCACCTTTCAAAATGAAAGGTCAACAAAGCCAAAAGTATTAACACGAGAGTTCAACCACGACTGCAATTGTTCATTTGCCTTTGACACACCGACCTGTGGCACCATATGCTGAACCTCCTTGTTATACGCCTTTAGTAAGTCGCCATTCACTGCATGCTTCAACCTTAGACTATTCTTCCCAGTCAACCAGTAAGTACCATTTTGGTTCACCTTCATAACAGTATACGGTCCTAACCACTTATCAGAAAACTTAGTCGTTGGGACTACATCCTTCAACAAAACTTGATCACCAATATCAAACTTTTTACGAAAAACGACACGCCCATCATAACGCTCCTTAGCCTTCTTCTTTCGCTCATCTGACCTTAACCGCGCAATTTCACGAACTTGAGCCAATTTTTCTTCAACCAAAATAATTCTTTCACGCAATTCCTCTTCTTCTTCGCCAATGACAAAATCAATACGTGGAGCCACCCAAACAGCAGGAGTTCTCATTTCATACCCAAACAACATATAACTGGGAGTATAGCCAGTAGCAGAGTTCTTGGAAGTACGAATCACCATTAACGCCATGTCTACATACTTATCCCACTCAGCCGTATTTTCTCGATCTCTAGCAATCTTCGCTAACACCGAAACCAGAGTGTAGTTTAAACGTTCACACATACCATTACATTGAGGTCTATAGCTCGTCGTCATTATATTCCTACACCCAAGCTGTTTCAAAAATTCATGAACGTAAGTAGATATGAAATTTTGACCTCTGTCAGAAAGAATCCAACGTGGAACACCCCAATCCTTAACAATACTAAATAGAAATTCCCCCGTTGTTACTTCATTTATATCGGGTACAGCAACTGCAACAGGCCACCTCGTCAAGTAGTCAATACCAGTCAAAATATACTTGTTTCCACGCGTAGTAGATTGAAGAGGACCAATAGCATCAATACCAACCAAAACAAACGGATCCTTAGTAGTTTTGAATATGACACCCGGATTTGTACGAACATTCTTGATACGAGCACGAAATTGACAAGTATCACACGATTTAACCACAGACTCGACTAATTTACGACCATCATGCACCAAAAAATTCTTTACCACCTTATCCAACGTATTTGAGATTCCCAAATGACCTTCTTGATGTATGTCAG